TATAAGGAATGACTCTAATTCTTGGCCAAATTATTCGAGTATAACCTGGTTTGGGTCAGTTTACGCTGTTTTATAATCCGCTTCGCGGATTATAAAGCGTAAACTGACCCAAACCAGGTTATACTCGAATAATTTGGCCAAGAATTAGAGTCATTCCTAAAATATACATGTAGATCTAATAACTCTGAAATTGAATAACTCCGGAACACCCCCCTCCTCTCCCCTATATATCCGCGCATACGTATATGCATCATTTTAAGCTAAAGAAAAGTGTCCGACCCAATGTCAAATGTGTCCGAAATTCTATTACATCTGAATGCATTTTGAGGTACAATACCGAGGTGATCCAAATAAACTGAAAAAAAGGTGTCCGACTTACGATTTGCACACATAGGATATATAAGATAGTAATGCCTTTCCAATACATATTTTGGACCCTCATTTACTATTAGATGGTTTGCCTACATGTACCGGCTTTCTAAATCACATCTAGGGTGATCAGACATAGCATGGATCGGACAGGTTTAACAAATAAGATCATTAAGGTAAAAAATTAGATTCAAAGGATTATTAGTATAAAAGGGAATTCCTGCGGAAGTGATGTAAAAATGTTACTTGAGGGGGTGACAATTAAACAGAAAGAATAAAGCTTTTGAAATATGAATAGTCCAGGACATACTTTATTTGTCAATCTATATTATATACTACCTATTTTAATACTACAATAAACGTGAAATTGGGACAATTATTTTGTTAGAAAAGGCCCTTCACTAAAGACTGGTAGTTTAGCTGGTTTAGCTTCAATGTGGCAAGGTGGTAATTTTGACGGAATCGAGGAGTAAGAGGAGAAGAGCAGCGACGAAAAAGTTTATTTAATCTAATAAAAAAGTAGAGGAAGGTCACCAAACATTATTTGACTCTGCCCCTTTCCCGGGTACTACTCTTCTGAATGTGCATCTTTTCTTTGTGCGATTTTAAATGATGATATTTTTTATAAACACATGAAACACATATTGGAGACAAGAAACAATCATTTACTGATGTAAATACTTGAACTGTTCAACAATATAACAAAGAATAAACATACGCACTGTTTCTTATGCAGTACATTCTCATGTATGCGTTTCGAAATTAAAATGCATGTGTTCCGCTGTTCCGCTACGATAGCCCCCCCCCCCCCCCCCGACCAAAAAGAAACACAAATGGGAGCGATAGTACATAATAAATAAAAAAAAATAAACATGACTCTGCTTTTAGGGCAAGATACATGTCTGATAGGGAAAAAAAAAAACTAAATTCAAATACGTGTATTTAGGGGAGGGGTCAAGAATTTTTTGTTGTCTAACATCGATAATTATTGTACATGAAACTTTATGTAAATGTTTATATGAATCAACAATTATAAGACATACCATTTATTTACAGTTTATAAATAATAGTACGTCATAATTAAATTTCATTCAACATTCATCATATTTACTTTTGAAAGGGAGGTCATGTTGAAAACTATGTGAACTGGGTTTTATGTTAGAAACACGTACAGGCACTTGTTTCGGTAATAAATTTTTGATCTATAGTATAATAGAATAGCACTTGTTTCGGTAATAATAACTTGTTTTGGTATGTGCTAATCCCGAGCAGAGATTTCGATTGGCTAAAAATCTGCTTCTAAAATTACATCGGATATTCAGGGAAAATCAGACTTAAACAAATTCTTTTTATTCACTGCAATATTTAAACACTGGAATTGAATTATTAAACCCACTCATTTTTTAATTTTATTCTCTGTCCGGGATTAGCACATACCATTTCATGGGTTAAATCGACTTTTCTACTCGGCGAGCAGAGATTTGACGCTGTTTACAGAGATAAAAGAAAATAAAGACAAGCATGTTATATATGGTTGTGTAGATAAATTATCGTAGAAGACATAGGTATAAACAGTTTGCCAGTGCGTTTCCTCTGAAAGTGTAAATGAGTGCGATTCTGGGGGAGGGGGTACTCCATGTTATTCGGAGTTGGATACCTTGCGTTATTATTATACTTTGGGTCAAAAATTTATTACCGAAACATGCCTGTGTTATTATTATACTATGGGTCAAAAAATTATTACCGAAACAAGTGCCTGTGATTAGAAATTAAACTTTTGATCTCGTCACATATTTTGAATAACATAAAAAAAATATCGATATTATAATATCTAGCGGATTATAATATATTAATATTACTCTAGAAAACTCATATTTAGAGATAGAAAGTTTTTGTTCAGTTCATGTATTTTAAATAAAATTAATCTATCAGTTACAAAAAACCTTTTTCAGTTTATGTTGAAAACTAAAAGAAAATCGCCGAGACATTCAATTGTTTTAATTCATTTCATTGTAAAAACGCACATATGATTTGGAAATAAGTCCTTCGCACTCACAAAGTACTCTTCTCTGATAATTCAATTTTAATTTAATTAGAATAAGATCTTTAATAGCCTCACATGCTCGCTACGAAAAGGGTTTGACAATTACCATACTGGACATCACTTTCTATTGAAAATATGTATTTGCCTTTATATTTCTATCCAGTTCAGATGAAGCTTTCCAGAATTTATTTTTGATATCAGAAAATAATGTAGAATATAGCATTTATAAGTTATACGTCTATAGTATAAGATACTTTAATACTAAACAAAAGGACTATTACAGTGCTCATGTGTACAAAGATAGCAGATACTGTAGAACGCTCCTTCGTCAAATGATTCCCAGTCTCGGGGACACAGATTATTCTTCCATGTACTATAGGATATAATGCAATCGGTTTACACTCGCGCGCAGTTATCGCATAAACTGCAATATGAAATCAACACCTTTCTTTGGTTTTTTTAAATATATTGGTAAAATGACCATGATGCTGATTAGATACTTCTCTATTCCAATTTTAAGTTTTTAAATGTTTTCATATAATTGTAGTCATGGATTTTTTACGACGTTACGATGTAACATAATGACGTTACGTTACAAATAATGATGTTCCTCACGCAAATTTCAATGAAAACAATACCACAATGTAAAATCTCTTCTTGAAAAAGTATAATAGATATCTAAAAAAGAAAAACAGTAATGAAAAGCTAAAAGTCTCTACTATCTATATTGAAATCCTCATTCATTTTTGAGTTAAGGCACATTTTGATGGTTCATGGCTCTAGCTCTTTGACCCCCTTAAAGTCAATATTCTACGGGGGTCACTTTTCGTCGTTACACCGCACCGGAAAGGGGGATCATTTTCCCGAAAGTTTCAATTTGGAAAAACTCGCAGAGACTTTGAAAATGTTTGAACAGCGTTGAGAAAGACAAAATGTGACGGCAAAAAAGATTTAGAAAGAGGAAAGACACATTCAATGGCGTGAAAAACATAAAATTTTAGCTTGTGATAATCCAAGTTCAAAATAGTCTTTCGTTTTTCATTGTAACAAATAAACTAGATCATTAAAGTAAAAGAAAATGGAAACTTATGCAAATGTCTCTGTTTTACAGGGAAAGTTTCGCGATATAACGCGAAAAATATATTTTTTTTTACCTACGAAAATGAGCTCAATGGGTTTTCGTAGTCTTGAGTAACATTTGTTGGTATAATTATGTATTTATACTAGAAATATGACTGAAAGTTATAATAACAAATAACTTTTGCCGAGTTTAAATATCTAGTAATATCTGTCGGTGTTTCTTTTTACCCTAGGAAAAGTACCTATGTGTGGGAATTTTTTATATGTGTCTTATGTAAATCATTTTAATGGCTAATGTTAGATCTGTAAAAACATTCGTGGTGGTGGTGGAGGCGTAACCACTAAATTTCCAACATATACTATATATAGTAGTTCTACCTTCAATAAAGACGCCTGTGATTTTTTTTTATTAATTGTCAAGGGAATTATGTTGGGTTGTGCGCCCCGCCCCCCCCCCCTTCTACCCTGAAATTGCTTAAAGTAAAGTAAAAGGCCTTTATGATTTTTTTTAATTAGTATTTCTGATATAAATGTATATACCAACAAATTTAACCCAAGATCCTACTAAAAGCCCCCCAATTTTTTCTGACCTTTATACGGTAAGCCTTTAATACCCCCCCCCCCCCCCGGTCAAAAAATCTATTGAATTATTTGCCTGCAAGGAAATGGGGATTAGATGTATTGTATTTAAGAGAGAATACTCTTTCCTCCTATTTATTCCTTGCTTGCCATCACTGTTTAAAAATTCCCGAATCCGCCAATTTTCATTATTATTGTAATCTATCATAGGGTTTATTCAATTAAGCATGCGTATTAAAGATATTAAAGATAATAAAACAGGCAATATCATCTATGAGCAGTGGCAGTTGACAGTAAGCAGTGAGCAGTTGGCAGTAAGCAGTGAGCAGTTGGCAGTAAGCAGTGAGCAGTTGGCAGTAAGCAGTTGGCTGTCGTATATGGAATTCCATAAATTAGATACATAGATGTATTTTAATTTTTTTTTTTTTTTTTTTTTTTTTTACCGTTGGCTAAGATCTCGGTTGCTCCATATCCTGTCTAATAATTGATTTGTTTTTGTTATATTTAGTTGACAAGTTAAAGTGGTTCATTGAGCAAGGAAGATGTGGGACCTGTAAGAATGGAGCCTGAAATTTCTGGCTACTTACTATCAGGGATGAAGACTAAAACAGTAAAACTCGTAAATCAAGAGCAGACAACTCCACAAAAATGGCCGAGATACATAACTGGTTTTTTTTCCTGTCAAACTTGTGTAGTGAAGAAAATGAAATAGAAGTTTTTCATCAAAGTGTGCAATTTATTAATGTTAAAGCTATTTCACATTGATTATCACTGTTCGGTAGTAAATATTGCCCAAATGCATACATTTTGTAATTTTCAATGTCTCAGCTCCGATTTTGAAATGAAATTATAAATAATGCTGTTCATTTGTTTTACAACACCTTTTATATTCTTACATGGTGACTTAATAATGAAAAATATGTAATTTTAATGTTATCAGTTTTTTAATAAAAATAATAAAAAAAATTAGTATAACAAAATATAAACAAATAAATCACAGTTAACATGGCATCATTAAACAGAGATTTGCACTCCATTGTCTTTGCTTTATAGCTACACGTCTCCATCGTGTCTGTCATATGATAAGCTGATGGCCTCAATTTGACGACAGCCAATTTTCTCTCCTAAATTCTTCAAACTGTTCAGAAGTCTGTGAATTATAACGTAATACAATAGTTACATGTATGCAATGAATACATGACATCACAGATACTTTAGTATTATTATAGATGAATATTCATAAATAAATGTAATTGTCAAAAAGAATGTAATAAAATCAATGACTTTGTTATAATGAGGGATAGCCCTTTAAGGGAGATAACTCTGTATCAACCCTCTGCTAAGAAAGATAATATTCATCTATCACTTTATTTCATATACCCTTACAAAGATTACTTATGACCTGACTATGACCATGACCAAAGGTCAGTTAGGTTAATTTATAGTCAGTTAGGTAAGTTTAAGTTCACTGGCAGAAAAGGTGAAAATTTTAACATAAATGCAGCTAGAGTATCATTTTGTGAGCTCACTCACAGTACTCTAGGTTATCATTTTATCATTACCGGTAATAATAGTCTCAAATTCAACCCTCATATGGTTTGCTTGAAATTTATTTTAATTCCTCCCTATTAATCGTTTAAAAAATTGTCCTGAATACAGAAAAAAAAAACCATCTCATGGAACAGAGGTTGTTCTCTCTTATATAATTAAGTTATAATTAAGTCTTCAATAGTCAGACCATTATTTTGTTAAAATAAGAAGTGACTTACATATCTTTCAGCTGTTGTTGGTCTGCGTGGTCTTTATCAATGACAATGTCCTTGATCCATCCAACCTAAAAGTAAAGCAAAGTCTACGATTTATCTGGAAAAAAACCTCAGAAATTAAATCTAAAAGATGACAGGCTTAGAAATTTATATGTATCACCTTTGGATAACTGTGGTTAAACTGTAATTCTGTGACTAGAGTTGCAGTGGAAATCACTCGATTTGATACAGTATCCTCTAGGACTGTTACATAGTAATTATCAGATGAGGATTTCATGGCATGAAATTGGCCTGAAAATAATTTTAAAACAGTAGGACAAACTATATATATATATATATATATATATATATATATATATTATATTATATATTATATATATATATTATATATATATATATATATATATATATATATATATATATATATATATATATATATATATATATATATATAATTGATCTTTCACCTTTAATTAACCTTCTTCCATTCATGCGCGGATCTAGAGGGGGGTCCGGGGGTCCGGACCCCCCCCCCCCTGGAATTTGCAGTGTAATAAAAAGAATATACTGATCCAAATAAAAAATGACTTTGGACCCCCCCCCCAGAAAACGTGGACCCCACCACGTGGACCCCACCACCACGAAATAGGTTTTTGTCATGTTGGGGAATGGATTTTACGTTTTTTGTTTTTGTTTTTTATTATTGGCTTGTCAAGAAATTTTCTGGGTTTGATATCTTTGGGAAAGGAGTTTAGTTTTTTCCTTTCTTTCTTTCCTTTTTTTTTCAATTGTTCTGTTTTTTTTTTCTTTTGCTTGTCAAGAAATTTTCTGGGTTGGAAAGTTTTTAACTGGGGTGGAACCCCCCCCCCCCCGAAACAATTTCTGGATCCGCGCCTGCCATTTCACATATCATAAATATCAATATTATTATGCTCATATTATCTTCTATACAACTCAAACTGAACAAAACAATATCGCAAAGCAGCATCTGAATACTTACTAGTGAACTCTGTTTTGGAGATATTTCCTATATTGCCTTCTTGAGATAAAAGTTCAAGGAAACCTGCGGTAAAAAATTAAAGACCTTAAAATTACTTTCAACATTTGTTTCCTACTGTTCTGAGTACATTAAGTGTATATTCTGAAATTTTGAAACTTCCATGTCTTCAGAGCATTATATATATTGCCTTACCTCTATCGTAATCTGACAGCTGAAGTGGTCGGACCTGGAATGGTTGTTTATTTTTACCCTGGGAGTACAGCAGGGAGATGTCATACATCCTCACCTCTTTTTCTTCTACTAGTTTTAAACAAGAATTCCAGTCACCTGTCTATAAAGTGATGCACGATTATTTCATAAGTTCCTGTAAATTAACTGTAAAATGCGCTCTTTATTACTGCTTTTTTCATAATGAGATTCTTGTCCTGTGATGTACATATGTATTTTTCAACGAAATAAGTTTCTAAAACATTGAAAAGAAGTAGTTCAGAAAGGCACTGAAGGGGCAAAAACGTGTTCATTGGTCCATTAAGTTTGATATTGAAAACTTTAACTGATTAAAAATATCCTCGATCATGGTCACACCAGAGTTATCTTTCTTTGTTCATGTAATTAGTGTCCTACGATGATATTGACATTATGCTATTGAATGCCATTGTCTCCAAACAGCTGAAAGTAAAATAAATTTGGGAATATTTCAACATTAGTTTCTTTAACTGGCCCTCCGTAACATCTAATCATGTCTTCCTTGTCTAGGGCAAAAGTTTTCTTGAGAGAGATACATGTATATTTGTACTGATATAAGAACCAATTGATAAAATAAACATTCATTGATAAATACAGGTTAAAAAAAATAACATCCTCCAAATTTCATCAACAAAACCTTGAATTGTCTGACTGATATGACAGTGGCTGTGCATGTACATATATGGATATACATGTAAGTATTTTATTCCTTTGAATGCTAATAATTCTCTTGCATATATTTTTTATGTACAATCGTGAACAAAATAATCATTTTACCGCTGTTGCCTCGACCACCCCCTGGATGGCTGTCACCCACATTTCTCTATCCTCTGGGGTGTCTGTGTAGTACATCCTGTCCACCGGTCCACCCCTCAGAATCACCCCCTGGACAATGAATGTGTTAGGCTTCGGTTTCTCTTGCTTTATTATGGTCACATCCTCTATAGAAGCAATAAAAAAAATTAAAATGGACGTGACTATTTCATATCCTCAATATGTACATATATATAGAAATCAATTTCAAAGCAATGAAACCGTATGTCAAAAAATATCTTTCTAACACTAGTTCGTTCTGATTGCATGTCTGTTGAGGTTTAGGATTTGTCTTCAAAATTGTCACATGTTGCAATGGGAGCTTTCTTGTTACTGAAGGAGATAAACTTAAGCATTATGATAACATGTTTGAGTTGTAACCTTGCAACTTAAAGTCATTCTGGATTTCTCCTTTAATCAAACTTTCCTCTCGAGTTTTGTATCCGGAAAATGTGCCGTCAGCTCGTAGGATATAGTAACGCTCACGCCAGTTACGTATAAATTCACCTGCAATATAAGAGATAATTTAATCATGCTAATTAATATTTTGAGAAACAATGCAACATGCAGAGATATTTGAAAATTATATTTCATTTGCTAAAACATTTGTTATATATCACTTCTTAACGTATATGACACATCTATATGCTATCAATCCACTTTCAAGAATTTTTTTAACATGATGTATATTTTTAAGAGAGAATGTCACGAATCATCAAGCTTACTCAGTGTAATTGATGGAAACTATAAAATTTAAAAATATCGGGATTTTTGCGTTAATAAACTTCTCTAACAGTTTTATCATTTCTGGTAAAATTTTACAATGATCAGCCAAATCGTTTCCATGGTAACCATATATCAAAGTAAGTAAAATACACGCTTTAGAAAAATTCAGATTCGGTCAATTTGCAGTACTTTTGCATAGTACAAAAAATAAAAAATCAATAAATATTAATAAAACTGATTAAAACTTTTTTTAAAAAACTAGTATTTTTATATTTTGTCTGCATGTGAACAAAAACTTTCAAATTTCTATTAGTTTTTCTACGTACACTTAGCCTATTTTTGTCCCTGTTTCGGTGACTGAATTCTCAAATCTACAACAAGAAAATAAATATCTGATGCTATCCTCAAAAAGGTGAATATTAATACTGTTTATATCAAAATTAAAATTGAGAAGCATTCTTAAGTGGGCTTAAATTGAAAGGGTTTTTTATCATACTGATGGGTACTTTTCCCATCTTTTATTGTTATGAATTACCTCCCTTGGAGCTCTTCTGTGATAGAAACAAAAAATGTCGGCAACCTTTGGATTTTTGGGAGCACTGACTCAAGGAAAATTCATGTTGTTTCAAGAGGGAAAAAGATTCATAAGCTTGGAATCTTGTCAACAACAAAAACCTTATGACAAATCAGGTAATAAAATTTAAAAATATATATATATATATTTATTTCTAAAAGCCATCACTTTCTTCCTTATCCGAATTTTCTCCATTCATCTGTGTACAACTTAAACTGGTAGCTAAATGCATGTAAAATCCAAATGAATTGGTTTCCTTTGTTTAATCCCAAAAATCCCCACACATATTACATCGATCTTCAAATATTTTTCCTTTTTGCAGAAGTATGCAGAAACATTTATATTAATTTGATGCAAATATTTTAATAACAAATAATGCAGAGCTGATACAGTGACAATCAAGACCGACACCTATCGAACTGGTACATGTATGTATTTTCTCATATTTATTTGTTATTGAAATGCCCAGTATAGCTATGTACATGTTATAATCACAGATTTTTTAATTATTATGTAAATTTATTTAACAGTTTAAAATGTTCTGAAAGCGAAACATTAATTTGTATAAATACATTTAAAAAAACTCATTGAAATTCAGGTTGCGGATCAAAGATTTTTTTGTGGTGGATGGAATGGAGGTGGGGTTTTTCAAGTTAATATTAAGGGAAAAAAATAATAGTTTCGTTGGTCAAACATCATTTTCATGTATGTGAAAGTTGTGTAATATGAACACTTTTTACAACCAATAAAAGAAAACAGGGGGTTAAAATTTAAAGTTTCCATCTGAAGCTTGATGATTCGTGACATTCTCTCTTAAATAAATATCATAAATATAGATAATTAAAGTATATATAATTAAAGTAACTAATTTATTAAATGAATGACTGCATGATATTTGATACGAATTTGGCGTAAGCTATAATGTGTATAATGAAGCAGGTACATGTATAAATATTACTAAATGCCGCCCTACCATGCCGCCCATACCCAACCCCTTTTGCCCCATTTATATCCATTTATAAATATGTCCTAATTCTTCACCTCTTTTCCACAAGTATCCCTCTTTCACTATAGGAGCTATCTCTTTCGGATTTTCCGTTGCCTCTCCTATTGCAGCACTGAAATTACACACATAGGTTAGGTCTGTTAAAATATAATAAAGTACCAAATGAATATTACTTTTAAATCTCCCACCCTCTTATCCCCATTTAGCGTCCCTCAACCGTATAATATCAAAGATACGAAGAATGTATTAAATTAGCATAATTTAAATTTGATATTGACTTTCCTGGATTGTGCATAGATTTTTTTCTCTTGGATAATAACAATATGTAACACAAAGATTTTTTCAGTTCAGACATCACATAACCTTTAGATTAGCTAAAGTAAACAAATAAAGGACAGATTATTTCAACTCTTTCCCCAAATTACGATTCACCTACCTCCCGACGCGGGATTTCATTTTAGTGTTCTTCACTACAGAATGGATGTCGAATATTCCTTTCTAAGTATACTGTATTTTTTTTCTTTCCCCACGAAATCACCCATGCTCTTCATTTGTCTGTGTACGTAAACTTTTCCCTACATCGACATGTCTCTCCAGTTCTGTTTATGTAGATCAAACTTAACCATGTGTAAATAAATCTCTATGAGGTTTAAAGCCCTGTTTGATTGCGAAAGAATTCAAAACAGAAAAAAAGATCGATATATTTTTACTGGTTCTTAAAGGAAAGAGGGGAATTAAAATGCCTCCCATACACGCTCTATCTTTTCGTATGAACACACTCTTCTTTTTTCAGAGGTTTAATAGCTGAAGCAGAGATAGGAAGATGTGTACATGTATTTAGATGGATCTGTTATTAATTTTTAAATTAACTTTTCATTCCCCAGATGCTGTTTTTGACGTGTATTTTCCAGTAACATGAAGATTTTTGGGGTCGATCCACACCCAAATAAGTAGAGCCCTTGACTTTCATGAATGATATACTAAGGTAAAAATTCACATAGTTGCATCTGTCATGCATATTTGTTTTTGAATGAGTGGCCAGAAATTTTTAAGTTTTTGAAGTAGGTCCATTTTAAATTAAAGCACCCTGACCAAACTTGAATGCATCTATTTTACAATAGTATACTGTAATCTTTCTGATTCTATATAATTGTTAATATAAACTTTTGTTGTTTAATGTTCCTTACAAATTTTGTAAACATAAACTACATAGTATTAATTTTATCGCATCAGTCCACGAACTTTTTGATAACCCCTCGTAAATTATATATTTTAGGAATCTGGAATGACTGAGGAAGGGTCCATCTCTCCCCCCCCCCCTCCAGGGGGGGGGTCCAAAGTCATTCCTGTTATTCTTAGGTTACTTGTAAGAACGTAAAATAAAACTACATCCTAGGGGGGTCACTTGACCCCCACCCCATTTTCTCCACCTAGATCTGCAGGCACGTAGTATGAGGGTGGGCGGAGGCCTCCTCCCTCATTTTTGCAAAGAAAACCTTTTACTGTCGAAAGTGTTCATTGAAATGCTTAGCCCCCCCCCCCCCAACTTTTTGTTGCGGTATAGTTAAATCATAATAATGTGATTATGTATAAATAAAATTTGGCTGTGAAAAAAAGTTGGAGCCTAACACATACACAGACACACACATTTTTTTTCTTTGCTTGTCAAAGATAACTTTTTTTCGGTAAGTTGTCAATTTTTTTCTGGCGGGCCCCCTTTCAAAAACGATACTAAAATGCACGTACCTGATCTGTCAAATACTTATGTCGACTTGTCAGAAAAATATGTTGTCAACTGATGGCCTAAACTGGGCATGGGCACATTTTCATGTTGAATATTTAAACACGTGAATAATGACAAATTAACAAAAAGATCTGACAAGTCGACATAATTATCTGACAAGACAACAAAAAGATCTAACAAATCAACATTATTATCTGACAAGTGGGGGGGGGGGGGGGGTTAGGGCAGAAATATGCCACCATAAAGGATAAATAAAAGATAAAAGAACAAACTTTTTTCAGAAATCAGCAATATTTCTTCTAAATTCATATTCAAATAGGTAACCTGAATAATGTTTGCCAGGTAAAGTGGGAGAAATTTGTAAGATTTTGTCAAGATGTTAAAAATCTGTGCAAAATTTTGTATAGACTTACATAAAAAAAAAAAAAACGACACAAAGTCGCATAGAAGAAAACCTAAGATTTCTTTGTATTTTAGGGATTTATTATTTATGTCATTTCTTTTCAAAATCAGTCAACAATATATCAATCCATAGACCTAAAGCAAAATTTGCTTTAGATCTATGATCAATCCAAGCATTTTTGTTTTTATCCTTAAAAGACGTCGGGATCGGCATACGTTTTATTAATGTTGAAAATTCTTGCTAAATATTCGTAAACAAAAGAAGTAAATATTGGGGGAAATTAATTTGCAAATTTTTAAACCATAGGTTTTAATATGTCAAAAACAAGGCGGGCCACCCATGCAGGAAGCTGGTATACAAATGATGGTAAGTCTTTTACCTTATTTTCCATGGTTTAAGACGAGGGCTTCATTTCTTGTGCAAACTTTTACATGTTTTCCGTGAAGAACAATGAATGATTAATGACATGGACTAGAAGACATATTGTTTTCGTATTTCAGAACGTCCATTTTTATATTTTGTTTGTAAATTTGACTTCTTGTCCATTTCTACTTTTGTATCAGGTTCAATCAATGAGTTTTTTTTTTTTTTTCAGGGAGAGAGTTGAGCAATCAGTTGGAAGAGTGGCTGTCTAAAGCTACTCCGTCTTATTCCCCAGCAAGAGCCATCATTGCCCCGTAAGATTTTCTTAATGAAAAAAAAAATTAATTGAATTATATATCTGTTTATCCAGCAACTATTCAGAAAGGTGTTTCAAAAGATTATGATAGATAAAGATAATGTAAAAATTAATATATAATTCTTGGTATTTGATCAACTTCCGTCGGAAATATTATGCCAATTATACTGCCATTGGAAATGATATATTTTATGATGTGACCGTTGGAGTGAGCACAGTTGTACCATGTAACTTTAATCTGCCTCTTCAAAATTCAAACTACACAAGACACTGTCTAGACTCTGAGGTCACAGGACATCTTATGTAAGTTGTATGTCCATAAGGGCGTTTAAACACGCCTTGTTTAATTTTTTTTAGCGAAAGGCATTGTCACAGTAGAGTTGATGCAATTGCAATTTATTTTCTCCTTTCTTGTTACATACCATTATCACATGGGATCATGGTAGGAAAAGAATTCTGGAAAGGTTTCACACAAAGATTTGCCTGATAAATGTACAAATTTCATTCCAAATTTCTTCTGATTTTACATGTTAGTCTATACATGTAGATCTTGCTTTGCCAGCAGTGCTTTGTTCTACTTGCTGTGCTCACTATTATGACAGTATGTTATAATATGAAAGCAAACAAGCCAATGGAATCTCATGGGTCATGAATCTTTTAAAGCAGTGCCCTTCTTTCAAGTTTAATCATAATGTCCTTCAATATATTATTTAATTAAGCTAATTAACTTGATTCATAAATATTTCAAAACAAAACCACTGGTCTCAATAGCCAGGGCATGCTCTTAGTGATTGGGATGACCGTTTCAGTTCTTGTTCGCTGTGCTGTGTCAAACCCAAGATGTAAACATAGGTAGTGACTGTTCCTTTGCCAAGCACCTAGCATGAGAATTGAAAGGTACAGGTCTTTCAGTTGAGACCTTAAAAACCGCAAGGTCCCGTGTCATGGTAAGCATTGGCACGATAAAGAACCCTCTCTGTTCAGTGGCCCTGAGTGCCTGGTATAGGTCTAAATTTGAAACCCTTGACTGGCATATGGTGACGTCTGTATATGAGTGAAAAATTCTCAAATGGGATGTTAAACAACATACAATCAAAACAAAATCTTTGGTAAAAAAGATGTGTTTGTGAAACACTGACACCCCTGTATGGCAGCTCATAGCCAAGGTGAAAGTTTTTCAAAAGTAGGTAAAACCCCCAGATCAATATAAGGTCATAAGAAAAAAAAAATAATAGTACCCAAGGAAAGGTCTTGTCACAAGGAATACAAATATGAAATAAGAAAGCCCTGGCACCAACCATTCAGAAGTTATGGCCAATGTTAAAGTTTTCAAAAAGTAGGTCAATCACCATGGTCCTGAGGTCAAAAATGTTGGTACTCAAAGAAAGGCCTTGTCAATAGAAATACACCTATTAAATATGAAAGCTCCAGCCCTAGTGCCAACCTTTCCGAAGTAATGGGCAAGGTTAAAGGTTGCTTCTTGAGTAGGTCAAACAGACAGATAGACAGACCAAAATCTATATGCCCTGAAACTCTGATTGCGGTATAAAAAAAATAACATTTCATAATTTTACCTCTGTTCCTTGAGGGTAAAGAGCAGATTATCTTTATTTAAATAGGCAAAATGGAACCATGTTTACACTTATCAAAAAATGAAAAAAGAAGTGGAAAGTTATTTTACCAATTCACAGGTTAATGATTAACAGTAGTAATCAGTACAGAAAGAAGAATGAATATGTGAATGTCCAAATTCTATTTAGATTCTCTGACTTAGACTGTATACATGAAATGAAGAAGGTAGTATAAAGTTTGCTGTCTTTTTTAGCCATGCAGGTTACTACTACTGTGGAGCGTGTGGTGGTCATGCCTATGGACAGATTGATCCAACCATCATGTAAGTAAACCAACTGTTAATCTAACCATCATTTAAATAAACTGACTTTTAATCCAACCGTCATGTAAGTAAACCGACTGTTAATCCAACTGTCATGTAAGTAAACCGACTGTTAATTCAACCAACATGTAAGTAAACCAACTGTTAATCCAACCATCATTTAAATAAACCGACTGTTAATCCAACCGTCATGTAAGTAAACTGCCATGACTTTCACACCACTTTTTGGTACAGGGCCAGGGCCATTAAAATTGGAAAATTAGCAATGTTGTGAGGAAAATTGGGAAAATTGACAATTTTTTTTTTAATATCCTTACAGTTTGGTTTTGTGGTGTTTTGTTGTCATTTTTATTAGTAATGACAATTTAGGAAAATGACACTATAAAGTTGGGAAAAAGAAACCTATTTTGAATTAAGATTGGGGTCTTTTAGCAACCATAATTAGTACATGTACTGGTAATTATAGACCATTGAAACTCCTTACTCCTTACAGCTGTAAGATTGAAGCTGAACTGCATGATAAAGAACTCGTAGCATCAAAATACACATATGGAATTGATGAACATTGTTCTTGTATTTTACTGTGAAAGGAAATATATTCTTCATTATACTACGTGTTAAAGTTAATCTTAAAGTTTCAGGTGTAAATAAAATATGTTTCACACTTTATTCTCAGTTTTTGTTTTATGTTATTTCAAAGTTCTATTTTACTGACAAGGTACAATCATTCCATATGAAAAGAATTTATAATCAAAATGTCGTCTTATTGTGAACTCTCACAAAAATAATATCTGTGATGAATTCTTTTTTTGTACTTTCAGAAAGAGAGTTTTTGTTCTTGGACCATCCCACCATGTCCGTCTATCTGGTTGTGCCCTCACCGATACTTCTACTTACCAGACTCCACTGTACGATCTAATTATAGACCAAAAAAGTAGGTGTGAAAATCAAAGCAAAAGATATATCAATGAATTTGTAACCGCCTGTGGTAAATTTGACTTCATAAAATCTAAAAAAAAAAAAAAAAACAGTATAAAATGATGAAAAGTATGTGTACATGTACAAAGATATGTGTAATCATGGAACCAAGTTAAAATGCTAGTATACCTGCATTTAACTAGTGTATGTTTAATCATACATGCTGGACAATTAAATAATAGAAGTTTGTCTGTAGGATTTTGTATTTTTTTCTTTTCTACAGTAAATGAGGAATTATATGCCACAAATGCTTTCGAGAAAATGAAAATGAGCACAGACGAAGATGAACATAGTATAGAGATGCAGTTACCATATATTGCCAAGGTTATGGAGAGGTTGGTACAGTTTTTCAATAAATTTGTTAAAATGCCTTTTAAAAGCATTACTATCATCTTCAAGACTGTTGTTCAATGCAAGGATGAAATCAGGTAAATAGAATATACTTCATTTTTTGAAGTACATGTACTTAATTAGAGCTGAAGATCTAATTGAATTAATGAATCAACAGAATGAAAAGATACAATGATCAGATGAACAACAGAGAAATCTGCCATATAACATTAACAAAATTAAAAAAAACAGCAAATTAATTTCGGAAATCCTTGTTATGTGGTTAAGTAAAGATAATTCCATGTGATACTATTGCAGCAAACGTGGGCAGTTCACAGTGGTACCAGTTTTGGTTGGTTCCCTGTCCTTAGACAAGGAGAAGCTATATGGGTCTATATTTAGCCAGTATCTGGTGGATCCTGCCAATTTGTTTGTGATATCCTCTGATTTTTGTCACTGGGGACAACGATTCCGTTATACATTCTATGACAAGTCCTTCGGTGACATCTGGCAATCCATTGAGGCCTTAGATAAAATGGTTAGAAACTTGCTGATCATTTCATGACATAAAGTATAATTAAATAAATGGAAATATACCATGTATATATTCATTTGTATGCTATCTTTGGATTAAGCTTTAATGAATAATTAATAATTGATTTCAATGTACCTGGTGCTGAGTTCTTAAATTTTCTGCATTTAAACTGATATTAATATCATTACACTGTATTTAGATTAACATATAACATGCATTTTTCAAGGAATATCTTGATTTTCTTGGTGTCTTGTGCTTTTATTTGCAGGGAATGAATGCAATAGAACAAATGGACCCTGTTAAATTTTCTCAGTATCTAAAAGATTATGAAAACACTATATGTGGCAGATACCCTATAGTTGTTCTCTTAAATGTAAGTTTTACTGGCTTTTTAACACATTTCAATTCAGTTTTAATTGATTCATTTAGTTTCCCAACTGTTTGATAAACCTTATGAATATTGAATGATCTTTATTTATTAAAAAAATAATTTAAAATTTTATGAAATATGAATACTGGTTTTCAGGCAATAGATGTTCTACGAAGAAACGGAAATGGTCACAGAATGTCCTTTAAGTTCATGAACTATGCCCAGTCCAGTCGCTGTAAGAAGAACAGTGATTCATCGGTCAGTTATGCAGCAGGTGCACTCCTGATGCAGTGATTGTTATAACGTAAACAGTGTTAGTGGTCCATCACTTTACACGAAATTTTTGAAGTTCATATTTTTTGGTATTTACAAACACAATTTAAAGTGTAAACTCATTATTAGGTATTATATTCCTTGTATTAATTTGTCTGAATAATGATTTAGATATGGCTAAAGTGAAATTCTGACTTGCTGATCTAAATATGGCTTGAGTCGAGTATGAATGAGTTGCCGATTTGCATTTATTATGAAGTTGCCTTTTTTCTTTTGTAATAAAATGAATTGAAAGTGAAGATTTATCTTTTTTTTTTTAAATTTTTCCTATATTTAAATTTCTATAGTTATGAAATTTATGCAATATTTTACAGATTATTTTATAACATTGGCCCGAATTCTGTCAACTAAGTTTGACATGTAGAAATGACTGCTTTTTTATGGCTGGTCAAATTTGCTATACTTCCAATGTACATTTCTTATTAGCTCTGCTGGTAAAAGATACATTAGTAAGGTATCCCTCATCCATCCATTTATCTGTCCATCTCTGTAAATTCTTTTCAAAAAACTACTTTTCTTACAGTTTTGGTCCAATTTCAACAATAAGACTTGGTACATAAGTAGACTATACTAAGATACAAATTTCTTTGATAGCTTTTGTGGGGAAAAATAAGGTCAATTTTTGAAAGGTTATATGAAAAAATAATTTGTTATGAACTGTGAGGCCTAGAAGTTTAAGAATTGGTTACAATCAAGTACTAGCAGGCCCTTTGGAAGCAATTTCAGTTATGGAGGGGGGGGGGGGGACTACCAAACAAAAATTCCGTGATAAGTCGAGAAAAAAAGGTCATCAGACGTCAATTTCAGAGGACACATTCGTGATTTTTATAGTATGCTATACATGATGTATATCGGCAAAATAATTATAACTAGTCAGCCCCAATTTGTATGGGCTGACTAGTTATACAGACTGATTACGTGGATTCTAATCATCGCATGAAAGTGGTGCATTTTCCAATCTTCTTTCCATGTAGAGTGATCCTGCCGACATACATATAAGTTTGTGTAAAACAATATTCCTTGACACAATTGTTTTGCCTTATTAATGCTACGTATATTCATTAATACTAATTTTAAACATGATGCTGATTTCAATATAATCGGAGCTTTATTTTGTTCATTGTTGGCATGTCATATGTTCCAATATTCAATCTTTTCCATTTGTATTGTATAATTTATTATTTGTTTTGTATAATTTTTATTTGTATTCAATAATTTTCCATTTGTATTCTATAATTTTCCATTTGCATTGTATGATTTTCCATTTGTTTTGTATAATTTTTCATTTTATAATCTATCTTCAAGTCGAGTGCTGACTGACGTTTTTCATTCTAATTGTTAGGTCATTATTTACACACTGAATTGTCTACGGATTTTTCCGTTTGCCCGATCATAACAAGGAGCACTAGGCGGGTGTGACCAGTCAAGAGGGGATGCTTACTCCTCCATGGCACCATATCACCTCTGATGCTTTTAGAGGTCCGTGTTTGCTCTGCTCCCGATTTGTATTGTTTGAATGGACTTTTGAGCTTGATTACTGTTCGTTTTATCCGTATTTCATACAATACAAATAAAAATTGTACAATACAAATGGAAAATTATACAATGTAAATGGAAAAGATCGAATATTGCAACGTTTGCCATGCCATAATTCTTTCTGTCCTCAGAACTTCAGAAATAACAAAAAATTACCCCAAGGCAAAACCCCTTCAATAGCTTGTCAAATAATTTCCGAGTCTAACAGATGTTGGAGTTGATTTGGAACCCCCCACCCCCACCCCACCCCTGGATTCCTGGATCAGCGCCTGCATTAGTTGCACATCTGCATTACCCCTACATATATATTTACCAACTGTTACTCTTAGCAGAGATTCGAAAGGAATCCTTGATATTTGACGTTTTTGTAAAATTAGAGGGTTTTCGGTTAAATCGTGGAAAAGACATTTTTAATGCGGCCGCAAACGAAGCTGAAGTTTAAAGCAAATGTTTTTCAATCATATTTGAGTAAATCTTTTTTTTTCATAAGATAAAGACAAAAATAAGGATTCCATTAGACTTGAAAAAATCAGGATTTCGTCATAGAACATGCGAATATTATAAAAATTTCGAAATAAAAGTATTAAATTGATAAGTATCATATTTTAATTCACTATCTATTATGTCGTCATTTTGAATATTTCAAAGCATTTGCCTAATTTTCTGCATGCAATTTTTCTGAGCAATGTAAATTAATGGGAAAGTAGTAAACAACACACGGAAAATGGCGACGTTTTATGACGTTACGGCGAACCGGACAGCAGTTCAATTTTATGTAGATTTACGTAATACATATTCAGACTTAAAATTATAAAAGAAGATAAAGAGTTTTAAAAAATAATACTAAATCTCCGGTACATCATGACGTAAATTTTGAATTTACTTGGGGGAGGTAAATTCAAAATTAACAACATGATAGGTATACAAGTGGAGTGGCGTTTATCGAGTCCCCTGATGGAACAAAACATACAAACGGCAACAGGAAATAGCGAAAGACGCTATTACATGTATTTCAAACCGTCCGCAAAATAAATAAAATAAATGTTTAGTTGAATGTAATTAGAGTTCTGTCCATTACCATCTTCAGAAAATCCCTGTGTGCGAGATAGGTCCCTCACCTGTAATTGGGGAGCAAAAGGGAGCTCGAGTGTGTGCATCAGTAATATTCCCGAATATGTTTGGGGCAACCTTTTTGAAACGTAACAATGCATTAGACACTGACATTGTCATCCGTGCGCCCTTGGGTGGTTCCACAAAAAATATAAAATCCCCTACTAGTATTTTGTTTACTTAGGCATATCTATTTGAAATTTGTCAACAGTAGAGGCAATTTAGTAGCCAGTATTGATTACTTTTTATTCTACAGGGACATTTGCCTAATGACCAGTTTGGTTTTCTCTCATATAAAGTAATGGCGTTTGAATTCCATTCTTGTAGAAGTGTTCCAAAGTTGAGCTCAGCAAGAAAACACTTTCAGAAACTCATTCAATGACCATGGGGACTGTGAAATCTTTTTAAAATATGCTTGAAAAGTCTTTGCGTTTTGATTCCGTATTGTTAATATTACTTTTAATTTGGTCTGATATTTTCATAAAGATTGTGTGGTACAAAATCTTGGGAGAAAATACTATTTACATCTGCCTTAAGGTGTACGAGATTCAATTGACCACACACACACCAAAATGTCTTCCGTGTCAACCAAAATATGGATGTTAATGTATATCTCTAATTCAATTTTTACCAATAAAACTGCATTTTGCATTTCTTTGTTTTTTTTATTAAATGATCCGAATAAAAATAAATAATAACAACAACAGAATGAATACATGTATATAGACAATAAAGTATCAAATTGAATGTATATTGTACCCGTGTTTAGGGTTGGATACCGGTACTCGGTACCAATACCGTACCGAATAGTTATTTCAAAAATACCGGTAAAATACCGTTTTATTTAATACCGGTACTATAACGGTATTTCTCAATCTTTGAAAGATTTTAATACATTCAAAATGATTTATAAAAAAAGAGATTCCAGACTCGCTAAAATAAAATTCCCCGCGCATTGAAAGGGTAGGCTAATTAACGAAATGGATGCTTAGTATGGTACTTGCTTTTGACTGCCGATATTCGAGGTAAATCAATACGTATATTTAAAAAAAAAAAAAATCACATTAATCTTGTTTTAATTTTATTTATAAAAACTGATAATAATTGTAACTAAAAAATGCAAAATGTCGCAAAAATGTGATGTGCATCTCTATCCATTTTTAATGTTTCGTCGTTTAGTGCGAACAAACAAAATGGGTCCTGGCAAGTGGCAACCGGGTGAAGCGGTCATGCAGCTGTATCTAGTTAAATTAATTTGTTTGAGATTCAATTTATTTGTTTTGTTGATGATTTATTAAAAGATTGAAATAGAACATAGTTTATAGGGTCATTTTAGATTATAACATCGAATGGTTGCGGATTGGTGAAAACACATTTGTTATAAAATGAGCCCTCATTCTCATTCATCGAGGTAAAGTACCGTATCGTTAAAAATACCGTATCGTTTTAAAAATACCGGTATGGTATCGTACCGTTTCATCCTTAACGGTATCCAACCCTACCCGTGTTACTGTACAAAATTCCTCCTTTGACCAAAATATTGTAGCAAAAATAAAAAAATAACTGTACAACATTTCTTACATCTTCTCTGAGTCATCATTTATATAGTTGAAAATAAAGTGTCAATTATATAGTTGATAATAAAGTGTAAATATATACAAATTTTTAAAAAAATTAAAAAGATTCAGAGTTACAAATATGGTATAAAATTGTAAACATTCAAAAATTTGACATGATTTTGAAGTCTATAGAATATTGCATGATGAAGATTTGTTTCCAGTGTTAGTTGGTGCACTTTTAGATCTAGAATTTGAAACTGACTGGTTTGGATGGTTGTCTTCTGATGTGGGAGGTTCCAATTTTGGAACATTTTCTGTTCTTTCTTTGGACAAGCTGCTTCCTTTTGCAGGAGATCTGGAAACAGCATCTGTTGAATCTGCCCCAAATTTCTTAGAAGAAAGTCCCGTTTTTAAAAGACACTAGAAAGAAAACATTTTAAATCGTAAATATAATTCATTTTGATAACATGAAATAAATCAGTATTACAGAGTGACCAATATTCATTTACCTTCTCTAATTCCACCAATTCATTTGAGTTTCCTTTCCCTGCATTTGCAATGATTGGTGACGGTTTAGACTGCGTGTGACTGAAATGAAAGTATTTTTGCTATTCATGTTATCGGTTGCCATAAATGAACTACTAATTCATATTAAATAACAAATTCAGTCAGTTTTATCCTGATCAAACTTGGTGAGAAAAAGTACAGTCCTCGATACTGAAGTAAAAAAAAAAAGAGAATGTATGTACATGTTCTAAGAATGTAATCTGGAATAGAATTGAAAGAATCGCTTTTTAAAATGCATATGCAGAGGACTTGACTTTCAAGAATTTTTTCCTTACTCCTCCATAATGATTTTTTTTAATTACAAACCCTGCCAATTCAAGCAATATCTCGTCTGCTAGTTTGGTCATGGCTGCAAAGTCCTGTGATTTGTATGAGAATGACCCTTTCAGTTCCATTATATCCAGTTTGACCGTTTTGCTTGATTCATTGAACATCTTTTCCCAATACTCATCCCTCAAACACACATCTACTGGTAACAAATTTGCAAAGGCGGGTTTCTCTACTTCCATGGACTGACAGACGTATAACACCTTCCTCTCTTTTTCACTCCGCTGGCGGATGATGGCGATAAATAATTCTTCTAAGTGATGAGCTGACTCTAGATACTGTTTTGATATAAAAACAACGATCTTTTGAGCTGTCTGTAAGCACTTCAAATCAATGCCTGTGTTGTCGCTGATAAGAACAGTGTTGATGTCTGGACTAATTTTCTGCAGCTGATGCAAGAAACTTGTGGCCAAACTGAGGTCATTCTGACTGACGCTGACCACCACGTGACACAAAGACTGGTCCAAAGGTTTCATATCAAAAGGAACCTTTCTCTCGATGCTATTAATTTTCATGTTGTAATTGTCATAAATTGCTTTCTTTCTAATTTCAGACTGCTTTGCAAAGTCGAAATATTGAGAAACCTGTAAAAGAAAATACTTTTTTCAATTTATAAGTCCATCCCAACCAAAAAAAGTCCAAGGATAAAGACATTTCTGTTCCTATCAGATTACATGTACTTTTAATTACCTCTGTAGATGTGTTTGCAAGATAAGTTGGTCTTTTCTTTTCTAGAACCCAATGTGCTACATCCTTAACAAGATTGGGGACCAGTTCATTGTACTGGTTTCCTCTGCCGTCTATCAGTTTATGTTCACCGTAGCAACAAGGGACAGATGGCAGATCCTCAATGCAAACAAGTATGAGTAGAAAATCCTCTGGCTGGAAAGTTACAATATTCATTATATAAGGATTTGGAATTACAATTATATCTTTTAATGTCCAAATTCAGCTTAACCAATTATAGCCATACAATTTTGTGTTTTTTAGCTCATCTGAGCCAAAGGCTCAAGTGAGCTTTTCTGATCAAAATTTGTCCGTTGTCTATTCTCGTTGTTGTCGTCATCATTAACTTAATTACAATTTCATCTTCTTCTCCAGAACCACTGGGCCAAATTCAACCAAACTTGCCACAAAGTATCCATGGCTAAAGGGATTCAGGTTTGTTCAAGTGAAGGGCCACGCCTTCTTCCAAGGGGGAGATAATTAGGAATTAGTGAAAAATTAATGACATTGTCTAAAAATCTTCTTTTTAAAAACCAGTGGGCTAGAAAATATGAAACTCATGTGTAAGCATTTATAGGTAGTATAAATTCAAATTTGTAAAAATCATGACCCCCGGGGGAAGGACGATAAAAGTTTTAAATTGGAATACTATAGGAAAAATCTTTAAAAATCTTCTTCTCGAGAACAGCAAAGCCATGATTAGTCATATTAATATTGAAGCATCGTCAGGTAATGTAGATTCAAGTTTTTCAAATCTTGATCCCTGGTGTAGGCTGGGGCCATAATGGGGTATCAAAGTTTTACATAGGAATATATAGGAAAGATCATTAAAATTCCTTTTCTCGAGAACAGCAAAGCCAAGACATTTTAATATAGAAGGATCCTCAGATATTGTAAATTCAAGATTGTTCAAATCAACCAATAACCCCAGGGGGGATAGAAGATAATATAATATTTAAAAAAATCTTCTAAAGCCATTAATTATCAAAGAAATATTGAAGCATCATCTGTAAGTGTAAATTTAAGTTTGTTCAAATCATTCCCCCTTAATAGTTTGGGACCACTGATACATGTATATTTAAACTTTTCAATACTGAATTGATTTCTTCGTTTTCTTGGCCAAAGTGCCAAGGTGAGCAATGTGGCCCATGGGACTCTTGTTATTTATTCAAAATTATTTGGGCTGTTACTGCCGTGCATTTGTTGATGCTTTTGACCACATATGTGATGAAAAGTTGGTAAAATTCAATATACATATACATATTTTAAGAAAGTTATCTTTTATAGATAATTCTACTTTGTGCATTGGCAAAGAATTTTTTGTCCTTATCTTTTAAACATATTTATTGAAACATCTTCACTTGTAAGACAGCTTGTATATAGTCAAATACTCTGAGGTGAATACTCACTGTCCTATGACAGCGATACAATGCGATATTGAATTCTTCTTGACAAATCACAGACGACAAATAACTGCGTGATACAAGGGCGATAACGCATTTCACCGAGTCCAGGGAGTAATACAGACTCTTCTGCCACAAACCACCTGAGTAAAAAAATATCATTCATTCTTTACGTTAAAATTTGAAGCCCCTCCCCCTTTCTGGACAGATATAAATAAACACTGGTGAGACTTATCATACCGACTTGTAAATCCTGTCTGTCAAAGAAAACGTCAAGATCTGGAAACTGTTTTTCAAACTCTACTAGCAATAAATGCGCTTCATTGGGATTTTTGTGAGCGTAGGAAATAAAGACGTCATGACTGAATTGGTTTTCTCCCTCACTAGTAACTTTTTCCTCCTCTTCTGGCTCTGTCAACATAAGTCGAATGCATGCCATCTCCATTTTTTCCTCAGCTGTCTCGCCCTCTTTTCGTACCCTATAACATGTACTAAGTGGTTACTTTTACCCTAGCTACGGAAATGTTTCGTCTTGAACAAATTATAAGCAAATAATTTTATAGAATTAAATACAAAGGGTTCCTTGGTATCTTCTTCAAAGTTCGATAAACTCATGACAAACACAGATTTATGCTTACCGTGCAGTTACGTGTACATAATTACAAACTTCACGACACAAATTTTATTAAGGATAGACAAAAGTTTCATTTTACTGACGAAGGTTATCTCTCGAAATATAATGATGCGTAAACATTACATCTACGTTCACCTTCTGCTCATAAATGATATCCCCCCCCCTTCTCCAAACTAAATGATTTTGAGTTTGTTCTTGACAAATTCTTACAATATATATATTTAAGCATCTGTATCAAGTACGAACTTCTAATGTTTCTTCTCTTTAACATTGTGGTTCATACACGATTCCCTCAACATGCAGAGAAACGAGTGCATTTGATGTTAAAAATGGTTTATGTTAATTTTGATTTAGAAAAAAAGCCTTAGGACTTTTAGGGCATGCTGCATACAAAGTACCTGCAGTCAAGGAACTGAACCAGACTAATGCTGACTGGAATAATTTGAATTGTTTCGAAATACAAAGGGACTAGAAAATCCTTCCCCCGGCGACGGGTACAGCAGATCGCCATGTTGAACATCTCCAAACATTCTCCACTCTGAACAAAGCTACAGGTCAGTACTGGAACAATTCTGTGAAGAGACGAAAAAGATGTATATTGGGTAAGTTAAACTGAAGATAAATCACGAAGAACAGAGTGTTTCCACATAAGCCAAAATAGCATGGTTCGTGGCTCTCAACCATAATATCAATATCATTATTTAAACAATAAAATGCTTTCTTTGATTGTTATTACGGGAATTAATGTTGCAGCTGTTGCAGAATGTTTTGTCCGCAATAGCTGCAACGTTAATTCCCATACTAACAAACAAAGAAAGTATTTTATTGTTTATATTTATTACCAAATAAAATCCTTTTCTCGCCCATCCCCCTTTCCTTTTCAAATAGCCTATATTCTAAATAGAAGATTGCTTTTAATATGTACTATTCATTTACAACGACAAAATTTCTTTCTTGGCTTTAAAAATTTGTAATACTCTGTTTAAAAATCTTAACTCTTAAATTTCTACAGTGCCCCCTCTCCCGACGTTTGGCCCCAAGGGCTATGTCATTCATAACATTCAATCTACAGTAGGATACTTCAAAAACACCTCTACTGTGTCTCACGAACCTTTTACTTCCCATCATAAGATCAAAGATTCCTTGCTGCCAGACTTCTTTTTCATTAAACTTTGAAGCATTGGAGTAAATAGTCAAACCTTTTTTCCGGTTGCTAAGATTCTTGGACAAGGTTTTCACTATTGACATATCACTTGGTTGGTAAACAAGAAATATATCGTACGAAAGAATGTTTTTCTTCTAAAATTAAAAAAAAAATACAAATATAAAATAATTTTCTCACATCACTTATTAGCAGCTAAACAGGATAACGGTAAATTAAGTCTGATGAAATAAATATACTTAAAAATGTAGTTGATGCTATTAAAGGTGCTTGGACACAGATTTGAAGTTAATATTTACTCAAATTTTCTGTATAATTTCATGACTTATATGTTGCTGTAGCATTTCATACGAAAATTTGATAAAAGTCTTATTTTATCTGGAAGTTATTGAAACTTTGAATTTCTGGACGCGTTTGATAGACACATCCTTGCAATTTCACAAATTTTAACTTTATCCTTATTACTTTAGAAAAGTAGCAATTTTGTAGTTTATTAATAAAAAATATTAAAACTGTAATGCAGAAATTTCAGAGTAGAAATGTAGAAAGCAAAATCCTCTCACCAGTATTGTCAGTGTGCTCAGTGGTGTGTGCAGAGTTTAACAATTGAACACACCCGGTGAAACGTAAACATTAACAACAACAGAGCTCGTGCCTTGTTTACAAAAACAGTTTACGTTTCACGGGTGTTTTCAATTTGTTAAACTCTGTACACAACTACACAACATTGAGCACGGACTGTCAATACTTAAGTGAGGTGGGTTTTGCTTTCGCACATTTAACTCTGAATTTTCTGGATTATAGATGTAATATTCATTAATACACAACAAAATTGCTACTTTTCTTAAGTATTAAGGATAAAGTTAAAAATTGTGCAAGTGCAAGGATGTGTTAATCAAACGCCTCCCGAAATTCGTAGTTTCAATAAATTCCAGATTAAATAAGTTTTTAATTTTATTTTCGTGTGAAATGCTATAGCAACATATGAGTTGTGATATGATACAGAAAATTTGAGAAAATATAAACTTCAAATCTGTGTCTATGCACCTTTAAAGCTATAAAATAAAAATTGCTATGAACTTATTGAATTTCTAAATATAATCAACTGTCGAAATGGATGGGAGGGCGTTTAACAGGGTTAATTAAAATATTAAAAGGAAGCATTCAAAAGCACATTAAAACATGTTTATAGTAAACACATATACATGTATACAAGTATATGGAATTACAGATATAACGGATTAATTTCACCTGTTTCTGACAATTTGCTACCAACATGTTCTTTTTGTATCTTTATAAAACAAATAAGACGAACCTGTTTATCCGTTTTCAAATGTTTCTCTTTCAAACTAGAGAAACACTTGTTAAGATCAGAATCTTGATCGCCAAACACTACTATTTTTAACTTTTTCAGGGGAAGTCCCGCCTGGATCCAGCTGATGGCACCCTGAACTGTCGCTTGTAGTACTATTTTCTTGTCAGAGTTCTGCATAAAGAACAAGATATATTTAAAAGTTAAATAATTCACTAATTACTGTAAATAGTATCATTTGTCGAGGCCTTAATGGTATCATACTGATATGTTGTAACGAAAAGGAAGATATTATGACGTGAAAAAATAATGCACTAATTTCACAGTTGTCATACAATTAATTATACTTGTGCCATGTGTACATAATTTTCTTTGGTTAATTACCATAATATCATATAAATACTATATCACAAAGTTATATATTTTGGCAACAAGCCAACAACCCATCTGGATTTAGAGATACTATATCACAAAGTTATATATTTTGGCAACAACCCATCTGGATTTAGCACAAACTTGAAGATGAGGTTTTTTGATCAAACTTTGTTCTTCTGTCTGTCTCTTATCTTAAATATTTTCAAATCTTTTGAAGTCTAGTATGTGACTAAGAAGTCAAGAGAAGCTATTTTAAATTTTCACGCCATTATTGAGTTTACTCATATCACTGCCTTTGATATTTTGGAGTTTGAACCAATATCATTCTTCCTCTAGCCAGCATGAATCTCTTTAATTTTTGCATGGACCAGTCATGGTAGCCTAGTGGTAGGGCGTCCTCGATATCACTGCTCAATGGCCTTGAGTGCTGAGTAAAGGTCTAAATTTGAAGCCCTTTACCGGTACATGTATATGGTGACGTCTCAATATGAGTTTTAAATTCTCAAATGGGATATAAAACAAGATACAATCAATCAATCTTTGCATTGTGACAACAAATCTGTTACAAAGGTACAATCGATTTTATCTTGACATAATAGTTTTTGACCCTTCAATAAATGGGCATCTTTTCCTGGTCAGCTGTCTTCTCCTGAACAAACTTGAGACCGAAAGTTTGTAAGATACTCTACATAGATCAACCTTATATTAACCTTAATCCTTAACCTTTCAATCCTCAATGAACAATCATGTACCAGGTAACCCCTAGTCAATTACCACCTTTGTAAAAAAAATAGTTTTCAACATTTTGTGTCCACAACACCAGTAAGAACATTGTTATGTTCATATGGACAAGTAACTATATTCCCTTGCAACTACAATTATGTTGTTATATTCCTGTGCTCTGTGATCAATTCATAATTATTAATATAATCACCTGGCATCCTGTCGCCAGTAAAGGTGTAATGATTGTTGTGCTTTGGTTTTTAAGGACAGGGACCAAAACTTTGAACATGTCTCTGATTTGTCGAGTGAGTGAATCATTATCAGTTCCTCTAGTTCTGCAACAAGAAAAATTCAACAACATACAGATCTATGCAGACAGAATTCAACACTGATTACTAGTTTGATTCGATTTACTTAAATCAATTTGGAACAGTGCATGTGCTTTCTAATAGCATGGGATTTTTTATGTCTTATCTAAATATAAGGAACAACGAAAGATTATTAAGCTTATTTTCATTGTTTTTTTTCTCGAAGTTTCGCATTATAACGCACCAGAAATTAACGGGAAACTCCATGTACAGGGATATATCGCGATAATCTATCTTTTTTGAAGTTACAGTTGATTATGAACAGTTTTATTCATATTTGGGAAAGAGGGTTTCCTTTTAATTATCGTTATAAAACGTTCGTGTTATACAAGAAATACTATGCTGTCATTTTTGATGTCATCATTGAACTAAGCAATTTGTTTACTAGTAATGATGACATCATTATAAAATACATTGCGAGTGCGCGTTTAAACTGTAAATCAACCTATACATGTAATAACATTTATACTCACTTTTCAAAGCATAGCACACGCCCAAAAGGTAGGCCCGGGGGTAACGGTTTTGAAAGCCAACAAGAGTAGTGAACGCGGAGGTCCATGTCTTTTTCTCGGGACAGGAGACGCACAGATATCCCCAGATTATGATGCAGAGCTCCTATTAAAGTTCTATGCACCGGGGAATAGTCGCCTACAATGCAGAGTTTTCAAACATGACACATAATTGTTACGAACATGAGAGTTTCATGAAATATTACACAATTCCCTGTCGTAAAAATCACGAAACTTCAGTTCAAACTATGTTAATTATTTCTTATTCTTAAAAAAGGTTTGTGTTCATATAGCAACAGGCTAGGACAGATTATTTATTTTCGTCGAGGACAGATTACTAATACTAAGCAAACAGAGAAACTGAGAACAGAATATAAAGAAGCCTACAAACAAGTCAAAAAGAGTGCAAGGAAGGACAAGAGGTAGTTCGTCCATGACATGACTGAAGAGGCAGAGAGAGAGCAGCCAGACAGAACAACATGAAAAAGCTGTTCGAAATAACCAGAACACTGTCGGGAAGAAATGTGAACACCAACACCCCAGTGAGGGACAAACAAGGCAAAAATATCACAAGGATGTAGGACTAAGAGCTAGATGGGTAGAGCACTTCAAGGAAGTTCTAAATCGACCATCACCACCCAGTCTTGCAAGCATACCACCAATGAAAGACCTTCACATCAATGCAGGACCACCATCTAGAATAGAAATCACCAAGGCTATAAACACACTGAAAAATGAAAAGGCAGCTGGTCCTGATGCTATCCCTCCCGAGGTTCTCAAAGCTACTCCAACAATGTCGGCAGAGATGTTACAACCATATCTGCAAAAATATGGGAAAAGGAAAAAATACCAGATGCGTGGAAAACAGGATACCTGGTTAAACTACCCCAAAAGAGGGACCTTGTTTGGAAATTGGCGATGCATCATGCTTTAATCTATTGCCAGTAAGATCCTATCAAGAGTAATCTTGGAAAGAATGAAAGGAGCATTGGACAAGAAACTAAGATCAGCAGGGTTATGCCAAGACAGATCATGCACAGATCACATTGCCACACTTCGTATTATCATTGAACAGTCCATTGAATGGCAGTCTCCTCTTTATTCAATCTTCGTGGACTTTGAGAAGGCCTTCGACAGTGTGGATAGGTCAACCATCTGGAGTCTAATGCCGAATTATGGAATTCCACCAAAGTTCATAAGCGTCATCAGAAATCAGTATGAGGATGCCACATCATTCAAAATGGGAAGCTAAAGGATCCTTTTAATGTGGAAACAGGAGTAACGCAGAGCTACATCCTCTCACCAACCATATTCCTGATAGTCATTGACTGGATCATGCAGGAAACAACAAAGGGCAGAAAGACCAGAATGCTGTGGTCCTTCAAGAAACAGCTTGAGGACCTGGATTTTGCAGATGACATTGATCTGCTCTCATAGAAGCAACAACATGCTTAGGAGAAATTAACAAGATTGGCATCAGAAGCTCAAAAGACTAGCCTTAAAATAAACACCAAGAAGACAGAGGTGATGAGAATCAATACCAAACAGGAGGAATCAATCCAGGTAAATGGGTAGAACATCAAAGAAACTGACAGATTCACTTCTTGGGAGTATTGTCAACAAGGGTGGTGGTGCAGATGACGATGTCAAAAGCCGAATTAATAAGGCAAGATATGCTTTCAATACCCTAGGACAAATCTGGAATTCTAAAGCACTCTCCATCAACAGCAAAATCAGGATTTTTAACAAAAATGTTAAACCAGTTCTCTTAATATATGGTTCTGAGACTTGGAAGGTAACTAAAACTATAAATAACAAACTACAAACTTTTGTCTATAAATGTTTCCGCCATATCCTTAACATCAGATATGGCCCGACACGATATCAAACAACAGCCTATGGGAGAGAACCAACCAAAATCCCATCTACATCAACATAAAGAAGAGAAAATGGGGATGGATAGGCCACACTCTACGTAAATCTCCAAACAACATCAGAAAAAAGGCTCTGGAATGGAACCCACAAGGAAAGAGGAGGGTTGGGAGACCCAGGCAAACCTGGAGAAGATCCGTAGAAATGGAGGCAAAAGAAGCAGGTTTTACCTGGGCCCAATTGAAAAACATAGCCCAAAACAGAGTCCGCTGGCGCGGTGTGGTTGTTACCCTATGCTCCACAAGGAGCAAACAGGAATAAGTCAGTAAGTCAAGTCGAGGACAGATTATTTATTTTCAACATTATCTGCCACCCCCCCCCCCCCCCCAATTCAGGATCAAATGGTCGTCCCTTAATGATTAAAATGTGAAATATATAAAAAAAGAAATACAAATTTTTGAGAACTTCCTAATTGTATAAGGTTATACTCAGTAAACTTACAAAGGATAAAGTGCATCTCTCTCTCTCTCTCTCTCTCTCTCTCTCTCTCTCTCTCTTGGATTCCAAGTATGTTAATAAATGCAAAATGAAAGGTTTTCCAAAAAAGATTTATGGTTACAGTGTTCAACAAAATACAAACAATAATCTAAAATGAAGAATATTCTTGACAAAAACATACCTTGATCGAGAATACGCAATGTTTTCTTATAGCTATATAAACTGAAACAGCAATTTAGATCATATTGACAAAGATTATACACTGTACCACTAGCTATTGTTTCGGTGGGCATTTTTTATTTATTTATCTATTTATTTTTGCCTTTACACGATATGCTATCAAGTTATAATAATTAGGGGACATACAACTAACCAATAAAAGCGGAAACCATGACGATGTCCACTTTCTCCTCCACCGGAAGTTCTGTAATGTCGCCATAACACAACTCTATGACGTGTTCTCCAAACGATGTCTCCACCGTGATGGAATCCTGTGTTGTGATGGCTGGTTTTGACATCCTAAATTTTAAAAAAGTAATTAAACTAGAATTCCTGCTAATGAATGAGCTTCAATATGTAAATAAAATTAAATATCCAATTTTACATCATATTTTATTTCTGATAATATTAAATTCCATGACAGTTTTTACATTATTTGAAAGAATGATTCGATTAGTGAGTTTCTTCTTTACGTACAGTGTATATGTACTACAAACCAACCAATCTTGGAAGCATTCAATAATATTTTCATAAACTGTTTTGATATAAAGTCATGATAAATGGAATCAACAAAATGAAGTAGTGTAAATCAATGGAACAGTTCTCCCCTATGACTCTCTGTTTTGCCAGGAGAGTAGCAGAAAAAGTTTGCATCCTTTGTATTAATACGTATTTGCTTGAGAATAATTGTTTCTGTTATACAAGTCAGAAAGGTAAACTTTAAATGAGATCATTAACTTAATGAAATTAATAAAGCAGTAATATCAATATATATCATGATAATTTTAACTTTTTTAATCCACAGTAGAATAAATTATTTCATTTCAATTAAAAATTTTCATAATTGAATGTTGTTTCAGTTCTATTTTAAATTTTGAATTGATGACCTATTGGATGAAAATGGAAAAGCAATGGATTATTAACCTTGCTCTGTTTGTTTACATTTAATTTATGTGTCTGTGTCAAAAATATGAAAATATGGACATGGACTGAAAATATTTATCCATCTGTAAATAATTAAAGTTTAAAATATTTTAAATAGAACTAGAATATTCTGTTATCTATACTATACATATCGGGTATAGATATGAAAATTAATCATGTAAAACTGATTAAATTCACACTGTGTGTTATACGAGTAATGATTATAACTGAATAAGATATAATTGATAATATAAATATTATAGTGACCATAATCATTATGTAGAAGTACGACAGTGTAAACATATATGTATAGCTGAAGATTATCAAAAATTAATTTGGAACTTTAATTTTTAATCGCCGAGGCTCTAAGGTGTGCAAATGCATGTTACAACCACCACTGGGAGATTTCGCTAATCACCAGCTATAGGGCCACGTATACAGAACTATAATTCTTATACAATTGTAAAACCAAGTTTTATTTTATTCTCCTATAATAAATGTATGAGTTTTCATACGGATACTTACATATCATTCATCCACAGGAATTTGCAACAATATAAATACATGTATAAGTTCTATAAAATTTATAATAGATTTAATTATTTCGAAACACGCATCGTTCACCAACTGACTAAGCATGTGGTAAGCATTAGGTTACAAAATGTATATCTCACTTCTTACAAAATCTTGACATCTAGGTAAAAATGTTGTGAATCAAAAGAAGTAATTACCTGTCAACTTCAACGTGAATGATTCACATGTTTTCCACAGATAAAATATAATGTTGTCAAAGACGCTTGTTTTTAAATGTAAACAAAGATATAAAGTTAACTCGTACGATAACCGAGTCTCGTCACGGGACTTTCCTAGAACTGTTTCGAAACCATGAATATTGCACTCTACAGAAAACTACTTGATAAAAACACTAATGAGTAAAGAAAACAAGAAGTACAACAAGAAAAAGATTTTGTTTTAAACACAAATGCAGACCCTACATGTACTACGCATATGAGTAGTGATTTTCACCAAGCCGGTGTAATGACGAAAATTAGAAAAATGACCCTGGGTCAATATTCTACGACAAGTAGGGTCATTTTTCGACCGTAAAAAACCTTCCAAGCTAGATTTTGTGCAAGTTGATTAACATAGGAATTTGTTACCTGCATTTAAACAAATACAGTTTGCAGAAGAAAGAGTCATATTACTGATGCAAAATACTGATGTGTTTACTTCCTTCAGTTTTTTTTTGCATGTACCTATTTATTCTTTGCGATTCTTTATACGGACGTGTCCGTGTAACATTTATTTTGCATTTCTAAACTACTGGATCAGTCCATTTGTCTTCTACGAAAGGGGTGACACAATCATTTCACGAGGCCAAATGTCACAAGTAAATTATCTTCGCGCTTTTTTTCTTGGATTGAATGGGTGTGATAATTCTATGGAAATAAATATTGTTATTTAATCTGATTCTTAAGCTTCAGATTTTTTAATATGTTGACGGTGCGACCGTTAGGGCGAGCGCAGATACCTTTCAGTTTTAATTTAGACCGGGCTCGTCAAACCGCACGTGACATTTGCTACGTCTAGACTCTGACGTCATATGACGTCGTATGTGGTTGCATTACCAAAACGAAGTCTGAACAGTGCTATTTTTAATCAAAAACGTTTAATCTACTATGTATCTGCTATATATCCATTAAATTAAGGTGATTTTATATTTTGTTGAACTTTTGTTGCTACCGCGAGAACGTGGTTTGCGGCGAGATGCAATTCGCTAAGTATGGACCACAGGTAACTACGGACAAGGTTAGCTTTTTAAAAAAAAAGCTGAGAGTCAGCCACTGGAATACAAAAAGTTTCTTTCTTGTTTTGTGATGGTATATGATTTGTTTTATCCATCATGTTGTGTTCATTAAAAGTCATTGTCGTCTAAGTTAAAATTCGCCCATTCGTTTTCTTATTTGTAACACTGACACGAATTGTTACAATATTTGTAACAATTTGTTCTTATTTGCTGTACATAATAAATAACAAAGAATAGAATAAATTTTAGTAAGACTACATCATAATCTTTATGTTGACCTCCAACTGATTTCTCTTGGGCGCTGACATCAGATAAAGTTCGTCTCAGAAATGAACAAAGCCACTATGATCCCAATCATTGAACGTTGAAGAATGTATACATTTTCAATTTTACTGTTAAATTCTATAAATGATATAGATTATGATGCTTAAAAGGAAGGTAGACCTTGGGTTAGATTGTGTTAATTATTATTAGATAAAAGTTTTTAATCGTGCAGGTTCGAGGCAATGCATGATAGGGGAAGGGGGAGGGGTGCATACTGTACGTATATTTAATTCAATTTCTAAATTTAAGCATTCATTTTAGTGTAATAGGAAAGAAAAGAATTGCTTCCAAAATAAAGTAATAAACTGGAAATTCAAAATATTTTATACATACAGTACGTACACCCTAAACTGATACTGGATTCCATCTCGCTCACTCTCTCTAATCGGGGGGGGGGGGGGGGTCTATAAATCCGCGCAGTTTCTCTCAACTCTCAAGTTCTACTGTGGTCAGTTTCTCACCTGTGGGCGCGGTTCACGTGCAGAAGCGGCACTTACATGTCTATCATCGTGTAAATTATAAGACTTTACACATCTTAAGTGATCTTCTGACGTTTTCATAACTTTCATCATTAAAGTGAAAAGAGATTCTTTTTTTCACTGTTTTGGGACCATTGTGCAAGTGGATTATTATGTGAATTCCGACCCGTACAGGTCTTATGCAAGTTATTGATCGAGGGAGTCTTGCATCAGGCATTCAGAGGAATACACACAAATCCGTGAACTTGCAACGGCGATTGAGGGTATATATATCAAGTGTTAAACTGTTAAATGTGCTCTGCATATAAACTTCTCATCTTCTATAAGAAGCACTGAAATATTTTCATAGTATCATATTTCCCACTTAGAACAATCTCTTCTTTAATTTTTCGTCGAAAACGACGAAGAACAATGCAGTCTATAAATAGATCGAGGTCGCGTCTTTGTTTAGAGGGTGTTTGTGAAGAATCACGCCCTTTGGTTGGAGCAAATAGCACGAGTTTCTTTAGAACAAGTCGTGTACAACTTTTCCCCAGAATTCCAAATTACGCAAGCGCACTTGCAGTTTCATCCCACCGTAACAAGTCAGCCCGTGGGCTGACTAAAAAAAATTCACTTGGATCAATGTGCAAAGTCCGAATTTTCTCTTCGCCCAGGCGTTGCCTTTAGAGCTCGCAGTGACGAGCGGCGCTCGCTATTAACTGCAAATTTTATATATCTCATTTTAAAAAAAATACCACACATTGTATATCGCAATGACCTTTAATTAACACCCGAAATGCTTATTAATTAGCGATGAAAATAGTCTTTAGGCTTCATTAAAAATTACTCTCTCTTTTAAGTGAATGTTCATATTGATTTACAAATCTGGAGGAACTTTAGGGGCATCACTTATCTGTCCCTATCTTCAAATACGATAACTACGTCTTGGTCTCGGGGGTTATCACCTTCCAATTGTAAGAATAAAAGAGAGCCCACTTCTAGTAATCACATACCAATTAGTTGTATTTTCATTTAATGTGTTGTTCATACTTCTTTTTTTTTAATTTCTGCAAAAACAGCTATCAGTATAGGATTATGCATGTATAGTTCTATGAAAAAGGAAATAAATAACCATGCATCGGACAGTGTCCGATGTATGGTTAATTTGTGTCCGATGCATGATGAAATGGACACACTAGTAAAAACAACAATTCAAAGAAAAATAATGCACATTTTGCGTTGAAATTATTTAACATTAAAAAAAATAATCGGTCATTAAAAGTCATACGAAAAAATATCCTCATCATTTTGAGTTGTATATGGAAATGAATTCATCTGAGCTACTTTAATAAGCCTGATATCATATTTTGGGTTTTTTATGCAAGGTAGCGGCTACAGAGTCAATCAAAATTGCTTGATCACGAAAATGAACCTAAACTGACTTGGCTTATCTCCTTTTCCTTATGACGTTATTAAGAATCGCCAAATCTCATTTAGATTATAAGATTTCGTCATACGTCTAACACTCATTCAAAACATTTCTAGGAAAAAAATATCAATAAGAAAACGGTAAATACACCAATGGTTAGGGCAGAAATGTTTAAAATCTTCCTCCACCGAGAGACTTTTTCTAATGATGTCATCTTCCGTCTTAATTCTTTTATCTCCTCTTGATTCATTGTGTGTTTAGCATCCTTCTCAATTCCACAGACCCAATTCTTATAAAGGATCATTAGTCTTCTAAAACCACCTGTAAATGCAAAGACGTTACCTTGAACTATATAAAACTGTTTTTTTTTTTTTTTTTTTTTTTTTTTTTTTTTTTTTTTGAATTTTAAAAATTGCAATGTCTAATAATCGTACAATATTATGATTTCTATTGATTATAGGGTATAATACATTGATTACTGTTTTTATTACCAGGTTGTGCCCTGTTCACACGGAGTTAAACGTAAGTCACTGCGAATTTAATTGGATCCGCGTTTACACGGAGATATTAATGCGAATTAGTTTAATTCGAATTAGTTTACTGCGCATTAAATTACTTCGCATTAGCTCCGTGTGAACTCTAAGCGAAGCTACTTCGAATTAAATTCTGATGCATGCGTAAGGGCAGAATTAAGTCACATGCCACATGTCGATGGTCAAATATAGGTTCTTGTGCTATTTTTGAGTGGAAAACAAAGGAAAATTATGTTAATCACTAAAATGTGTACAGACACTTTGACATTATGTCAAATGTATTCTGCTCTGCACAATACGACATGATTTGTAAATAACGTCATAATAGCCTCTCTGAATAGCCTTGTTTAAGAAATGAATAACAAGTTTAAAACTTCACTGGGAAATGAAGTGGATCGGTCACGTGATCAAATCCTGTGAAGGCCGAAGGCCTTCTCAGAAGATTTGATCACGTACCGACCCACTTCATTTTCCAGTGAAGTTTTTAAACTTCTTATTCATTACTTATATTATACATTTGAGACGGACAATCGAATATAATCGAGTATAAATATTGCACTAACTGTTCGTCGTAGACTTTAAGAAATTACGCAAGGTGTAAATCGGCTTGAAAAGCGGTTACACTTCAAATTCATCTGGCAAAGGATTCTGTTTTTGAAGGGAATATTCTGTGAAAGACTTATGATCAATTATAGTGAGCAAATTAGTGTCTGGGAATTTTTGTATTCATGAGAACCCATATTCGATGTTAAAAAAACACAAGAAATACGTCCGATGTTTAATAATAAAAAGTTGGAGGAATTTCGGTCGGAAAGGGATGGATGGAGATACTTGTCTGGACCAGTTAACTTGAAATCAAGTATAAAATTTGATCAGAAACATAAAATGTACGATTTCACAGAGTAAGGCATATATTTTTTATGATGTTGACACGGAGACACTGGCGACAGCTTACATTGTTCAGACAACGCTCTCGATGATGGACGTATGCCTACCGAACTTCCGAAGTGTTTGTCAGCTGTTTGTGGCGTGATTGCATTACATTGATATTTTCCAACAGATTTTCAAATTGTGAGTAAAGTTTAATGAAAAAAAAATATAGCATTCAGAGGTCTACAAGAAAAATAAGGGTAAACGTTGAATCTATGGAGCTCAGACATGATGCGTACAACACGTAGTTTTCTATTTTCTATGTAAAATCGATCAAGAACTATAATATTAAATACTCGTTTACATTGTAAATAAAATGATTATTATTTTACTTGCGTATTTTGTACATTTTTATACATGAAAAGCATGCTATATTGCTAAATATATACATTTGTGGTATCTCTCTGTTATATAAACATGCAGAGAGCAAATAGCTTCATACCTGTATGAAGTTTTTCTGAGGTCAGAGGTCATTACGTGACCTAATCACACGGCGTAATAATATCTCCATAAAAGGACATGCTCTATGTAGCAATTAGCATGCTTTTCATATACAAAAATGTACAAAATATACAGTTAAAAGAATAATCGTTTTATTTAAAATGTAAACAAGTAATAAACCCAGTTCTTTTGCAGCGATTCTACATAGAAAATAGAAAACTACGTGCTATAAGGTTTATGTCAGCCTGCACAGTCTCATGTAGACCTTTAGTTTCATCACGAACTCTGAATGGTATTGATAAAATAAATTTTTCTTCATTAAACTTAACTCTAGATAAATTTGCAAATCTGCTGGAAAATATCATAGATATAATACATGCCACAAACATTCCGGTAAGCATACGTCCATCGGCATCATCGAAAGCGTTGTCGCCAGTGTCTCTGTGTCTACATCATAGTAAATGTGCCTCACTGATATCGTAGATTTACAAATGTAATATTTTGGTAAAAGTTAATAAAGTTAAGCTTGATTTCAAGTTAACTGGCTCGGACTATTATCTCCATACCTTTCCGACCGAAATTCCTCCTACATTTCAGAGTAGAGTAAGTCATTTTATGTAGGTATTATTAGGTCACGTAATGACCTATGACCTTCGAAAAACTCCATACAGGTATGAAGATATTTGTTCTCTGTATGTTTAAATAATAGAAAGATACCACAAATGTATAAATTGTAGAAATAAAATTATAATTCGCGTAATTTACATCGCATTAGCTGCCGCGTGAATGCAATTTAATTCGCATTAGTTTAGTTCGCATCATTTTACTTTGCATTAATTTACTGCGAATTAAACTCTGCGTGTGAACAGGGCATTGTATTCATTTTACATGTATATTTAATTTTTATTCTTGATTCCTTGCTGCCATACTTCTTTTTCATCAAACTTTGAAGTATTGGAGTAAATAGTTGAACCTTTTTTCCGGTTTCTAAGATTCTTGGACAAGGTTTTCACTATCGACATATCACTTGGTTGGTAATCAAGAAATATATCGTACGAGAGAATGTTTTTCTTCTAAAATAAAAAATTACAAATATAAATATTTTTTCTCAGTTCTATTATTAGCAGCAAAAAAGGATACTGGTATAAGTCTGAAGAAAAAATGTAGTTAATGCTATTAAAGCTATAAAATAAAAATTGCTATGAACTTACTGAAATTCTACATGTAAGTATCACCTGCCGTAATGAATGACAGGGCGATTAACAAAGTTAATTAAAATATTAAAAGGAAGCATTCAAAAGCACATTAAAACACGTTTATAGTATATATATATATATATATATATATATATATATATATATATATATATATATATATATATATATATATATATATATGGAATTACAGATACATGTATGACGGATTAATTTCACCTGTTTCTGAAAATTTGCTATATCAACATGTTTTTTTAATTTTTGTATCTCAATAAAACAAATAAGAATAACCTGTAGTCTATGCGTTTTCACATGTTTCTCTTTTAAACTGGTGAAACACTTGTTAAGATCAGCATCTTGATCGCCAAACACTACTATTTTTAACTTTTTCAGTGGAAGTCCCGCCTGGATCCAGCTGATGGCACCCTGAACTGTCGCTTGTAGTACTATTTTCTTGTCAGAGTGCTGCATAAAGAACAAGTTAGACAATTCACTTATTACTGTAAAGAGTATCATTTGTCGAGGCCTTAATGGTATCATACTGATATGTTGTAATAAAAACGAAGATATCATGTTCTATGGAAATTATGACGTGAAAAAATAACTCACTGATTTCACAGTTGTCATTCAAGTAATTATACTTGTGTCATGTGAACATAATTTTCTTTGGTTAATTACCATAATATCATAAAGATACTACTGTAGATCACCAAATTTTCGCTAAACTTTAATTTCGCGCGATGGCCATTTTGGTATTTAGCAGTCTCGCGTAATAACGCAAAAATAAAGTTCTCGCGAATAAAAGGTGATCGAAAGTATTTCACAAGGTTATACTCTGATTTTGTTGAACAAATCGAGGTGATGCATTCTGGATTTAGCGCAACCTCAGTTAAGTTTTCTGATCAAAGTTTGTTCGTCTGTCTGTCTACTACTAGTATCTTTAAAAATATTTTCGAATCTTTTCAACACTCTTTATCATGAATCGTTGGGCCAAGTACTAGTATGTGACTGAGAAGTCAAGAGAAGCTCTTTTAAATTTTGCCCATAATTTAGTTAACACATATCACTGTCTTTGATTTTTTTGGCCTTTGAATCAATATCTTTCTTCCTCTATCCAGAATGAATCTCTTTAATCTTTGCATGGACCGGTCATGGTAGCCTAGTGATAGGGCGTTCGGTTCGTGATCGGGAGTCCTGAGTTCGATTCTCGTTTGCCGCGCCGTGTCAAACTTAAGAAGTAAACATAGTTGGTGACTGTTCTTCGCCAAGCGCCCGGCAACATCAACATTAGTGAAAGTCAAGGATCTCTCGGATGAGACCTTAAAAACGGAGGTCCTGTCTCACGGTAGGCGTTGGCAAGATAAAGAATCACCACTGCTCAATGGCCTTGAGTGCTGAGTAAAGGTTTAAGTTTGAATCCCTTCACCGGTATATGGTGACGTCTCTATATGAGTTAGAAATTCTCGAATGGGATATAAAACAAGATATAATAAATCAATCTTTGCATTGTGACAACAAATCTGTAACAAAGGTACATTAGATTTTATCTTGACCTAATACCTTTTGACCCTTCAATAAATGGGCATCTTTTCCTGTCTTCTCCTGAACAGACCGAAAGTTTGTAAGATATTCTACATAGTTCAACCTTATATTGACCATAATTCTTAACCTTTCAATCCTCAATGAACAATCCACTAGTCAATTACCACCTTTGTAAAAAAAAATAGTTCTAAACAATTTGTGTCCACAACACCAGTAAGAACATTGTTATGTACATATGGACAAGTAACTATATTCCCTTGCAACTACATGTATGTTGTTATATTCCTGTGTTCTGTGATCAAATGATAATTATTGATATAATCACCTGACACCCTGTCGCCAGTAAAGGTGTAATGTTTGTTGTGCTTTGGTTTTTGAGGACAGGGACCAAAACTTTGAACATGTCTCTGATTTGTCGAGTGAGTGAATCATTATCAGTTCCTCTAGTTCTGCAACAAGAAAAATTCAAAAACATACAGATCTATGCAGACAGAATTTAATACAGATTACTAGTTTGATTCGAATTACTTAAATCAATTTGGGAAAGTACATGTACTTTCTAATAGCATGGGATTTTCTTATGTCAAATCTAAATATAAGGAACAACGAAAGATTGTTAAGCTTATTTTCGTGGGTATTTTTTTTTTCAAGCTTCGCATTATATAACGCACCAGTTTCGCAAAACAAGAAACTACCGGGATGGGACGCGATAGTCCATATTTGAACAAGTATTTCCCTGAAGTTACAGTTGATCATGAACAGTGTTATTCATATTTGGGAAAGAGGGTTTCCTTGTCGTTATAAAACATTACACACAAGAAATGCTATGCTGTACAATAAACTGAGCAATTTGGTTAAAGGTAATGATGACATCATTATAAAATACACTGCGCATGCGCGTTTAAACTGTAAATCAACCTATACATGTAATAACATTTATACTCACTTTTCAAAGCATAGCACACGCCCAAACGGTAGGTTCGTGGGTAACGGTTTTGAAAGCCAACAGGAGTAGTGAACCCGAAGGTCCATGTCTTTGTCTTGGGACAGGAGAAGCACGGATATCCCCAGATTATGATGCAGAGCTCCTATTAAAGTTCTATGCACCGGGGAATAGTCGCCTACAATGCAGAGTTTTCAAACATGACACATAATTGTTATGAACATGAGAGTTTCATGAAATATAACACAATTCCCTGTCGTAAAAATTACGAAACTGCAGTTCAAAGGATGTTAATTATTTCTTTTTTGAAAAAATGGTTTCTACAGATTTCAACCTCCATATGATCAAAAACCCTAAATGGAGGTCAAAAAGAATAAGTAAGCCCATTATGTGTCAATCACAATATTATTCTGTGTTTTATAATAAGGGGACAACAATTTGATTCGCAAGGGGTGGGGGCTGGCAAATTTTTCCAAGGCAGACAATTTCAGTACTAGTATCTGCATGTCAGTGGAGGACGGATTGTTTAATTTCAAGAAGATCGGGAACAAGTTATTTATTTTCTTCTTCACTTAAAAAAATCTGACAAGCTTAGAAAATGGGAAGGAAAATTGGGGGGGGGGGGGGGGGGGGTCATGTAGTACCAGACTAGGACAGATTATTTATTTCCATCGAGTACAGATTATTCGTTTTCAACTTTTTCCAAAAACTTTTGAAAACTTCCTGATTATATAAAGATAAAGTGCATCTCTCTCTCTCTCTCTCTCTCTCTCTCTCTCTCTCTCTCTCTCTCTCTCTCTCTCTGGGACTCCAAGTATGTTATGCAAAATGAAAGGTTTTCCAAAAAAGATGTATGCTTGCAGTGTTCAACAAAATAGCAAAACTAATATAAAATAAAGAATATTCTTGACAAATACACACTTTGATCGAGAATACGCAATGTTTTCTTATAGCTATATAAACTGAAACTGCAATTTAGATTATATCGACCAAGATTATACATGTTCACTGTACCACAAGCTATTGTTTTGGTGGACATTATTTATTCATTTATTTATCTATTTTTGCCTTAACACGTTGTGCTATCGTGTTATAATAATTAAGGGACATATAACTAACCAATAAAAGCGCAAACCATGACGATGTCCACTTTCTCCTCCACCGGAAGTTCTGTAATTCGCCATAACAAAACTCTGTGACGTGTTCTTCAAACGATGTCTCCACCGTGATGGAATCCTGTGTTGTGATGGCTGGTTTTGACATCCTAAATTTAAAAAAAAAATGTAATTAAACAAGATTTCCGCTTAAGAATGATCTTCAAAATGTAAATAAAATTAAATACCCAGTTTTATGTGATATTTAATTTTTGATAATATTAAATTTCATGACAGTTTTTACATTATTTGAAAGTATGATTCGATTTCTTCTTTATGTATATGTACTACAAACCAACCAACCTGTTTTGCCTGGACAGAAGCAAAAAAAGTTTGCATGCTCTGTATTAATATGTATTTGCTTGAGAATAAGTGTTTCTGTTACATGCAAGTCAGAAAGGTAGTCTGTAAATGAGATCATTAACTGAATGCCCTTGTTAAAAAGCACCAAAAATATACTCAATGCTTGAATTATTCGCAGCCCTATGTCGTTAAATTTTTATTAACGTCTCTGTGGCTCATTGTAACACCACTTTAGCGCGAGTTTCTCCTTGCATATTTCTACGCGTGAGTATACAGGAAAGCGGCATTCAAATTCATTTCACAGTTGGCTTAGTAGAAAAACACAGCAAATGTAAATATATGTACATGTAGGTCCCTCGCCTGTTACTGGGGAATAAAGGGGAGCTCGATTGCTTCATCAGTTAAATTTCCGAATTTATGTGGGGCAAGTCCAACTTTTTATAGCAGAAATGAAACCTGACGTTGCGTTTAGACACTGACATTGTCATCCATGCGCCCTTGGGCGATGCGATACAAAACATTAAGTTTTTTCAAGTCCCCTGATAGAAAAAAAAAACATGGGAAACGGCTACAAGAAATAGCGAAAAACGCTACTACTCTAGACCGTCGACAAAAATGCTGTTCGGGAGATTGCCTACATGTAATTAGTTAAACATTGTATTAGAGTATTGTGCGTAACATCTTCAGAAAGTCCTTGTGTGCGAGATAGGTCCCTCGCCTGTAATTAGGGAGCAAAGGGGAGCTCAAGTGTGTGCATTAATAAAATTCCCGAATTTGTATTTGTTTGGGGACAGATCCATTTTTTTAGCAGAGATGAAACGTAACGTTGCATTAGACACTGACGTTATCATAATCATGCGCCCTAGGGCGATACCATACAAAAGATAAAATGCCATATTTTATTTATTTGAGCATATTACGGTGTATCTATTTGAAATTTGTCATATATATTGATGAAAAGTGTACCAAAGAGTAGAGAAAATTTTAGAAGGCAATGTTGATTACATTTTACTCTACAAGGACATTTGCCTAACCACTGGTTGTATTTTCTCTGATATTAAGTACGTAATGACGTTTGAAGTCCATACTTGTAAAACTATTCCAAAATTAAGATCAAATAGAAAACCTTTGTCCATGAGCTTTGTAGATAATTAAGTGACCATGGGGAACTTTGAAATATTTTTAAAAATACGCTTGAAAAGTAACTTTGCGTTTTCATTTCAAATTGTCAATATTACTAAAAAGTTGGTCGGATATCTTTATAAAGATTCTATTGTACAAAATTGATATTTACGGCGAAAAATACTAAATATTCACATCTGCCTTACAGTTTTTGTTTCGTTTGTTTGTTTGTTGTTTAACATTCCTCTCGAGAATTTTTCACTCATATGGAGACGCCACCACTTGCCGGTGGAGGGCTACAAATTTTGACCTATACTCGGCACTCATGGCCATTGAGCAGTGAGGGATCTTTTTCGTGCCAGCATCAACTGCGACACTGGACCTCCGTTTATACGGTCTCATCCGAAGGACCGGTCCTTACCCGCGACGTAAGGATCAACTCGTTACTGAGGGACTCTAGAGCAAATGCTCTAACCACTGCGCCACGCGGGCGCCTCTGTCTTACGGTGTACGAGATTTAAAGTGACCACCCCCCCCCCCCACACACACACACCAAAATGTCTTCCTTGCCAACTGAAATGAGGATATTAAATGCACATCTCTAGTTTAATCTTTACCATTATAAGAAACTGCAATATTGTATTTTCATTGCGTTTTATTAATTAAGCCTTATACATTGTAAAATAATCCTAATAAAAATGAATAATAATAACAACAGGCAATAAATATCACTACATATTGTACCCGTGTTACTGTACAAAATCCTCCTTTGACCAATATATCTTAGCAAATATAGAAAAATAGAGCATTTATTTCTTAATCATATTATGTCTCCGAGTTATCTCTGATGTATACAATAACAGTAATTATGCAGTGTTAACTATATAACAAAGTTGTAAATATTACAAGGAGTCGGTGAGTTTCAAAAAAGGTAAAAAAAATTGTGTGACCAGTTGATGTAGAAGTTCAGAGAATATTGCATGATGAAGATTTGTTTCCAGTGTTAGTTGATGCACTTTTAGATGTAGATTTTGCAAATGACTTGTTTGATTGGTTGCTCCCTGAAGTGGGAGGTTCTGATTTTGGTGCATCATCTGTTTTCTCATTTGATCCATTTGATTGGATATTTGGTGAGGTGAGAGGTTCTGATTTTGGTACATCATGTGTTCTCTCTTTAGACAGGCTGCTTTCTTTTGACGGAGATTTGGAAATAGCTTCCATTGAATTTGCCCCCAATTTCTTGGAAGAAAGTCCCGTTTTTAAAAGACACTGGAAAAAAGATATTTTAAAATTTTAAATATTATTTATCTTGATAACGTGCAATAAATCTATATTTCAGAAATGTATCTACCTTCTCTAATGCCAGCATCACATTTGAGTTTTCCTTCCCTGCATTTGCAATGATTGGTGATTGTTTAGAATGTGTGTGACTGAAATGAAAGTATTTTTTGTTTATCGTCTTATCAGTTTCCAGATGTGATTGCAATTTCATTATTTTACACTTAACAATATATTATCTGGTTTAGAGTACCCTCAACCTTGAAATATGTAATTTGGAATGTAAATGAACGACTGGTTGACAGTTGTTACGTTCGCAAAGCATATACAACAGAAATGTAAAAAAAATTCTTCACTCAACCATAATGAACTCTGTACAAACCCTGTAAATTCAAGCAATATGTCATCTGCTAATTTGGTCATGGCTGCGAAGTCTTGCGATCTATATGAGAATGACCCTTTCAATTCCATTAAATCCAGCTTGACCGTTTTGCTTGATTCTTTGAACATCTTCCCCCAGAACTCATCCCCCAAACACACATCTACTGGTAACAAATTTGCAAAGGAAGGTTCCTCTACTTCCATGGTTCGACAGACGTATAACACCTTCCTCTCTTTTTCACTCCGCTGGCGAATGATGGCGATAAATAGTTCCTCTAAGTGATGAGCTGATTCTAGATACTGTTTTGATATAAAAACAACGATCTTTTGAGCTGTCTGTAAGCACTTCAAGTCAATGCCTGTGTTGTCACTGATAAGAACAGTGTTGATGTCTGGACTAATTTTTTGTAGCTGAAACAACAAACTTGTGGCCAAACTGAGGTCATTCTGACTGACGCTGACCACCACGTGACAAGGAGACTGGTCCAAAGGTGTCATATCAAAAGGAACCTTTCTCTCGATGCTATTTATTTTCACTCTATAATTGTCATATATTTCTCTCTTTCGAATTTCAGCCTTCTTTGCAAAGTCAAAATATTGAGAAACCTGCACAGGAAAATAAACGTTGTTTTACTCTTTAAGTCCACACTTCAACAAAAAATACAAATGTAAAGATTTACACAACATTTATATTATTTCTTTCTGAATATTATACTTTTTTAGATGTATTTGCGACATAATGTGGTCTTTTCTTTTCTAGAACCCAGTATGCTACATCCTTAACAAGATTGGGGACCAGTTCATTGTACTGGTTTCCTCGGCCGTCTATCAGTTTATGTTCACCGTAGATACAAGGGACAGATGCCAGATCCTCAATGCAAACAAGTATGAGAAGAAAATCTTCCGGCTGAAAAGTTGATAATATTCATCATATAATAGCTTTGAGACTTTGCAATTCAAATTATATCTTTCATTGTCCAAATTCAACTAGAGCAAATGTAATTAAGGTCAGACGAAACGTTCGGCAGTAATATATAATTTTTTCCAAGAATTCGTCATTGAAGTATTGTACTTTAACAAGTTTCCTCACAAAAAATTGAGGTACCTTACCAGGCATGTGTGCAAAATACCACAGTATGTTATTTACTATAATATGATCCTACTGGAAATCACTAACATTACCAAGATCACAATTCTTTGGTGTCTTCGTCTACTTAGACATTTTGAAAAAAGTTTTAAAAACCACAAGATAATGATAATTATGATTAATTTGTTGTATATTACGAAGAAATACAAAACAGATATTCGAGCAACGTGTCATCAGACCATAAATAAATTGGGGAAAATATTTTTAAAAAGTTATCTTTTATAGTTACTTCATAGTCGTAAACCACGGGTTTTTGTATCCATTCTATTTTCACAAACTTGGGGTTGTGGCGGGTTAGTAGACAAAAGCCGTCGCTTGTTATTATATTATGTACATTGAGAGGAAAACATCCATTTAAATTTTAAAGAGCTATTTTCACACATGATATGAATACTTACTGTCTTATGACATCGGTACAAAGCGATATTGAATTCTTCTTGACAAATCACAGACGACAGATAACTGCTTGATACAAGGGCGATAACACATTTCACCGAGTCCAGGGAGTAATACAGACTCTTCTGCCACAGACCGCCTGAGTCAAAAGAGAAACAGAGTCATGAGGAACAATGACTTTCTCTGCCGTTGAAAATTTAAACCTCTCCCCTTCACCCAAAGTTCCTGAAATTTTCCACTACAATTTTTATAATCACGCTCTAAGAACAAATGTTACAAACATGTCTTTTTTCCAAAAGGATAAAAATAACAAAGTATATATGTTTATACAAGTAAAATGAATGAGTTTAGCAGCATAAAGTTTATAATTCATTTTTAATTCTCAATCAGTCCCATAAAGTGATAAAAAAAAATGTATAGATGTATCAGGGAAATGGCAAAACGCAAATAAGTCTGAGCATTTTTAAAAGACTACACTTTCTATGTATTTTAGAGATTTTATAATAAATAGTTATGCATCATTTACCACCAAAAACAAGTCCAGAAATATACGGTATACCAAACCATGCATCCAAGTTTTTGTTTGTAGCATGTGTCCTTATATAAACGTGATATGTTAACACCAGTACTGTAGCAGATCCGGGAAGGGGGGAGGGGGGGTCAGGGAGGTCTAGACCCCGTCTTTCCCCTTAACAGAGTTTCAAATACATAAAGTGATATACCATTTATAACATCGAAACCTTACCTTTCAAACACGGACCCCCTTAAATTGGCAAGAAGATTTTTAAATATGAAGGAAAGCCTTTTGTCCAAGAGAAGTGCCCCCCCCCCTTTCCCAAACGAAATAGAAACGTTAGTCTTATTTATTTTTGTAATTCCAAAAATCCAATTTAAACACTGAAAATACTAATCTTACCGACTTCTAAATCCTGCCTATCAAAGAAAACGTCAAGTTCTGGAAACTGTTTTTCAAACTCTTCTAGCAATAAGTGTCCTTCATTGGGATTTTTGTGAGCGTACGAAATAAAGACGTCATGACTGAATTGGTCTTCTTTCTCATTAATAATATGTTCCTCCTTTTTTGGCTCTGTCAATAAAAGTCGAACGCATGCGGCTTCCATCTTTTCCTCAGCCGTCTCACCCTCCTTTCGTACTCTGTAACAAATATATGTGTGTTTTTGTATCCCCAGGAAGGTTGGCAAATTGAGCAATGAAATGTTGAAATAAAAATACAACTAATTTTGGGAAGCCATGTTATTTGGTCATACATTTGCTTGTCGTTGAGCTATAACTGATAGTAAATATGGCCTTTTTTTTATCAAATCTCATCTACTTCTTTTACTGATATGATAATAGTTTGAAAAATAATGTGTAAACATTCAATTTGCATTAATGTTCAAATACAGCTTATGAATGATACCACCTAATCTCCCTCCTCGGTCCGCCCAAGGACTGTAACAAATGCTTCACTTGTGTTCGTTTTAAGTGGACAAAAAGTGGACAAAACAGAATTTGTCCCCCAAAAAATGATTTCCTTTGCTAGAGACTTTGACATTGCCATAATCAATGAATGCGGCTTTTCGTCCAGAAATTTCATCAGGACATACGCAATCTTCATATATCAAGTGTGAGGTTCTAATGTTTCTCCAATATTGCCCCGGGAAAAAAAAGTTTGTGCAGATGATCTTAAATTTTCTTGGATGACCTTCGTTTAAACATTCTCAAATCAAAGGTAAGCTTTGCATCAAGTATATTACTTTCAGCAGTCCTCCTCTTGTAAAATTTGGACCCAAGCATAGCTATAATTATTTATAAATATGCCAGTGATTATCATTGTTTCCAAATGACCTTAGGTTATGCGTCACGCCGTGGATTGAACATTCTGTTCTGACAGTCGTAAAGTTTTCAGTTGACCCTTAGGTTGCGGGTTCGAATTCCAATACGGAATGTGGAGACCGGGCTTTCGGGTGACACTGACGGGTATAAACATAATTCCCATGTTGCAGTATAAGAGCTCTCACTGATCAATGGCCGTGAGTGCCGAGTACAGGTAAAATCCCAATATGAGTGAAAATTCTCGAAGAGATGTAATACATATGCAAATAATCTATCAATCAACTTTGAGTTTTCGTCACTTTAATCACTAAGAACATGAACATTTGTTTCAACTACGAATTTCCTTTGTTTCTCTGTGTAACATTAAAAAATAGACAAGATCACTTGGACAAAGACTGAAACATGTACAGGGTAATTTTTGAGAAGTGCTTTAGGGGCACCGTGCATACAATGTACCTGCAGTCAAGGAATTGAACCAGACTAATGCTGACTGGAATAATTTGAATTGTCTCGAAATACAAGGGGACTAGAAAATCCTTCCCCCGGCGACGGGTACAACAGATCGCCATATTAAACATCTCCAAACATTCTCCACTCTGAACGAAATTAGAGGTCAGTACTGGAACAATTCTGTGGAGGGAAAGAAAGGTATCTGAAATAACGAGTAAGATATATATCATGAAGATTGGTTTTGTTTTTTTTCATAAAGCAAACTTATATGGCCCGTAGTCCACAAGGCTCTGACCAATGGATACAGAATATTGAAATCCCCTTTTTTAAGCCACATGACATATGAGTGCATGCTTTTGATGAAAACTGCCAAGATGCATTCATTCATAATGACAAATTAAAACTCTGGATTACTCTATGCCCTTTCCCTTTTTTATAACTTTTGATCCTAAGAGCCATGATCAGCACGTACTAATAATAGAATACACAAGAATACTTACAACTGATGACCTAAAAATGACGTAATACAATATGTATCACAAACCTTTTACTTCCCATCATAAGATCAAAGATGCTTTGTTGCCATACTTCTTTCTCATTAAATGTGGAAGGATTGGAGTAAATAGATAAATCATTTTTCCGGTTGCAAAGATTCTTGGATAATGTCTTTACTATTGTCAAATCACTTGGTTGGTAAACAAGAAATATATCGTAGGAAGGATCGTTTTTCTTCTAAAAGAAAGTGAATTAAAAATATAAAATAAATATTACATGGGGTTTTTTTGTATTAATAACAGTAAAAAAAGAACTTATCTTAAATCAGTAATCACTACTGTAACCGTAAAGCACATTTTAAAATAAACATTGATATGTATAGGGAATAACGGATAATAAGGAATCAATTCCATGTGTCTCTATACGTATTCTATCCCTTCTTTTAATAAAAAAAACAAACAGACGAACCTGTTTCTTGTGTGCTTTCATATGTACCCCTTTTAAACTAGAGAAACATTTGTTAAGATCATCATCTTGATCGCCAAACACTACTATTTTTAACTTTTTCAGTGGAAGTCCTGCCTGGATCCAGCTGATGGCACCCTGCACTGTCGCCTGTAGAACCAATGTCCTATCTGAGCGCTGTGTAAAAAAAAAGCAATGAATGAAAAACGTAACATTTCACTTATTGTTGCACAAAGTACCATTTGTCATTGGGGCCTTGTCTAATTGTATACTCTGATATGTTGTTTATCCTGAATGAAGTTTTCTAATGGGGGCGGGAGTGGGGGGGGGGGGCAAGCTTACAAATTATTTTGACAAGCACAAATAAAGATCATGAGAGGGCACGTATACAATTCCTCTGACAAAATTACGAGGGGCACGGTCCCCTGATTAATTCCTACGGGCCTGGTTATGCGCATTTGTACACGCTTTTCTGAAACATTTGTCACTGTACTTTGTCTCAAAGTTAACATTTGACCGGAAATTGTAATAACTACTGGTCTTGGTTTTACACTCGGTGGGACAAATGGAGCCAATATGTTCTGGATCTAGCATAAGCTTGTTAGATTCTCTGATTAAAATGCGTTCGTTTGTCTGTCTGCTAACTTTCAAATTGTCAAAAAAAAAAATTCACCACTCTTTACAAAAATTTGAAGGAAGCATGACTGTGTTTCATCATTGAGATTTGAAAAGTCAGGGGGAAACTCTTTCAAGTGTGCTTGTAACTTAGTTAACACCTGTCAATGTCTTTGACCTTGACCTTTGACCTTGAAATCAATATCATCCTTCTCTAGACCCATGCATCTCTGTAACAAGACTGAAACGTACATATAAATATCAATTTTTGATCTTTATATAGGGACCAAAACACAGTTAGAAACGTTGTTTGTTTGTTTGTATGTTGTTTAACGTCCCTCTCGAGAATTTTTCACTCATATGGAGACGCCACCACTTGCCGGTGGAGAGCTGCAAATTTTGTCCTATGCTCGGCACTTACGGCCATGGAGCAGTGAGATCTTTTTCGTGCCAGCACCTACTGCGACACGGGACCTCCGGAGTCGGTTTATACAATCTCATCCGAAGGACCGGTCTCCACGTCCCACAGTGGGATTCGAACCCGCGACGTACTTTAATTTCTAACTTAGTTTATTTCTTTTGACCCTTTACATAGGTGTCTTTTCCAAGTCAACACTCATCTTCATAGCAAACTCGAGACCAAAAGTTTGTATGGCACTCTACGTAGAATAATCTTGTACTAATCTTAACCCTTAACCTTTCGACTTTCAAATGAATACGCATTTACTCTTTGTTACTTAACAGCTCTGTAGCAAGTAGTAGTTCAAAAATTGTGTCCACAACACCATAAAGAATACATGCACATACGGAACAGTACTTTCCCTTGCAACTACGTTGAATGTTATAATACAGTGTCCAGTTATCAACAGCTACGTAATTTGTGCTTAATGTTGTTGTTAATACTTACCTGGTTTCCTGTGGCCAGTAAAGGTGTAATGATTGTTGTGTTCTGGTTTTTTAGGACAGGGACCAAAACTTTGAACACGTCTCTAATTTGTCGAGTGAGTGAATCATCACTACTTCCCCTAGTTCTGCAACAACAAATGCAATTTCGACATACAGATCTACGCGGACAGAACAGAGGATTTTTAAAATGATTTATTTGATTCGATTTGTTTTTGTTAAGCAGTTTAAGATAGTTCTGTCTTCCCCATGTTTTGAGCCCACTTTCGTACGTAATTTCTCATTTCGCGTTATAAAGCACCAGTTTTGTAAAATAACGGGAACTAACGCGGTATAACATAAAAGCCTTGTATGTTTGAACTGAAAATTTCCCAGAAGCAATGTGTAGTTCATATTTAGGAAAGAAACATTCCTTTTAATGTAATATGCATAAAATTGATCAAAAAAAAACATTAAACACGAGAGGTGCTATGCTGTGATTAAAAATTCAACACTGAACTAAGCAATTTGTAATATTACAGTAAAATTATAGCAATAACTACATCATTCTGAAATACAGTGAGTGATAATTTATACTCACTTTTCAAAGCATAGCACACGCCCAAACGGTAGGCCCGGGGGTAACGGTTTTGAAATCCAGCAGGAGTAGTGAACACGGAGATCCATGTCTTTATGCTTTGAAAGTTTACGCACGGATATTCCCAGATTGTGTTCCAGCGCTCCTATCAAAGATCTATGCACCGGGGTATAGTCGCCTACAATACACAACATTCAAATATGACATTATATATGAATATGAATTGTTATGAACATGAGAGTGCCATGAAATATTACACAATTCCCATGTCGTAAAACTCAAACGATGCATGTTACTAACATGTATGTACACCATTTTAAAATATACATTATTACAAATACACACTACGATGGAAAATATGAAATTTATTTCTTGTAACTGTATACAGTGCAATTGTATTAATAAGATGTTAATTGACTACAAGCATACCATTCGGTGAACATTTATTTATTAATTTTTGTTTTTACACGTTATGCTATCATGTTATAATAATTAAAGGACATATAACTAACCAATAAAAGCGGAAACCATGACGATGTCCACTTTCTCCTCCACCGGAAGTTCTGTAATGTCGCCATAACACAACTCTATGACATGTTCTCCAAACGATGTCTCCACCGTGATGGAATCCTGTGTTGTGATGGCTTGTTTTGACATCCTAAATTTAAAAAAAAAATGCATTTAAACCAGAATTTCAGGTTATGAATGAGCTCAGTATAATACGTGATTTTACGAGATAATTTGATTTTAAAAAGTTTTTATCATAAAGTTTTTACATTATTTGAAATTTTGAAAGTGTTTTTCTTCTTTATGCAAGACCCTGGAAGCATTCATTTCAAACTGTTTTGATATAAAGTCAGCTAGGAAAAGGAAACAACAGACTTACTTTTTACAAAGTTTTCCTGTGCTAAATGGAATGGTCCTCTGTATTTGACTCTCTGTTTAAATGTCAGGATGGTTGCATACTTTGTATTTGATTGAGAACAACTTGTTCTTGTGACGCAAGAGAAAGGTAGACTGTAAATGAGATCATTAACTGAATGAAATTAATAAAGCAGTATCAAGATATTATAACAAAGTTATTATAACAAAGTTTTTAAAACATTTTTTTTAAATCAATCCAGTTATGTCCAATTACATGTTTACAATTAGATTGCAGTTACGTGTATGTCTGCGTGTAGATTTCGTTCATCACCTGGGCAAAGTTTTGCAATTACCTACGAATAAGACTTAGATTTATTCCTTCAATTATTTAAAATATATAATATTCATATGAATGCTCAAATCTTTGGAGACCCTAAATTCTTCATCGTCGAGTGGTCGTGCCCATTTTGTTTTCTTCGAGTATCTCGCAAGATTGTGTCACCTCCTGCACCAAACACCGTGAGAAAAAATTTATTTAAATTGCTTTAATTTGTCATATTTTACAACTGCTGACGATGATAAGTTCAAACAGGTAAAAAATATAGTCATAAACAAAATTTCAACTCACTTTAAATAAATCTCCTTTCACCGCATACGTTTGACAAAAAAAGTCTTATATAATTTTTTCTTATATACGACCCGTCTCAAGTATATTGGTGCTACCGTTCCTTTTTAATACTCACAACATGTCAAAGAAATCACATATCCGAATTGGAAATCAATGATATTTCCGCTGAGGTCACGACACTAGGACCTGTTTTTTTTTTTTTTTTTTTTTTTTTTTGCGGCGGGTAAACATCGGTGCTTTGAAAGAAATGTAAACAATCAATAAACGCATGCATTATTTTTCTAAACGATCAGTTCAATTGAAAAGAAATATTTATTATTTATAACTAAGGTACGATTTACATATTGAAACAGTATTTCAAATTTATTTATAAAACAGACATGATCAAATTATGGTAACGACTCATGGACCTACGAGGATATATCATTCGTTACAATAAAATAGGCCTATACATCATTAATATAATTACACGTATACACTGTAAATTATTGCAATTTAAAACACCGTACATCATTTGAGACACATATGATGAGCAGTAGGTTAGAAATCATCTTTCCCTACACATATACATCTTTAGTTCAAATTAATGTTGCAAATCGGAAAAAAAGAAAATACCTGCCAACTTCAACGTGAAATGTCTCGCATGTCAGGTAAAATAATCATGTTGCCAAAGACGCTTACCTTTGTTGTTCAAAACGTAAATAAAGAGGTGAAGTTAACTCGTACGATAACTGAGTCATATCAAGGGATTAAAACTGTCATTTGATATCACTAATAAATACATCTTCGCTAGCCAAGGGATCCGCACCGCTTCTCAAAAAGAAGAGGTGCAGATCAGAAACCCTTGGCTAGCGAAGGTGATCATAAATATTGAACGCTACAGAGAACTACATTTTGACGAGAACATTATTTATTAAATGAAGTACAAAGAGAAATAGGTTGTTGTTTAGACTAAATGCAGACCCATTGTACGCAGGGGGACCGGAAGACACTTTCACACCGAGTCCGGATTGAACCCAATTTATAAATTTCGATGTGTTATTTCGAAAATGTTTTCTGTCGATAATGTTATTGTAACCTATCCCACCACCACCAACTCCACAATTTTAGTATTTTATTTTTTCTGAAGCAGCCTATCTTCTTTTTCCCCTTCTTGTTTTAATTCTTCATTTGTGGCTGTCCCTATTGATAAAAATTGCTAAAAAGCCCTGGAATGAAGGGGCACCACTCTTGGTGAATATGTAAAATTTTAAATTATAAATATATATATATATATATATATATATATATATATATATATATATATATATATATATATATATATATATATATATATATATATATATATATATATGACAAAATTGATTACGACTCCTTAAGAATACATGAATGTGACGGTCATCCTCACCGAAGAGAAAGCTTCTTAAAAAGTTTATTTCATTCAATAATCAACTTTTTAATTTATAAAATAGTTTATTTATTTATTTTTTATTTATTTATCTATTTATTTATTTATTTTTTTTTTTTTTTTTTTTTTTGTTATTTTATTATATATATTTATTTATTTTGATCAAAGATAAGAGCCGAGACCGTTTCCAAAAAAAAAAAGAAAAGGAAAAAGAAAATGAGAAACACATGCATCAAAATGCTCACCCAAGCCACAGCTATCGGGTTGTATCGCCCCATATTGTGACAATTACGTTTAAACTCATTTAGTTCATAATTAATTCCCCAAATATACCTTATTTTGATGATTTTGCTTATTTACCATTGTAACACTCTCTAAGAAGATGCATGTAATTCTATGCTAATGGTCACACAACTTAACCTGTATGTATTTCCGCCATTTCAGGCATATACATGTATGTCTTGTACATGTACATGGTGTTTCATAATATATGTTACATTTTTAAATCTATATATTTTATTTACCTATCATATTTCAAATACAAACCATATATCATTTTAAACACCAAATCCCGCATTTTCATTCCATGTGAAAAAGTCAAGGAAATCATCGCATTATTTCTTTTAATTGTGGCATAAAAGAAGATGTCATAATTTAGATATTTTTCGAAATGGATATACAACTTATCAACACATTGCTGAATTGTAAAGGTGTTTTATCAATATAAATTGCCAAGATTCGTTCATAAGTTGATGAAGGAAAATATTCCAAAAAAAACAATAGCTTTCTAAGATGCTTTTTCAGAATGTTTCATGTATTTAACAGCGTTTATAAGGGGGGGGGGGGTGAAATATGCGAGAAATGACACAATAATCCAGGAAGACTAATGACTTCAAAAATCGAAGATTTTCTTTTTAAAGCAGAGACTATATAAATAATGTAGCAAAGTCCTTAGAAGAAAATTGTCAGATAGATGTTTTCCGAGTTTGATGCTGGCAATATCAGCATTTTCAGTGTGTATTGAGCTTTGAAATATTATATGAAGTTAATAACATACAAATTCTCAATAAAGCAACACCCAAAAGGGAGGGTTTAGCCCCTGCATTTGCCAGAGGTCAATCTTTGGACCTCTTTCCTGGGGGTTTCTTAAGAACACTTGGTCTGCAATCCTAATTTAAATCTTAGTTACTGAATGAGTTCAAAAAGAACATAAAACTTCAAATGAGGAGTGTCTCATCAAAAATGTGTGACAATGGTTATAAAAATTTCCAGAAGCAACTTTATTTTGTAAAAGAAATAGGCGGCGATTAATTACAACATGTCCTGTAAGGATTTTACGTTGAAATTCAACTAACAAAAATGACGTAATTTAGAAATTTCACTTCTTTTCATTAATGGTTGAGATTTTGTCCATTGTTTAGTATTTTGGTTCGTAATTTTACATATAATGAATCCAATGGACCCAGGAATTAAATTGATGAAAACACTTGTCTGTATCCTTTTCTCATGTTTGTCAAATTGAAGATTCAAAATGTAACATATATTACGAAACACCCTGTATATATAGTCTTTATATAATCTCATGACATTGTACCATTAATTGCTTTGAGGGAATATATTGAACTTAACACAATGAACTTTTTAAAAAATGCATCTATCATGGTTTCATCATTGTTTATTCTACAAAACACTTATATTAAGCCTCATCCAATTATGTCCAATGTGGTCAGGGTAAAGTCAGTGACATAAATTTCTCCCTCCGTCGTTGTATCTGCAAAATATTTTTTTTCTTCAAAAATTCAGAACTCATAATGTTTTAATCATTTTGATGTTTTTTTTTTCAAAGAAATCTATAGATTTTATCTAAAGATAGATGTTATCCAAAGGTATTTCGATAAGGTATTTTTTCCACATCTTGGAAGTCCTTAGTTTGTAGATATATTTCTTCATTATGACTCAGCATTTTTTAAAGAAACTTGACTTATTCTATATAAAGGAACCCTTTAAGTTTATTTTGAGGTTTATTACAATTAATTGTATCTAAATATCAATCGTCCACTGAGTCTTATTTTCTTGAAATCTTATAAGTTGATATATTAAAATATGTATTATTACGCAATCACTTTTGGCTTTCAATTATATATTATAATTAACTCTTTCCTTTGTACACACTCTTCAGTACAGTATTTATATTCTCATCAGAACAGTTTATGTATTCTGTTGCTAGGATAACAGACCTGTGACCATGGGAGTTGTAGAGATTATCGATGCCACTGTCGTGTTGACACCTGTAAAAAATCAAACAAACCTTATTACCGACGATGAAGACAAACCATAAAGCTTGAAATTGACCTTTACCTAACTTCAGCCTTACCAATGCTTTATTTGAAAATATGGCCAAAGTGAAATTTTTGGACAAGATAAACTGATAAAAGACTGACCAAAACACATCCACTGATATTAAGGGCATGATAATTCTGAGTCAGACGGATCAGATATGGACTCTGTACTTGAACTCGAAAAGTTCTCGAGTGCCAATCTTTTCCAGACTGCATAAAAGAACTGTCATTTGATACCAATAAACATAAACCAATCATCCTACCTTCACACGCTGCTTTTTTAACGTCCTCTTTGATAGTCTGAAGTGCGTCAAAATTCTTGGTGGTGAAAACGTGATTGGGATCGGAAGCAATAGCATTCAGTTCTGAACTGTCCACATTCGAACCAATACCGATAGCGACGACAGTTGCCCCGGAAGCTTTCAGCAAATTAGCCTCCGTCAAGGTGGAGCTTCTGTTTGTAGATGTACCATCTGTTAGAACGACGACGAAGAGAGAAGAATTAGATCGCGCCCCATTCACTGGGAGAATATTATGTTCCCTGATATACTTCAGCGCTTCCCCCGTCTGAGTTGAACCCCCGACATTATCTGTCTTCTGAATGGCATCTAGAATGGGTCTTTTCTGTGAGTACTGGTTCAGGTAGAAGTTATTTTGGACCATAGAGCCAAATGAAACAACGCTGAATTGAACGTTGTTGGGACCGACAGGGAGATCTCGCACAAACGACTGCACCAAGTCCAGTTGCTTCTGGAAGTTGATTGGTCCTTCACTTCCGGAGGAATCCAGTGCAAAGATGATGTCAGCTGTCTGGATAAATCCACACGCTAGAAAGGAATATAAGAGTATAAAGCGGATTTTGTTATCAATCACAAAAGAGATATACAGTATTTAAGATAAAAATATAACTGACTTTGACAGGAGGTAAACGTAAGTTCTGAGTTAAGTTTGTTTAAGACGTCAAAGTTAGCAACAGAGAAGACGTGCTGTGAGTCACTGGCAATGCTATTCAATTCTTGTTGGTTGACGCCGGATCCAATACCGATGGAGATTACCTTCATATTTGATTGGGATTTCAAAGATGTGGCTTCTTGTATAGTTCTGGCGTGACTGAAATGATGTGAAGAAGAAATTTATTCAAAATACTAATCTTCATTATGGTGCTGCTATATAGTCACATATGCAACTTTAACTCTTTGTAATATAATACATGTACATGTATTGCATTTCAAAATTGAAAAAAATCATTTGAAGACGCAGGTACACATCAAGTGCAATTAAGTAATTTCAAACGGCAAATGCAAGCGGTAAATGCGTTCACTCAGACCAAGGATTTATTTCACGATAACTTTTAATATATGCAAAATTTAAATATAATTAAAGCAACACATGAAAATTGGGCCACTGTAAGATATAAAGATGTGATTGATTCATTTTAAGGCTTTTGTTTTATTTATCAATTTCACCATGTGAAGACGTAAAAGTAAACCCTCCAAGCTGAACTTTATGGTTATAATCAAATTAACATTACTTTATAGACTGTCCATCCGTCATTACAACCACTATCCTGCTAGCATTAGCTCTGCCACCGTGGGACGGAAGGAAGGCCTGTGTTCTGGCATACTGTAATGCTTCATCCGTGTATGTTGCTCCGGCGTCGTAATAAATACCAGAAATCGCCGCCAACAGAGCTGTCTTGTCACTGAAAGGTGCATATATTTAGTTTGAGATGAAAGGCTTAAACAGTTAAGTACTAAAAGAACAAGATGTGTTTGTGAAACACTATGCCCCCGTATGGCAGCTTATGTCGAAGGTTAAAGTTTCTCAAATGCAAGTCAAAATCCAGGCCAAAAGATAAAAAATGTTGATACCAAAAGAAAGATCTTGTCTCGAGGAAAACACCTGTGGAATTTGAAAGACCTGGAAACAACTGTTCAAAAGTTATGGTGAAGGTTAAAGTTTTTTAAATAAAAGTCAAACGTCAAGGTCAAGGTCAAAGTGGTTGGTATCCAAAGGAAGATCTCGTCACAAGGATTACATATGTGAAGTATGAAAGCCCTAGCACCAACCATTCAAAAGTTATGGCCAAGGTTAAAGTTTTTCAAAAGTAGGTCAAACTCCTAGTTCAAGGTCAAAGGGTCAAAGTGGTTGGTATCCAAAGGAAGGTCTTGTCACAAGGATTACATATGTGAAGTATGAAAGCCCTAGCATCAACCATTCAAAAGTTATGGCCAAGGTTAAAGTTTTTCAAAAGTAGGTCAAACTCCTAGGTCAAGGTCAAAAGGTCAAAGTCGTTGGTATTCAAAGGAAGGTCTTGTCACAAGGATTACATATGTGAAGTATGAAAGCCCTAGCTCCAACCATTCAAAAGTTATGGCCAAGGTTAAAGTTTTTCAAAAGTAGGTTAAACTCCTAGGTCAAGGTCAAAAGGGTCAAAGTGGTTGATATCCAGAGGAAGGTCTTGTCACAAGGAATACACATGTGAAGTTTCAAACCCTAAGCTCCAACTGTTCAAAAGTTATGGCCAAGGTTAAAGTTTTTCAAAAGTAGGTCAAAGTCCAAGGTCAAGGTCAAAAGGTCAAAGTGGTTGGTATCCAAAAGAAGGCCTTGTCACAAAGAATACACATGTGAAGTTTGAAACCCCAAGCTCCAACTGTTCAGAAGTTATGGCCAAGGTTAAAGTCTCATAAAATTTTGCAAAAGTGGGTCAAACTCCAAGGTCAAGGTCAAAAGGTCAAATATGATGGTACCCAAAGAAAGGTCTTGTCACAAGGAATACACATGTGAAATATGAAAGTCAGAGCTCCAACCAATCAAAAGTTATGGGCAAGGTTAAAGTTGACAACAGACAGACAGACAAACAGACAAACAAACAGACAAACAGACAGACAGGACAAAAACAATATACCCCCGGGACCTTTCGATCCGGGGGCATAATAAAAATTAAAGAATTGATTTCGAAACATATGCCATACTTGAAATTTTGTTGATGGGATACAAATTAATCTTTTTTTTTATTCGTCATCAATGAAATACATTCTTACGAAGAAATTTTCTATGGGTCTTTTCCTGTAAATTTGATAAGAGATTTTAAGTATTTAGTATTTACCTGTACTGATTAAGTTTAATTCTCTCATGAACACTGGTAGAAAATGTAGCCACGCCCACTTGTACATTCTGTGGACCAATGTCAAATTGCTTTGTGAAGTTCTGGACAAAGGTCAGCATCTTATTGAAGTTTATTCTTCTCTCGCTACCCGAGGAGTCCAATAGGAAAACGATGTCGGACAACCCACTTCCACATTCTGAAACAAATCGGAATATTCCCATTGTTAATTTTTTCAAAATACCTGCATGATGCACTATAGAATTATGCCTTGCTTTTTTACGAAAAAAAGTCTGGAGACAAAAAATTCTGTCACCCGAACGAAGTCAGGGGCTATACATGTTTTGCAATTCTTCAACCTATAATTTTGTCCGCGATTTTCGCAAATGGTTTAAACATTCTTAATGAAACTTCATAGTTTTATTATCACCAAGTCCTAGTTGTTCATACAACATTTAAAAGTTTATCATGGATACAGAAAAATTATGAAAAATTCAAATCACATTTTTTTTAGTAACTGCATCAAGTCCAGCCAATTCTTTTGAAACATTAAAAGATTAATCCTAATTGTTTCTTACATGCGTCAAGTCAAACTGATTTCTGAAGAAAAAAAAATATTGCCATGAAAACAAAAAGTGGGATTTTCCTTTTAATTCGATTTCTCTTCTAAAGTATTTCAATCTGCATATTATTGATTCGTTGATGTCTCCCCAAGTTTCTCGGGTTTAACATTTAATGACTGATGTTATCGTGAAACAACAATGAGTAAATTTTTGAAAATTTAAAATTTTGCAAAATTTTAAAATACATGTAGTAGTTGTTTATTCTGCTTTCAACTTTGTGGTGACTATTACTTTGCAATAAGAGAGTTTCTACTTAAGCATTCGTTTTATTTTCCATTGAAGTTAATGTGATTTTAAAAGAAGTTGAAAAGGCGGACAAACATGGAAATCTGAAGTTAACTGATAACTGAGTATTATAAATTCTCCATTTTTCTTACCTGGGTCTATAACAGGAGGGTTAGGAACTATAAAAAAGAAACGTAAATATCGATTATCCATAAACTTATTTTAAATAAACATGACAAATCATTCATAAAAGGAACAGTAAGTATAACTTACTGGCACATGCGGCAGTTTTGATTTCATATTGTATTGACTTGAGAGCGTCAAAATCACCTACAGTGAACACATGCTGCAAGTCCGTGGCAATACCATTCAATTCTGTCTGACTGACACTTTTACCAATACCAACAGAAATCACTTTAACACCCATATTTTTCAGTTCGTTGGCCTTTGCAATTGTTCTTGAAGTAGAATAGGACATTCCATCCGTTAAGACAATGGCGATTTTCTGAGCGTTAGGTCTACCTCCATGATGCGAGTAAAATTGAAATTTAGCACTGGAAAGACCAGAATCTGTGTGTGTTGTTCCACCAGTGTACGAAATGGTATCCAGTTTGTGTAAAATTGACTGCAGATCATGGTACGTGTTAAAATAAAACTGGTTTCTTGCGTAACTTGAATATGTAACCAGGCCAAACTGAACGTGTTGTTTTCCAATTTGGAACCCCTTCATGAAATCGGCGGTGAAGTTCAACTCTTTCTTGAAATTGTCGGCACCTTCACTACTTGAAGCATCCAGAATGAAAACAATGTCTGCTTCCTTCTCACCACATTCTGGTAACAATAAAAATCTAATAAATTTAATGTAAGAATAATAAACTTCGGTTATAATTAAAAGGTCAACAAAGTAAAGCAATTGCACTAAATTTTAGAATCGTAAACATGTTTTCCTTATGCATAATAAATATTTTCAAGAGTACTTAAACATATTTTACTTTATAATAATAAGACCAATCTACATAAATCCACTGATGCTAGTTTTAACAAAAAAGCATATAACTGGCCGACTCTTGCCGGTCCATGATGACAAAAACGTCGCAACAGTCTTTATCACTTAATTTAGGATGTGTTGATCTTCTCATTTGTAATTTGTGTTGCTTTTGCATAAATCCTGTGATGTGGTAAATTTGGTACTTACCGGTATTTGGCTTTTCATCTGTAACAAAAAGGAAGGGACATCAAGTTCCAAGTTTCTCAAAAAATCGGAGACATGGGATATTAAAACAATATTTCTTACTTCTGCAGGTTTCCATAGTCAATTCCTTTTGTAAAGAAGCAAGGGATTTGAAGTCAGTAGCAGTAAACACGTGATTTTTGTCGGTAGCAATTACAGTCAGCTCAGAACTACGCACACCCTGACCGATTCCTATGGTAATGACCTTGATGCCGTCTCTATGCAGACGGTCAGCCATCAAAGCTGTCGCCATTGGATCCGTAGACTGTCCGTCAGTCAACACCACCAATATCTTGGGCACACTTCCATCTCGAGCGCCATTTGCAGAACTGAAACTTTCATTCTGCAATAAACTTAATATCAATTTTTAATATTTGCTCTGTATACATAATTCTAGCAAAGTTAAAAGATCCATCCTTTCTTACCAGGGCAAACTTCAGACCAAGATCGGTGTACGTGCTTCCGGGGATGTATGGGACGTACGCAGTCGCATTGATAAGGTCTGTTTTATTTTGGTACGTATCAAGCCAGAAATGACCATGTGGCTTGGTAGAGAATGAAGCCAAACCGATCTGAACAGCGTCAGGTCCGATGTCAAACTTATCTGTGAAGTTTTGAACAAATTCCAGTTGATGCTGGAAATTGGCAGCTCCCTCACTGGCCGAGGAGTCCAACAAAAATACGATGTCGGCCTTGTTTCCTTCACAAACTACCAACAAAAAGAGCACTCTTGCTTTGAATGTGTAATATTTAGTATGCGATGACTTTTCTATCTTTTTTATATGATAAACGGAAAGCATTTATAATATCTTCGCTTACCATTAAAACCACAAGTGCTTGATTCTATGTTTGACATTACTGAGTGAAGATCATCGAAGTTGTCTACTTTGAAAACATGTTGCGGATCTGTAGCAATCGCTTCTAGCTCTGCCTTGTTAGCTCCGCTTCCTACACCAATTGAAATGACCTCTATTCCCATTTTGTGCAGCTTGTCTGCAGCAGCTGCTGTTGCAGTTGGCGAAGTAGATGATCCATCTGTTAGAACAATCACCCAACGTTCCACCCCTGCTCTTCCACCGTTTTCAGGTGTGAAGGTGTTGTTGGCGATGTACTCCAAAGCATCACCGGTGTGTGTTGAACCATAGTGATGTCTGATGCTAGACACAGCGCCCAGGACTTGGGTTTTAGATTGGTATTTATTCAGTTTAAATTCTGGGTGGACCCTTGAGTCGAAAGACACCACACTAAATTGTGTTTCGTTTAATCCTACGTTGTATTGTCTTACGAGGTTTTTGACGAATATCATCTGCTTTGAAAAGTCTGTACTTGAGATACTGGAGGAAGAATCTATGGCAAATACAATGTCTGCCACTGCTGACTGACAATCTGAGAAATAAAATTAATGATGTGTGTCAATGATAGTTGCAAACTCGTAATCTCGATGAAATGACAGAGATATATAATATCAACCTATGATGCTGATGAGAAACTTACGCAATGCTGCCTGCTGGCATGCAGCATTGGTGAGCTGATTTTGGATTGTGTTGAGCAGATCAAAATCCTGCACCTGGAATACATGTGCCTGATCACTAGCAATCGACTCCAACTCGGAATTGGATACTGAATTACCTATACCAACAGCAATGACCTCTACACCTGAACCGTGTAAACTCTGGGCTTGGAGTCTAAAGCCAAACAAATCAAGAGTTGCAATTTCACCATTATCTTATGAGAGAGTAGGTAAACGTATATTAAATATAGTGCCAGTCTTCAATTTAACATGCTTTCGTCATGAAGTACAGACTTAAACCCTATATTTCTCAGTTAAACACTGACAGTTCTGTTAGTGGTGAGCTGTGGTAAAATGAGATAACCGTACATATTACACATGAAATGGGAATCAGATGAATATAAGATAAGCCTTCAGTGTATCTTATACACGTAATAAACAATACGATAAGTTCATTTATCGGTCAGAAAGGTAATACATAGGTTCATAAGGCTTAAATTACATTATTAATGTCAAAGATCAAACAAAATCCATAATTTACTTTAAATTTTAATAAAGTTGCCACTATAAGTTTTAAACTTCTAAAACGGTCATTAAAAGTAGTCAGTATGTTCAAGATTTACATAAATAACATACAGTGTTTTTGAATGACTAGTTGATTGGCCATCAGTGAGTACGATTACAATCTTTTCCGCGTCAGCCCTTCCTCCATTTTGGGGTAGGAATGAGGTGGTCTCCGCGTAGCTGAGGGCCTTATCTGTGTAGGTGGATCCCGGTCTGTATGGCACGCTTTGAATAGCACTGATCACACTTGATTTGGTTGAATGTGCATTCAAAGAAAACGCGTTGTGTACTGTTGTGGCAAATGTAACTACGCTGATCTGGGTAGCATCGGGTCCCACACTGAATTGGTTGACAAAGTTCTCGACAAATTTTAGTTGTTTGTTAAAGTTAGTCTGCCCTTCACTGTAGGAGGCGTCCAGTAGAAACACGATGTCCAGTTTTGATTTACATCCTGAAGAAACAGTAAGGAACCAACCTTCGTAATATACTTCTGAACAGAACTAGAGCGCAAATTATTGCAGATATGGTTTTAAAGATGCAACTACTTTACAAACTGTCCATCCAGAAGGATCTAGGATTATCAAACCTTGTTAACTTGTTACCATTGGTGATATTTTGTCGGAATACTGTACATGTACAAAAAGGGTAAACCAACTTTTCTTGCGTGCGAGAAATGTCCGCGAATTTCGCTATATAGTTTTTAACTTGCTGCGAACTATTTATTTCATAGTGTATCTTTAAGAATAGTTCCTTAGTTGCCAAAACTAGTCGCTGGGGGTAAATTTTTAACTGACAGTTCGCGATTAAAAGTTGGGAATAATATAGTTGGTTTACAGTACGTATTTAAACGGAATTCACATTTTGGCGCCTTTCTGCATAAATTTACAAAAACCGCCCAAATATGTGATTCATACTGATATTTAATGAATACAGAATATTTAAAACAAATATCACAATACTTTTACATATGCACTGGATACAATAAAGTGCATGTACAGTACAGTGGATTTTTTATAAAGGTGCTGAATTTGGCTCATTTTAGCGGTTTGGTAGAAGCCCGCTAAAATTTCAATAGATAAATTTGTATTATTTGTATTATTGCTTATAAGTACTGAACGCATGAAGGATAACTTCGATTAATCCGTCGCTTAACATTTGATTTCTCACCTGGTGTTAGTTTTACTCAGACTCTTGTGTAAATCGGTATTCAAAATATAAAACGTACTTAAGACTCATATAGAAGATAAACTCCTCTTTTGCAACCCCATGGAGCTCAGTGTCCGCCAAAAAAAAGTTCCGCAAAATCTAGAAAGGTATTGGCTTATGATATCTGGAAAGCCAGAGAAGTGTGTCAGATTGTCAAGAGAAAACAGAAACTATGTAATAATTCGAAAGAGAAAAAATAAGGCTCCCAATGCACAGTTAGGATTTTTCTCGCGAATCTCATTGTCGAGAATCTTGAAGTGACTCTTTAGGATGATATGTGAAGATAAAGAACAGTTATATACTGTAGCTTAAAAAATCCTATCACACATTTCAAATTGAGAAGAGCAAAAAACAGACTCCTGAACACACCAGGACCAGGTACCATGGAGGAGTGAACATTCCCGATCACTACCGCCGTGAGTACTTTGTCTTAATAGAATGCAGATCCTTTTGTAGCAATCTCATTTGGGGGAGGGGAGGGACAATATATTCCTTGACAAGCAAACCTAACCAGATATTCTTTGACAAGAAAAAAACCAGGTCATCAAACGTTATTGATTGGGGAGAGGAGGGGTGTTGACAACTGTTAATAAGATTTGTCATCTAATACATGTATATAGTATTAGCAAAATTATAAGAGGGAAGGCCCCCTCTCTCCTGTGTTCCTCCGGTTTCTAAGGACCTTGGATGCACGCGTTAGAACTATCTTTGACCAAATGCTACTATTCTGAGTGTATAATTATGCAATTCAAGGACTTGAACGTGATAAGAAGCACCGGAAGATAAAACTTCTAGTATAATATCTTGAGGAAAAAGTTTTGCATTTGAATATCTTAAAAGAAGTTCAAATTGTATGCTTTACTATAATGACTGGGTAACAAAGTTACATAGCATAAACTATACTCAAAGAAGTACACCTGTTAATCTCCTTCCTGCTAGGGAGATAGCAATATACTGTATTCCACTGACACTATACATATTGATACCATGAAAAGAAATTTGATTTTACAATACAATATACATATAATAACGCATTTTGATAAATTCTTATAAATGTAGACTTATCCTCCAGCTATGGAAAAACCATCACAGTATTCTAATGAAATCATATACAAGCACTGGTGTCATAAAAAGAGAGGAATGGCAAATTTGGTTTAAGATAATTTACCTGTTGGTACCTGAGTCCACACCCCGGCAGTAAGTGCCACCAGCAATAAAGCTAGTCTCATTCCTAACATGCTTTCCAGTCTGTGTCTAGTCGTTCTAACTTTGTACTTATAGCACCAACACCTGGCTGAGAATGGTTGGATTATCAACACCTGTTCTCAAGGCATGGACAGAAAAGGACAAAAGAAAGCAAGGCTGTGTTTGCTACATGTATTATACTGCATTAGTAGTAATTGTTGTATCTTTACTCTATTTCAATTGCACGATATCTTTCGGAATACGGTGAAGTTAAGAAGCGATGCAGTGTATTTATTGAGCTACTCTGCGAGATGGGTTGAAATAAATATGACAATAGTAGACTCAGGAAACAAACGTAGATGAGTCTAAAGAAGAAGAAAAAAGAAAGAGGAACAGCAAAGATCCAGGAAGAGCAAAGATCCAGGGTTATACCTTCATAACCGCATTGCATCTCGTGTGACCTTACTTCCTAGTTATCCCGAAACCAAACTTTATCAGAGAACGACTCCATTAAAACGGCGTTATGTAACAAATAATGGGTGTTTACTGGTCCCTGAAGAATGCGAACGTGTGCCATCAATGGGGTTCAAAATTTCTTAGTTGTCCTGTGCATGTATGAGCGGTTCTAAACTTAGTTTTTGCAAGGGGGGTCAAGGATTGATTTGCAAGGTCTTAATCACTAATTGTCTTACAAACGAGCTAAGGGATGTTATGCAAAGCGACAAACTACTGTATGTGTACTTCAAAAAACTGGGCTTCATATTTTGAAGGCTTTGGCGCGGACACCGATGATTGCGTCAACAACCCCAGTGATTGCGCTAAATTTTGAATACGCCAATTTTTGTACACGTACAGTATAAGGGTTCTGAACTAATTATCGAAGTCTTTCTTATTTGTATAGAATGTCCTTTTTAAACGCCATTCACTTGGGTTACAAAGCATACTTAAGTAACCTTGACCCTGCTGTTCTACATCAGAGGATTAATCTAAAAAAATGTTCTATTCCAAAATTGTCGCCTAAACCTAGATCAAGGGATCATGAATAAACCTGAACATGGGAATGCTTCATTATCAGTATAACTAAAATGACCTTGCTGTGATTTTTTCCCGTTTACATTGTGGAATATTTGTTCGATGATTTAAACTCCAACGTTACACCAGGGTCCATATAATTTGAAGAATAAAACTTGAAACCTCTCAACCCGGGAATATTTACATATTAATATGATATATATAAAATTTCATGAAAAACTCCGAATCCCTTTTTTACCTGAACCGAACCCCAAAGGGCGATGTCCTGCAATACTTTGGGATGCTTGCATATCACTATAACTAATTAGGGTCTTGCCCTTCTTGAGATTGTTTAATATTCCAATGTAAAAATTAATCCCCTGTTGTGATCCCACCTTATCCCCATGAGGCTTTCATTTGAACATTCGCTTTCATTTGAACATTCGCTTGAATCTGCACTTCCTAAGGAAATTTGCATATAGATATGATTAATTATTGTTCTTCTGTTCTTATGAAGAACATTTTAAAAGAATTTTTGTTTTATATTTCCACGTTAAACTTTGGTCTATTGCGGCGCAAGTCTTCCCTACTTAGGGGGCAATGATTTGAACAGACTTGAATCTTCGCTACTTGAGGATGCTCACATATTAATGTGACTAATGATGGAACGTTGATACATGCATCCCCAAGTGAAACTTTGATCCCCTATTTTAGCCCAAGTCTAACCCCTGGGACTATAATATAACAAACTTAAGAAATAAGAACTTAAGAGAATACTTGCATACTAATATGACTAGTAGAACATGATTCTTCCAATATATCCCCAGGTAAAACTTTGATCCGCACTCAACACCAAGAGTCATGATTTTTACAACTTGCATCTTCACTATATCTGAGAATACTTTTTTATTAATATGAATAATCATGGTCCTGTTGTTCTTAAGAAGACATTTTAAAAGATTTTCCGATATTAACAGTGAAACTTTTCATTCTGTAACGTGGCCCCACTCTTATCCCGGTACAAACTTCAATCTGCACAACACCATTTCAACCCGACTATAATCATGACTTTACTGTTCTCAAGAAGATTTTTGAATGGCCCCAACATATTTTGTTTATTTTTTAATCAATCTCTCTTGTGGTTCGTTGTTTCAAATAATCTGAGTTCCTTCTGCGACAAATGACGGATGACATATGGCAGACGGAAGCCGAATACCCTTCAATCAGAAAAGCTCACAAAATCCTTGGCTCGGGTGAGCTTAATACTTATTTTTACTGTGCCTTTTCATGATCGAAAAAGACGACAAAAGGCTTAGTCAGTTCAACTGAGATGAGATTTTTACGCTTTTATGCCCTACTCAGACTCAAAGTTTAGAATTTTTCTTTCCAATTTTATCTAAAATTATACATATATTTTCGAATGATGACCATAGAACACCGTGAGGAGAAAACTTCTGGATTTTATTACGATAAAAACTTGCACCAAAGTCTTAATAAAATCTCATACATTAATGATACCGCTCTCCTTCCAAATTTGCAATGTCTGCCAATGAAACAGAATAATAAATGTGAAATGACATACTTGTGAACATATTAATTAGTTTTTTTGTTTGTTTGTTAGTTTGTTTTCCAGCTAAAATGATTATATGAAATCGTAATAAACGATGTAACAAACCTAAACGGTTGGTACTGTAGAATCAACAGTCGAATTAACACCTGTGAAAGAAACAAAACTAACTTAACTGAGCGATATTGTTTGAACATTTATATGATTACCGAATGATCATATTTTTCAAGTTTATCGGCATTAATCCGGCAAGTACTTTACAATATCATATTAAAAATAGAAAACCATCTCTGTATATCCCTAATTAGCAAAAGATCTAGATAATTATCGTTTACGTTATCGTTTACGTAAAAACCCATCCAAGGTAGAAAAATTTCATGAAATTGTTTTCTGTGGAAGTGTTACGTTCCTATTCCATGTTATAAAAATAGTGGTGGCACTAAAATTGTACATACTAGTAAAACGCTACTATAGTACAAATGAAACTATTTTACAACTACTCTCTGTTACAAAATGTCATTATCTGAGACCAGGTTTGGAATATTTATCATCTTACCCTCACATGCAACTTTTTTAATATCCTCTTTGAGAGTCTGCAACGTGTCAAAATTTTGGGTTTTGAAGACATGGTTAGGATCTGAAGCAATAGAATTCAGTTCGGTACTGTCAACATTCGATCCAATGCCGATAGCGACAACGGTTGCCCCGCATGCCTTTAGCAAATTAGCTTCCGTCAAGGTGGCGCTTTTGTTTGTGGACATGCTTTCTGTGAGGACAACAACGAACAGTGAGGAGTTAGAACGCGCCCCATTCATTGAAAGGATGTTGTGCTCCCTTATATACTTCAGCACTTTTGAAGTCTGAGTTGAACCCCCGACATAGTCTGTTTGTTGTATTGCATCTAGAACGGGCCTCTTCTGTGTGTACTGGTTCAGGTAGAAGTTATTTTGAACAACTGACCCAAACGACACAACGCTGAATTGTACGTTGTTGGGACCAACAGGGAGATCTCTCACAAACGACTGAACCAAGTCCATTTCTTTCTGTAAGTTGATCAGTCCTACTCTACTGGATGAATCCAGTGCAAAGATGATGTCAGCTGTCTGGATAAAACCACACGCTGAGAAGGAAAAGGTTACAATTAATTACACTCTTATTCAATCCAGACTGAGAAATGAAGGCAATAAATGATACTCACTTTGACACGAAGTGAACTCAAGCTCCGAGTTAAGTTTGTTCAAGACGTCAAAGTTAGCAACATAGAAAGCGTGCTGTGAGTCACTGGCTATACTGTTCAATTCTTGTTGGTTGACTCCGGATCCAATACCAATGGCAATCACCTTCATATTTGGTTGGGATTTCAAGGCTGCAGCTTCCTGTAGAGTTTTTGCATGACTAAAAAGATGAAGAAAGAAAACAATTTTGGTATTGACACGGATTGTCTAATTCGTTTGACTTTCCATAAGAATGCTTTTGTACATTATAAACTTTAGGCAGATTGCGATTCGGTAACCCAAACGCTAAACAATTCACCTTCTGAGCGAAATTTGTGGTTAACAGAATTTATATTTATACTAAATACTATAGAAGGTACGTTTCATTATATCGGACGCTTCATTTATCCGGACAGTTTGCTAGGGAACAAAAGCGTTTGTGTTAAAGAGGCTCGACAGGACATTGAAATTACATTAAATAAAATGAAATGTACAAATCACGCTTTTCTTTCATTGCACTTTGGTTTCCTTTTATTTTGTGTGATAAAGGAACAAAATAAATGTTGCATACACATGAAAAACATACTTGTATGATGAATTAGTCTATCATACGATCTGTATGTAAACTGCAAAGATGTTGTAAGCATTAGGTGCTTCTAAAACATAACCCAGCTTTTTTCTTGAAGTTGTATATACGATAAAAATTAAAATCTTTGATACCCTGATTGAAGTTATGAGTATTGAATATTTCTAAAAGTACTTGAAAGAACGCCCGTCCGTCATGACTACCACGATGCTGCTAGCATTGGTTCTTCCACCATGGGACGGAAGGAAGGCCTGTGTTCTGGCATACTGTAAAGCTTTGTCTGTGTATGTTCCTCCTCCATCATAATAGATGCCAGAGATCGCAGCAAGTAAGGCTGTTTTATCACTACATTTAGAGAAAATATTCTTAACTTTGAGTTAAGGTCCATTACCTATTACCAGGCTTTTAACTGTCAATATTAAAGATGAATAAAAACATTCTTGGAAGAAAATAATGTAAATATTAACCTTATCCTTAGCTATAAACGCATATGGATATGATTCATCGAAAAGTTACCTTTGATCTTCACTGAAATATTCTTATAGCAGTGTTGCAGGGATGAACAATTTAGTTTCGTTATAAGCGAAATTCATTATATTTAATAACTTCATTATATGTTTTGTTTCTACGGGGAATAAAAATTATGTCGCTTTAAGTGTAAATTCTTTAAATGTGTGTTCGCTGTTTTACTGTCTTTACCTGTATTGGTCAAGACTGATTCTCTCGTGTACACTGGTAGAAAACGTAACCACTCCAACCTGTGCGTTCTGTGGATTAATCTCAAACTGTTTAGTGAAGTTCTGAACAAACGTTAGCATCTTATTGAAGTTGATTTTTCTCTTGGTCCTTGAGGAGTCGAGAAAGAAAACAATATCCAATTTTCCACACTCTGAAACACAAAGCTTTTTAAGGTTCTCCTTCCTTGACTTTTTGAACTACTACATTTCTTTTCCTGGCGAATAATTTCTAACTTATCGAATACAACATTTGAACAATTATACATATATTTTTGTTTTTTTAGTGATAATGCATATTTTAATGCATTGGCATATAGATACTAGAATTTTGTCAATCCAATAGATACATACATATAGTTTTAAAAAATTATTCTTTTTTACCTGGATCAATAATAGGCGGATTTGGAACTGCAAGAAAAATATATTCCTTTATCATAATTTGCCTATTTTGAGTAATTCTCACAAAATGGAAACAAATTGTGGGAAATAAACTTACTGGAACATGCAGCAGTTTTAATCTTGTATTGTATCGACTTAAGATCATCAAAGTCTGCAACAGTGAACACATGCTGTAAGTCTGTGGCAATTCCATTCAATTCCATTTGACTGATATTTTTACCAATACCAACCGAAATCACTTTTACACCTAGAGCTTTTAGTGCGTTAGCCTCTGCAATCGTCTTAGTTGTGGAATAAGAAATTTTATTCGTCAAGACAATGGCAATTTTCTGAGCGTTAGGTCTTGCTCCATGGTATGAGTAATATTGGTATCTAGCACTGGTGAGACCATATTCGGTATGTGTAGCTCCACCAGTGTAAAAAACAGTATTTAATTTATGTAAAATGGACTGTATATCATGGTATGTGTTGAAATAAAATTGGTTTCTTGCATAACTTGAATATGTAACCAGACCAAACTGAACGTGCTGTTTCCCAATTTGAAATCCCTTAATAAAATCGGCAGTAAAGTTTAATTCTTTCTTGAAATTGCTGGCACCCTCACTTCCGGAATCGTCCAGAATGAACACAATGTCTGCTTCTCTATCACCACACTCTGAAAACAATGAATAAGGATATATCACTGTTGTAATCATTGATGATATACTTTATAATTATATATCCATTAAAAAGTATTTTACCATTTTTGTCGATAGTGAACTACCGGTATGTTTAACTTTGCAAAAAATCAAATTTAATTAATTAGCGAATGACATATTTCATGTAATATGTATCATTGATTAATGTTGACTTGGTTTTATAAAAACATATCAGTGGCTTTTATATTACTAATAGCTTTTAAAACTAAAGCAGTAAAAATTCAATTTTACTATGTCCTGTTTACTAAACTCCATAAAAATAGAGTGAAACAGTTCACGAGATAGAAACTATCCTATCAGTAAACGCTCGAAATTGTTCATTTCGCTGATCTACTTTAAGTTTTTGCATTTCAACTTTGCAATACTGGTATAAGTACATAAATGAATACGAAGAAAACTTGCCTGTACTTGGTTTTTCATCTGTAAGTAAAAGAGGGAATGTCAGTCGTCTTATGTCTCACATCAAATACTAACAGGAATTTTATAAAGGCAACATAGTACATCTTTCAATAGCATGTCTCACTTCTACAGATTTCTATCTGCAAATCCTTTTGGACAGATGCGAGGGATTTAAAATCAGTAGCAGTGAACACGTGGTATTTGTCTGTAGCAATAACAGTCAACTCAGAACTGCGCACATCCTGACCAATTCCTATAGTGATGACCTTGATACCATGTTTGTGCAGACGGTCAGCCATTAAAGCTGTCACCATTGGGTCCGTAGATTGTCCGTCGGTCAATACTACCAGTATTTTAGGTATGCTTTCATCTCGAGCTCCATTTTTGGGGCTGAAACTTTCATTCTAAAATGGACTGTACCAATTTGTGATTTCTGTTCTATACACAAGATGCTTACACCAAAAAAAATCTTCATTGGACTTACCAGAGCAAACTTCAGACCAAGATCGGTATACGTGCTTCCAGGAATGTATGGGACGTTGTCGATGGCATTAACAAGGTCAGTCTTGTTATGGTACATGTCAAGCCAGAAATGACCATGGGGTTTGGTGGAAAATGTTGTCAGACCAATCTGAACAGCGTCAGGTCCAATGTCAAACTTAAGTGTAAAGTTTTGAAGAAATTGAAGTTGGTAATTAAAATTGTCCCTCCCTTCACTGGCAGAGGAATCCAATAGAAACACGATGTCTGCCTTACTTCCATGACAAGCTACCACACAAAATAGACAACGAATTGAAAAAAAAAGAAATGTTTCAAGGTAGTAATTTTGCGTGCTATTTCTGTCAAGATAAAATGCCTCAATACAAAATTTGATTAAATATTAAAGTACCATTATAATCACAAGTGATTGATTCTATGTTTGTCATCACTGAGTACAGATCATCGTAGGTGTCTACTTTAAAAACATATTGTGGGTCAGTAGCAGTAGCTTCCAGCTCCGCCTTGTTGCTTTTGCTTCCTACACCAATGGAAATGACCTCTATTCCCATTTTGTGAAGTTTATCTGATGCGGCCGATGTTGCGGTAGCCGGTGAATATGGATATGTTCCGTCTGTGAGAACAATTACCCAGCGTTCTACTCCTGCTCTACCACCGTTGGTGGATTTGAAGGTGTTGTTGGCAATATATTCCAGAGCCTCGTTCACGTTTGTCGATCCATAGGCATATGGATATGTAATACTAGAAATGGCCCCCAGAACTTGTGTTTTAGATTGATAATTATTCAGATGAAATTCTACATGGACTCTTTTGTCAAAAAACACTATACTAAATTGTGTGTCATTTAATCCCACGTTGTATTGCCTTACAAGATGCTTAATAAAAAGCATCTGTTTGGAAAAGTCTATGGTTGAGATGGTCGAAGAAGAATCTATGGCAAACACAATGTCTGCAATTGTTGATTGACAATCTGAATTTAAAAGAAATACTTAGGTAAAGAGAAGTTATTCTTAGTTTCTCTGAAAATGTTATATGATGGTCAAATGGGTAGAGCTAAGTTCAAGATATTTGATCCAATAAAGAGCTTACGTAAGGCCGCTTTCTGACATGCCGCGTTGGTCAATTGACTTTGGATGGTGTTCAGTAGATCAAAGTTCTGTACTTGGAAAACATTGGTATAATCGCTAGCAATGGATTCTAGCTCAAAATTAGAAACGTAATTACCGATACCAACAGCAAAAACCTCTACACCAGAAAAGTGCAATTTTTGGGCTTCGGATCTACAAGCAAAACCAAACCAGGATAAGATTTATGTACTAATAGAGATAATGACCATGGATGTTACAATTTTAAGCACTATTAATTTGTTACGTATTTTGAATGTAAAAGGCTATATATTTTTTCTATGTACACCTAGGTTTTATAATTAATGATTAAGGGTAAAGTAATATGTAAGGAGAATTCATACGAGAGAAAACTATATTTAAATCTGGTAAACAATAATATATATGCAAAGTACGGACAGCACACGAATTTAATAAGTTTTGAAACTACCTTAAACGGACATATACTAAGAATTCTGAAATAAGTAAAAATGTTTCTGTTGTAATTTCTTTAAAATTACGTGTTTCGATTTTGTTGTTGTTGTTTAAATCTATTCTGTATGTGAGTGTGTGTGTGTGGGGGGGGGGGGGGGGGGGAGTTTCGTAGGGAATGTAAACAAGTATAATGTGAATACAAAGTATCTTCCAGTTTGATATACCGGTATCCATATAATTGTGCGATGGACCATTTCTTAAGAGGAGCTACATGAATGCATAGTGCGAGTAACAACCATTCTTTATTACATGTAATGTATTGAAAAACAAGCAGAAAGAAGACTGATTGGACATGCCTGCATTAAATGTACTCTTTTAGTAGCAATGATATGGACACCACCCACTAGAAAGGAAAGAGGGCAAGACTGAAAGCAAACAATTGATCCTCAGATAAGATACACAGTACATCTGATGGCCATTCACGCTATGATGAAAAAACAAATTGAAAGACTGTTTAATGTGCGTTTGAAAAGGAGAAACATAAAAACTCGAAAGCTAAGTTTAAATCGATGCTGTCATAAGACAGTAATACACACTCCCATTCATTTCCCAAAAGATGAGTTGGGTACTAACAAAATGTAAGAGGAGTTCAGGAAACCAGGTTTTTGTAGATATAAACATCGTTTTACCCCCCAGCTGTCTCCCAATGTGAAAATCAAAATTCAAAAACCTCTTGCACTTTTAGAGGACACTCACAATCACATTCTAAAATACCATTTGACTACTGCGAAAAATATTACAGGAGTTCAGGGAACCAGGTTTTTATGGATAAACGATGCTTTTTGACCCCTAATCCCCCTTCACGGGTGAAAATCATAGCAATTCCAAAACCTTGTTGCACATGTATTTGAGACCACCAATCATATTCCAAAAGATAAGTTGGCTTCTGCAAATAAACGTATGAGGAGTTCAGGGAACCAGGTTTTTGTATAAGAATATTTTTGATCCCAATCGCTCCCAGAATGAAAATTGAGATTCCAAAATCCTACTGCACATCTACAGTACACTCCCAATCACACTCCAAAATATGATTTGACTACTGAGAAAAATGTAGAAGTTCAGAGAACCAGGGGTTTTTTGTAGAAAAACGACGTTTTTGACCCCCAATCCCCCCAGGGTGAAAACCGAAATTTATAAACCTTTTTGCACTTCTCCAAGAAACCACCAATCATATTCCAAAAGATGAGTTGATGACTGCTAAAATTTTAAGAGGAGTTCAGGTAATCAGGTTTTTTCTCCTCAGAAAAAACATCTGTGTCAAAGAAGTTCAGGGAACCAGTGTTTTGTAGAAAAACTGGGATTTTTCACCCCCATTTTGCACCCAAGGTAAAAATGAAAATTTCAAAGTCTTTTTGCACTTGTTCAATGCCCAGCAATCATACTTGAAAAGAGTTGGCTATTGCTTAGAATGTAAGAGTAGTTTGGGGAAGAAGAAAGTGTGACATACATGTAACGGACAGACGGACGGACCATGATAACAACAGCAATATCCCAAACTTCCTTTAGAAAGTGCGAGTTTAAATAAGAAATAATTTTTAAGAGATACGCACATGGTGTTAGCTTGGTTAGACCAATGTCCATTAGTCAATAGGAAAACTAATTTTTCGGCATCTGGTCTTCCTCCATTTTGAGGCAAGAATGAGGTAGTTTCCGTATAAGTGAGCGCCCTGTCAAGGTAAGTTGCTCCCGGTCTGTAAGGTATGTTTTGAATGGCACTGATGAGACCTGGTTTGGCTGAGTGTGTATTTAAGGAAAAGGCGTTGTATACCGACGTGGCAAACGGGACAACGCTGATCTGAGTGGCATCTGATCCTATATTGAATTGGCTAACGAAATTATCCACAAATTTTAGTTGTTTATTAAAATTTGCCTGTCCTTCACTGTAAGAGGCGTCCAGTAGAATCACAATGTCCAGCTTAGACCTACATCCTGTTTAAATGCAATAAATGTAAACTTTGTCTTATTTTCGAAACATCGTATTTCAGCAGAAAATGAATGTGAGAAGTTCTACAAATATTTATTCACAGTATGAGATGGTCTTATTTTTCATTTAAAAACAAAATTCCGGCTCTTGTGACCTGGAATCATCAAATACTTAGTTTAGCGAATGCGAGAAGGTATCTGTTTGTTTCGAAAACCAAAAAAAAAAGCTTAGAATGACTTGAGACTTTATTTGTAGTAAGAGCAATATTTGCGTTAGCCTAATTTTTTCTCCAAATAATTTCTATAGAATTCTCTTCACAAATAAAACCAAACAGCGACTCACTATAGAAAATTTCAATTGGTGTTGTCTTAACAGTGAATTCTGCGATACTGCATGTCTATCCGTTCGCCATGTTTACAAAAAATACTTTGTACACTGTTGGCCTTAAAATACTTTCTGTAATTTCTTTTCTGATGAGACATAAAGAATGAGATTTGTGCAACAAATTGGAAATGAATTAATTCTTAATTATATCACTGTTTTCTATTAAATCAAAAAAAAAACCTAACACATGTGTACATTACTTGTGATTGGACGTACCACGTGCACACAATATGCCGAATGTTCTATTTATAAACTACTATCTTTATTCATTGAAGATTAAATTTTATCGCGATATCAATCGTACTTATTTGATATGTCACTTTATGAAAAGAAATGGTATTCACTCGTTGAAATTTAATTTCTGAGTTCATGATCTTTTTGATTAAAACAAATTATATGAATTCCAGCAGACAACATATTTTTTTTTACTTAATGTTATTATCTTAGTACAAAGAATTAATATAGTTCCTTTGATATTTGATGGATTTTATTTTGTAATATTTGAAATTCATTAAATGTGTTACCTGCGGGTACTTGTGCCCACACTTGGACGGTGATTGCCAGCAGTACTAACAATGATTTCATTCCAAGCATGGTTCCGACTCTGTCCAGCACGCTCTGTGAACTTGTCACTCCAACATCTGGCTGAGAATGGACAGATTATCAACACCTGTCCTGAATAGCAGACAGAATAGAGAAGATAGCTGTATGAAAATCATAAGCAGGGTTAACACACAGACATACCCACACACACAGACACACGTACGAGCGCGAATGATCCGTCGTTGAATTCCGCAGTGAAAAAGAAAAAAGGAGAGAAAAAGTATTAACTACTAAACAACCCATCCAGTTGAAATTATCAGAATCTTATTGGGAAAAGACAAATACAAGAAGAATCAGAAGTTCAATTTTACGCACACTCGATACACAGAAAATTTTTCAATAAAATAGAAAACATTAGGGAGAAAATGTAAGAAATATTTTTTTAAAAAAAACAAACAAACAAACAAACAAAACAAAAAAGAAAAGAAATTATTAAATTCTTATTGTTAGAAGGATGCAAAATAAAAATATGATGTTTAATTTTTCCAAAATAACAAATTACTCAAATTTCGATATCAGGAAAGGGAAAAAACTATAGCTTAAATTAAATTTTGTTGTTCATGATTTGTTAAAACATATCATGTATATATCGTGTTATGAAGAGAATATGTATATTTCGGAAATTATAAATTATTATTATATTAAATTATTATTATATCAAATTATTATTATATTAAATTACTGGATATTACGCGGAGTATATTAATATGAGTAGGTTATTTTTTTTTTAAATCAAATGATTAGTGTGGGTATATATGTGAACTACATGTATCTAGAAGAGTGAATATACATGTATCTCTTTGACGGATGAGGTTTTTTTTTTTCATATCTGCTTATTTAAAAAGATAAATATAATTGCAATGCCCTTTAAATTGGCTAATCATTATAAACTTAGTCAAATTTTGTTTTTAAGTGATTTTATTAAAATATGATTTAAATTCACACTATAATACTTTTTAAAAAGTCTTAAAACAGATTGTATGGAATTTTTTTAAAACATATTTTTCCAATCTGATGTTTCTAGTAATATAAATTCGAATTTTCAATCAATTTTAGAGTCAAAAAAACTCTACGACGAAGTTACGTGTTGTTGATTTTCAGTTGAACGAACTAGTTGGGATGTGAAATATTGAAATAGATAAAATATTCTCATGATTATCTGATGAGTGACAATGTTGTGACTCATGCAGTTTCAGCATAGCAAGGGTTTTGAACTGTAAGATAAAAAACAAAACAAAACGTCAGTGATTTTAAAAGATTTTCAAAAGAGAATACATGAAGTATTTGTATATGCATTTTCATATGATTGTTCTTTTGAAATGAATCCATATTTTTACAATCAATAATTAATACGTCAAAAGACTTTACGATGAACTTACGTATTGCTGATTTTTTTTTCTATCAACGACTAGTTTGGATATATGTGAAACATTCAGACTAATAAATATACTTCTATGACAGATGAGTTTTTTTTTCATTTGAAAGCCGGTTAATTCTGCTTATTGAATTAATTAAAAATAATTTGCATTGTATTGCACTGCAATACACCAACAAATTGGACAATGCAAAAAACAATCAAAAGGTCTTTTACATGATTGTATAGAAAATATGGTTAAAATTCACACCGTCTTTAATTCAGTGTTCTTTAAAAATTCAAAAACAGACTTGAAGAATATTTTTTTGATTTTTTTAATGGCTCTCTGAAAGTAAATCCTAATTTCAAATCATTAATAATGTACTGAAACGCACAAGAAACGCAACATCCTAAATTTAGGGAGGAAGTTATAGACAGGTTATAACTTTGTACTTAAAAAGTTAGGACATCTTCAACTTTGCCAAATCAGTAATTTAGCGGTTGAATGATTTTCATTCCATTACCGGAAGTTGATTTTGACCCTATTAACAGAAATCAAAAAATGCATGTTTAATAAAACATTTAACAATAATTTGGGTTTTCATGGGTTTGTAGCTGTTAATCATAAGTATTGCACTAATATTCCGAAAAACAAATCCTTCTTTCTTTTCCCGATGTGATGCAAATATTTCCTCAAAATGGCTGAAAGCACGCATTTTCATTGCCCTTGCTGGAAATTCTCAAAATAAAGGTAAAAGAGAGTTGCAGATGCAAATATGCATTACATAATGACTCATCAGGCTCATGCGTTTCATAAGCATGAATGACAGTTCTTTGACCGGAAGTCCAAGGGTTACTACATTTTGCCAGGTTAGAGAAAATTCGACCTCAATATCTGAAAAACAGGCACTTGAAAATGCCTAAGAATATTTCTTTCGCTCAGATCAATAGATTGATAAACCTAATGCATCGTACAAATCGAGCTGCAATTGTTGTACATGGCGGACTAGCACGCTGTAACTGAATGGTCGGAAGGGAGGATGTTTTAAGAGTTATGTGTCACTTTCTAAAGTTTACAGATAACATTCAACGTTTAAATCAAATATCTGATGTTTGTAAATTTACTTTTTACCTTACTGTATTCATTTTTGAATGTTATCTTTAAACCTTGGATAAATTAATTAAATAAATTAATTAGGTAAATACATGTACATGTATGCCAGTCTTTCAACCTCTCCATCCTAAATTTATTGCTTAATTTCACTATTATCATGTACGATAACTTCAATTTCTTCGAAGCAATTTAATTATGATAGAATAAGGATTTTGGAATCTATGGTATTTATGTTGATAAGCTACTTTTTAGACCAGGAAATTGTATAAATCATATTTTCTGTGGAGTTAGTAGGGAAAAAATCTTTATCGTTTACAAATCAATTTGAGCTTTCCTTAGCAATTTAAACATAATGCAAAAATCCTGATGAAATAATTTATCAAATAATATTTTGGTACCAACACCCCCAATCTGATTAAAATACAGATCTCTACATAGCGCAAAATTTGGTAATTTTCCCTATATAATGTGATTAACTATAATGATGAACTTTGAAGAAATACCAAGACTAAATTCACGTTACTCTGTGAAGTCAGAGACATTTTTGTGAGCATTTTCAATCACTTAAATGATTTTCAGAACCTGAGGATCGGACTGCCTTCTCTGTTAACATTTCAGAAAAAAGAGGCGTGGAGATTATCTGAATAAAATTGAAACGATTAAACTAAACTTATGTATTTTACATAATTATTATTGTAATATAGATGAATTTTTTCCACGTTTGTGATTATTTTAAAAATAAGTTCGTATCATCGTTAAAATCGTACATAATTATTTATAGTATTAATCGGCAACTCATAGACACAATTGAATTTAATTGAAGTGCTCAATAATTATGTTAGTCTAAACATGCACTGATCAAACGGCTTTTGCTTAAATAAACATCAAGTACAGTGTATGTTTGAAGAAAACCACTCGGAGCGAATCCACTTAGGGCGAACAGGGAAATGACGCGAAACCACTCAGCACGAACAGGTAATAAGGGGCGAACCACCCAGATTCGTAACACACTGGCGTAATAAAATCGAGTTCGGGATTCAAATTGTTGTTGGACATATTTCCGATCTCGTGCAAATTGCACTCGACTTTCGTCAGTTTCGACAGTGACAGAAAAAAGATCAGAAAAACCTTCAATCATTGGTCTGATACTTGGATTCAAATCACCCATCGTTGATTCCAGTTTTAAGGTATTGTGCGGTAGATTGCCAGGGTAAAGAAACAACTTTTTTAACGCCCTTAAGTTTAACTCGAAGTTCCTCTGATATTTATCATGTGTTCAGTTTCTAATGCCAAGTTTCAACATGAGTATTATGGCACAGTGTGACATTATACTAAAATAATTTTGATTACTAGTATATGGCAAACTGCTATTAATTTACCTGTCAATACTTTCACAACAGTAAGTTGTTACTTACTTTACACATCAGTGCCACAGGTACTTGGGTCTCTTGGTTTATAAATATGTATACTTATTGGTCTGTAAAAATACTACTTTTTTTACATATCAGTAGGTATACATATTTATAAACCAAGACCCAAGTACCTGTGATCAGTGCTATTTATAGTCTAAACTCTTTATAATGTTACAGTGGTCATGACACAGATCAGGGTCCATTTACAGAGAGAGAGAAATAAACACTTTCAAACTGATTTGTAAGGAGTAAACCTTTTAAAACATGAAAGAATACTTTGTTCACACTTGTAAAATATTTGGTAGGATGATCATGAGACTGAATTTTGTCATGATGATGCAAATCTGATGAAATTTTCAGATGAATTATTAAGATGTCTAAAGCCACAAAGAGAAAACATGTCACTAAGGAAGTCTTAGATGAGTTTATTCTGCCAACGGAGGATCAACAAATTGTCAGGGTACGCATGTCACATTCATCTTTTCAATTTTATTCAGTTCTCAGTAACTTTCTTTGGGGGGGGGGGGGGGGGGGGGGGTAGAGAGGGGGGAGGGTTGCAATGCTTTCAAATTGCAATTGATTAATAGAACACACCATTTTATAGTACAGAAATACAACAGTGATATACATATAATAATTTACAGGTGACTGCTGGCAGGGGAAATAACTTGCATGAAGTAGAGACTGCCCAAAATGAGCGCTTCCTTGTCAGCATGCCCACACGGTTTAGAAAAAATGTCTGGATCAAAAGAGGTATTTATCTAATGAGTTAGTTTTTTTTTCTTGTGCACTTTTATAATTTTTTATTGTAAAAAAACTATAGAGTAATTTCAATTATATTATTCATGAAATATGCCCACGTGAAGCATCATAGTTCATGTCCTTATGAATTCTCAAAAATTAAATTCATCTCTTACATATAATGTAAATTTTATTTACTGGGTTATAATAATAAGATAAGCAAGTTAATGATGGAATTAATCTACATGAGAAGGAGTGGACTAATAATCACTAAGAATTTATAATCAAATCATGTAGAATTGATTCAGAACTGGTTTGACAATAAAGATACATGTACTGTCATCAAAATGAATTTTGTTAGATAAGTGATAAACAATAATTGCAAATTTGACTTGGCAGACCATCATCGCAAACATCTGCCAAAACGTACATACATTCCTATCCCATTCTGGCAGTGGTTGAATGAGAAAAGAATTTATTGTACATTATTGAATGTAATTGCAATATTTTTATATAAATATTGTATTTAGTTGAGGATAACATTGAAAATTTTTATCCCAATAAAACCATTGTCAGCTGAAGCACAGCTGAGGTGGTTTTCAAGGGGTGAAAATTTTTCAATGTTACCCTTAACTTCATGCAATATTTATTGTATTATACTGAATGTTTTAAACAAATATGTGTACATATAATAGTAAGCTGAATGTGCAAATTCTGCTTAGTCCATATTTTTTTTTGAATATCACCTGTTGTCAAACAATGTTGACTGTTGCTATGTTCTTCACGCTAGAGTGTTTGGATTTCATCTTCCAGAGAGTAGTATTTTTCTAGGAAATAATTCTCATTGGATCAGATTCAACTAATTCACATAAAATTTAATATAAACAATAATTTTTATTAGGTCACCTGAGTCACTCAGGTGACCTATTGCTATCCGTTCTCGTCCGTCGGCGTGCGTCGTGCGTCGTGCGGTGTGCGTCGTGTGTTAACATTTGAACATTTTTAGCTTCTTCTCTGAAACCGCTTAACCAATTTCAACCAAATTTGGCATATAGCACCTATGGGTGAAGGGGAACAAAAATTGTGAATTCCATGGTCCCTGCCCCCCTGGGGCCTGAGGGGTGGGGCTAAAACCACCAAAAATAATGCAATCTTTAAAAATCTTCTTCTTTACTCCTGGACATCAAGCAGTCAAACTGTTGGCATCATTGTAATAAGCATTGAGTCCTCTACCAAAATTGTGAAATTCATGGCCCCAGGGTCAGGGGTTCTGGTGCTAGGGTGGGGCTATATAGATCATATAGGGAAAGTGCATTATTTCTTTGAAAATCTTCTTCTCTGCTCCTGGGTATTAAATAAAGTAACTAAGTACATAGTTATGAAGAACAAGAGTGCCTCTTTCAAAATTGTGAAATTCATGGCCCCAGGATCAGGGGTTCTGGTGTTAGGGTGGGGCTCTATTGATTATATAGAGAAAATGCATTAATTCTTTGAAAATCTTCTTCTCTGCTCCTGGGTATTAAATAAATTTACTAAGTATATAGTTATGATGAGCAAGAGTGCCTCTTTCAAAATTGTGAATTTCATGGCCCCTGGGTCAGGGGTTCTGGTGTTAGGGCAGGGCTCTATTGAGTATATAGTGAAAATGTATTAATTCTTTGAAAATCTTCTTCTCTGCTCCTGGGTATTAAATAAAGTAACTTAGTACATATTTATGATGAGCAAGAGTGCCTCTTCCAAAATTGTGAATTTCATGGCCCCAGGGTCAGGGATTCTGGTGTTAGGGCAGGGCTTTATTGATTATATACATTAGTTAAAATGCATTAATTCTTTGAAAATCTTCTTATCTGCTCCTGGTTATTAAATGAACTAATTTAGTACTTAGTTATGATGAGCAAGAGTGCCTCTTCCAAAATTTTGAATTTCATGGCCCCAGGGTCAGGGGTTCTGGTGTTAGGGCGGGGCTCTATTGATTATATAGTGAAGATGCATTAATTCTTTGAAAATCTTCTTATCTGCTCCTGGATATTAAATGAACTAAGTTAGTACATATTTATGATGAGCAAGAGTGCCTCTTCTGAAATTATGAATTTCATGACCCCAGGGTCAGGGATTCTGGTGTTAGGGTGGGGCTCTATTGATTATATAGTGAAAAGGCATTAATTCTTTGAAAATCTTCTTCTCTGCTCCTGGGTATTAGATAAACTAACTTAGTATATAGTTATGATGAGCTAGAGTGCCTCTTTCAAAATTTTGAATTTCATGGCCCCAGGATCAGGGGTTCTGGTGTTAGGGCAGGGCTCTATTGATTATATAGTAGAATTGCAATAATTTTCTCTGCTCCTGGGTATTAAGTACATAGTTATGAAGAACAAGAGTGCCTCTTTCAAAATTGTGAATTTCATGGCCCCAGGGTCAGAGGTTCTGGTGTTAGGGTGGGGCTCTATTGATTATATAGTTAAAATGCATTAATTCTTTGAAAATCTTCTCTGCTCCTGGGCATTAAATAAAGTAACTTAGTACATAGTTATGATGAGCAAGAGTGCCTCTTCCAAAATTTTGAATTTCATGGCCCTTGGGTCAGGGGTTCTGGTGTTAGGGCAGGGCTCTATTGATTATATAGTAGAATTGCATTAATTCTTTGAAAATCTTTTTCTCTGCTCCTGGGTATTAAATAAACTAACTAAGAATATAGTTATGGTGAGCATGACTGCCTTTTCAGAAATTGTTTCATGGCCCTTGGGTCAGGGGTTCTGGTGTTAGGGATGGGCTCCATTGATTATATAGTAAAATTGCATTAATTCTTTGAAAATCTTCTCTGCTCCTGAATATTAAATAAACTAAGTACATAGTTATGATGAGCATGGCTGCCTCAGAAATTATGAATTTAATGGCCTCTGGGTAAGGGGTTCTGGTGTTAGGGCGGGGCTTTATTGATTAGATAGGGAATTGGCATGAATTCTTTCAAAATCTTGTGTGCGCCTGGGTATTTTTCAAACAAAGGAAGTGCATGGTTATGATAAGGAAGAATGCCTCATGGCCTTTCGGTCAGGGGTTCTGGTGAGGGGGAAAGAGCTCTATTGATTATATATAGTGAAAATGCATAATTTCTTTCAAAATATTTTTTCTACTACTGGTTATAAAGTAAAGAAACAAGTGTATAGTTATAATGAGAAAGGGTGCTTCTTCCAGAATTGTGAGTTCGTGGCCAATGGGTCAGATGTTCTGGGTAAGGATGGGGCTTTATTTATTTAATTTTATGGTGAAAATGCATTTCTTTGAAAATCTTCTATGCTTCTGGGGATGTTCAAGGCAAACAGAGTAAAAGTTTTAATATGCAAGGGTATTTTTACCAAATTTTTGAACACCTGGACAATTTAGTCAAGTGTTCTAGTCCTGGCCAGGGCTCTATTAACTTGTATTCTGCTGAGCAAAGTTATTCCCCTTTGCCATTCACCTTTGATAATTAATCAATGTAAATAATGTATTTGAAAGCTTAATAGAATAAGAGAATTATGCAAGATAATTTATTGTATAATGAAAATGTACTTTCATAGATTTAATGACTTGGAAAGTCAGATAGGCAGATAGATACTAGACCAATTAATTTGTTGATGCTAATCATACTATTTTTCTTGCTTTTGGGCAACAAAGCTTCATTTTTCAGTTTATGGATCCTCTAAATTGTTGTATTGTACTCAGGTGACCGTTAAGGCCCTTGGGCCTCTTGTTAGTTTATAACATGTCATCACACATTAGGTGTGATTAATTATTCAAGATTATGAGACTTTATGTGTTCAAGCAGCCAGTGGTAGGAGAGAGAGCTATGAGTGGACTTTGGACCATATCTTGAGACAATGCTGAAAGACCTAATTTTTTTTTTCTAGGAGACTATGTACTTATTGAGCCTATCCAGGAAGGTGAAAAGGTGAAGGCAGAAATTGCGGCAATACTTTACAAAGAGCAAATCAAGTATATCCAGGAGGAGGGGAAATGGTAAGCTGACAAAGCCTTATATCATCCTGAAGAGTTCAGAATTTGTCTGCTGAAGTATAAAGCAGTGATGATTCTGTTACGATATTTCACAGAGTTCCGCTAATTTAAATCCAAGAATCTGATATTTACGAGTGTTTTCCAATATTTTGGTACTTTTTATTTTGAAACAATATGTTTCCGTTTTTGTCCACGTAAAAAATTCAAGTTGTTTTGTAAGGGTGCAACGATAAACCGTTTGACGGTATATCGCGGTATATTTTTCCATGGTTCAATTCACGATACGCTAAACTGATATCACGGTTCGGTTCAATCGGTCCAGAATTATCCGTTTTGTCCGTTTTATTTCCTTTTTCACTATTTCAAAATGGCTTCCGCGCAAAACATGATGTCGCCGATAACGCATTTACGGCAGTTAAACTCATCTCCAGCATCTTACAGACCTCAGATTTAACACAGAGAAGGACTTAATGTGATTATAAGTAGGAGTGAAACGGTTCACCGCGGTATCGATTCACCGCGGTATTTTTTCTCGGTTTGATACACGGTGCAAAATCTCTAATTTTCGGTTCGGTTCATTTTTCGATCGGGATCGTTATTCAGTCGGGTTTGGCATAAGGCAAAACACGTTACTCAGTAAAAATAAGTATAGAAAACGTAAATTTTTGATGACTGATAGCTTGTAAAATAATTTTTGACAGTCAAATAATTTTAATCAATTTCTTCTAGTCAATTTGCAAATAAAATTCGTAAAATATGTGACTAGATTTAGAAGAAGAAAGCATAAAACAACGTTGAATTTGTTTCCTTCTATCAAAATGTATCGTATCGAAAATAACCGAACCGAGACAAAATTATACAATACGTATCGAACCGTGAGGGAGATGTATCGTTTCACCCCTAATTATAAGTTATAGGTGTTAAGACAAATGATAAACCCTTTAGATCTAAACGTATTCTTTGGTAATACACGATATTTCATCACGGTGTGTATTTCGATGAAAATTCGCTGTCTTGTTGACTAAACCATATTAACACGAGAAATATGACAACTGGTTTTCTACGTAAACAAAAGGAATAAAAGAATGAATGTCTTCCTTTTTCATTCCAATTTAAAAGGAAGATTATAAGGAAAGGTCCCCGTAGTTCCCTGTAAATGTTCATTATTGGTTTAGAATGTTGTCACAACTCAAAGATCTACCTAACAATCCAATTCAAGTTAACAAACTGTTATTTTAATTATTATTAAAAAATATGAACATTTTGTATAACCCTGTCAAGTGTAAAAAAAATATGATGACAAACTTGAAAGACTTTTTAACCCTGTCATGTATCGTGATACGTATCGTATCGTGAACTGAATACCGTGATACGTATCGTATCGTGAGGTTAGTGTATCGTTGCACCCCTATTGTTTTGTCTATGTTTTGATTTAGTCTGCATCATCCAGACGTTTGCTTTCGTCTCCAAGTAAGCTAAACACAAACATAAGGATGATTCAGACTTCCTTACAATGGCGTAGGGATTCATTCAGCCAGGTCAGAATGTAAAAGTTGTTGAATAAACTGTCACACTTCAATTTTTGTTACTCATATAAACCATCTTGGGCTTGCTAAAGCCCATATTTCGTCAGCCCCTCCACCCCAAACCTATTTCAGATATTTTGGCCAATTCACAGAATCTTCACTAATCAAGGTTTATTGACCCTGTGATAAGAGAGGTAACTCTCACTGGGATGAATGACTAAAATCCTATTAAAAAAAAACTATCAAGTTAAAAAGTGATTTCTGTCAAATTTTGCACTGCAGGGTATGCTAAATTTATTTGCATTTCAATTATTATTTAGGTTTCTTTTGGTGAATTATTATTCATCAAGCAAAATTTTATAAGAGAGAGCAGAGTGATCATGAACCATAAATCTCCTAAATCCATTTACAATGTATGCATTGCATCTGTACATTGAAAAAATATCTTGGCAAGTTTTATCTTCTGTAACTAATCAAACTACAGTTTTGAAATCAGTTTTAGAGCTGTTTATATTAATTCTATTCCTATCCTACAGGCCAGCTGAATTTGTGCTAAAGGAAAGCAATGCAGATGAGGGAATTCCAGCTGACATGCTGCCCCCTAGTGATGATGAATATGATGAAGGGGAGATAACTGTGGTAAATGCCAACAGGAGACACATTGCTGTGTATGAAGAGAGTGAGGAGGACAGTTCTGAGGGTGAAGAGGAGAGATAAGGAGTGATTATATGTGACAATTCAAAAAAAAAGTCAAGTGGCCCAGTGTATGCTGGTTTCTGATCAACTTTTATTGCATGATTAATAAAACTGTTACATATCACAAAATACCATTTGAATCACATTCCTCTTATTGAACAATATGATTATTTTGGTTAAATAATTCTAAATTTAACAAAATTATGGATTAAAAAAATTTCTGTGGATAAAATTTCATAAACATTGGAAATGGAACTCAAGGAGAGCCTTCTTGGGGCCACTTCAACAGTTTCAAAATTCCGTTCTGGCCCCTGGATTTAGGCCCAGGGCCATAGCGCCCATAGATTTCCAACTGACATTCTTTACGGGCAGACTTCCAGCCAATCTGTTGTGAGGTGGTCACAGGGAACCCCTTTGGATGCTGTGACGGGTGGATGGGAGGGAGTTTGAGGCCTGTTGTTGAAGATCCACTGCCTTTACTTGATTTGGGTCTCACATCTTGACCCATGAGCTGTCTGTTCAGCTGTAATGGTTGTCATTGAAATTTGTGCATTGACATCTTTTGATTCAAATAAATAACTATGTATATTATAAATTGGTGTGGAGAAACTTGTTTTTGTATGCTTCTTCTAACTTCAGGGTAACAAAATAGGATATTAAATTTTAAAAAAAGACACTTACAATTTTATATTCTTGCACTAAGTATCCCCATCTCTCTGGCCATTTCTTCCTCTGAGATGTTATTTCATGTCCAATATGATCTTTCCTGGTAGAAGAATCAAATCATGTTTCATAATTTCACTCTTTTGGTAACATGTTGGACTCAATTGAGAATTCTTTACAGTTCATTTATATATATATATATATATATATTAGGGATGTCAAAATATTTATTTTTCCTAGTCGATTATTCGATTGCATTATTCGAACGATAGTCGAATATTCGGAACATTTTCTGAAAATAAAATTTTATTTCAAACTTCACTGGTACATGACGTATTTATAATTCAAAACCCCTTAATCTGTTTAAAAAGTAACATAAAAATTAATGCAGCGTAACGTTGGATAGCAAGATTATATGAAATAAATTTAGAAATCTAATATCCCTTAAAATCATGATTTCCCCATCAATCGAATTCATAAATTGGTCTCTACATGCAGTTAGTTTTTATTTTAGTTAGCGTTCAAAATTTGCTAGCCGATATTTTTTTAAAGCTTATTGTGAAATAAATGGGGGGGGGGGGTAATCTCACACTATCCAAACGCCAGGTGGCTGTTAAATTGTTAAACAGTTAGTTACTGCTTATTCATTTATTGATCGTTCTGGCTATCAAAATGACCTTAATTATGAACAATTTAAAATGCAAGCGAATTGTTCTAATAATTATCGAAGCGTCAAAACATGTCACATGTTCCTCGCATTTGAGCAATCTTAAAATAAAAGATAATTGGTACATCGTATAAAATCAAGTCCAATTAATTATTTTACAAACAAAGCCCAGATATATATTGATGGTTGATTTATTACAAAAACAACACAAGCAGTAACTGGTAGATAATTAATTCTCGCGGTAGTGAAGCATTTATAATTACTGTACTTTCTATACGGACATGGAAAATCAAGTTTTTTTTGTAGAGGAAAATTATCTTATCAACTATCTCCGAGGAAAGACGGTTTCTCAATTTTGAAATGAGAATTCCATATCGTTATCACTCTTTTATTGCATTTTTTTAAATTATAATATTCGAATGTCGTTTCATTATTCGATCGTCGGTCCATTCGACTGACAGTCGAATAGTCGACTATTCGTTGACATCCCTAATATATATACATATACAGTCAAACCTAGTTATCTCAGTCTCGATGGGATTGAGAAAAAAAAATTGGAGATATCTGAGGATTTGAGATAATGAGGTTAAAATACATAAAGGAAAAGTGGTTCAGACTTCTAATCACTTCAACATATCCATGGTATTCAAAATATAGATGTACATGTATATGATAACGAAGTTCAACTGTATTTACAATGCATTCATAGAACTCGGAACAAAATATTCAGCTGAAAGGTGAGAGTCAGATTCTGGTTTGACCAAACCAGACTCTAAAAGATTTTTATCTGTAAGAGGGGAGTCATGAAATAACACATTCTTCTGGGAACAGCAGAGCTTCAGTTAAGAATTCTTGGGAGGTGTTGATAAAGTACATGTACAATGTATGTTAAAAACATGAACCAGATTCATAATAATTCAGAGTAAAACATACTGAGTATAGTACATACAGATAGTTTATTTTCAAAAGCTGCCAATGTAAAAGGTGAAGATAACGAATAGCGATCAATCTCATTAATACAGCAGGAAAAAAGAAACGTGAACAGGGCAAAAGTATGGACGCCTGGAAACACCAGAGGTGGGATCAGGTGCCTAGAAAGAGTAAGTATCCCCTGTCGACCGGTCACACCCACCGTAAGCCCTATGTATTGATCTGGTAGACAGTATTTTGTAATCAAATTTAATACAAAAGCAATAACTTAACAAATGGTAGGAAACATGTCAGACAGAATACGACTCAACGATAGGTTGTATTTAAAAAAAAAAAGTCATTAAAACGACCATTATGTAGCATTTGCGAAAAACTGACTTTAAACGGGGATGTTGAAATCCTTGTAACATGAATTTATTTGTCAGTAGCTTGCCTCGGTTTAAAAATTTATGGTACTTAGAACATGTTCTTGCGTATCGAATCAGTGCATCTATGTATACGACATTTTTAAAAAGAATTGTTGAGAGTAGCAGGCCACACTAAATCTTACTGATATGGAAACTTTCCCATAACATGTGGATTCAGGTGTGTTTAAATTATAGACAATGGAGTTAGGTCATTTGAAATCTCTTGGACCTTTCTGACAAACGGAAAAACAAACTCGAATGTGTTACGTAGGCGTCCATGACCCCCCCCCCCCTTTATAAACATGGAAATGCGTGTAGGAAAACCTCTTATCCGTAGAGTCTGAAGCTTAGGATCATTGAATGTAAAGAAATTAATTACTTAAAATTTACCATAATGGGACACTCATTTCTGTCTATCCAATACTTTAATAGGAGCGAGTCAATTTTGTATAAAAATTTTAACGTACCGTGATGTAAATACATTCGAGTTGTTTATCTGACCTTGCAAGAAAGGTCCAAGAAGATGCGATTGGAGTTAGGGTGGGGCTAGAATCAGGGATCAAATTTCACATAATACATGTGAATGTGGGAAAATTTTATAAAATGTCTTCTCCAGAACAGAAAGGGCACATTATTTATTTTAACATTCTGAATCATCATTTAGTATGGATTCAAGTTTGGTTAAGTCATGACCTCTTCAGTCTTGGGGACGAAAAATTATTCATAGGAATAGATGTATATTCCGAAGATCTGTAGTGCCAAGGTGACTCAGGTGAACACTGTGGGCCATGGGCCTCTTGTTTTAACACAGATGGAATGTTTGCAAATTTTTTCACGATCTTTTTTAGAGCAAGCTCACTCTTGAGAAGGTTTGATACCTTTGTTTGTTTGTTTAACGTCCCTTCGAGAATTTTTCACTCATATTGAAACGCCACCACTTGCCGGTGGAGTGTTGCAAAAGACCTGTACTCGGCGCCTTTGAGCAGTGAGGAGTCTTTTTAGCCAGCACCTACTACGACAGGTGACCAATATTAATTTAATTACTTAATATTAATTAATGAAACGGTTTAGAAAAAGCTACATATTATTATAAATCATTTATGCGTTTTTCTATTAAGTCTTATGCACATAAAACAAGTGTTGGTAACTGGGAAAACGGATCCGATTTTGCTTTGCCAAACATTTTCTAAATTGACAAGTGTCCATTCCTAGTTTAATGAGTTTGAAAATTAAGTTCTACTACTTCCGGCACCTCACAAAAAGCGCTTTATTGTATTAATGCATTGCTTACTCTCTTTATTTTTTTTTTTGGGGGGGGGGGATTCTTTTTTACTTGATTAAAATCACCCTCTTTGAAATAATCCTGTCTTCTAATGATCCTTACATTGGCTACACCAAAAGTAAAGGGGGAGGGGGAGTATTGATAAATCGCGGACAAATGACAAATAAACTGTACTGTTTGAATGAAATGTGAAATTACTTTTAACAAAATACTTTTCAAGATGATTTAGAACCATCTTTTTTCAAGATGGAATTTTTCATGAACGCTATAATAACGACATTAATAAAAGTTCATTGATTAATTTTTAGCTACTGTTTAAAAAAAAATCACAACTCTAATATTTTTTATATACAATTACGAAAAAGCCAATTTACTTACCAAATCTGGTCATTGTGAACAAAATTTGTATGATTTTTTATAGGTAGTAATAAGTTGGCCATGTTATCGAATTGGTGACGTCATAATAGAAATATCGTTATTGTGACGTGGGAATTACTTGACAGATTTCACTATTACGGCATAAAACTTGGTAAAAAGAGAGGGATGGGCAAATGCTGTCCATGAATATAGTTACTGTAGTTTTGTATGTATGGAGACAGAAGGCCTATTAATAATTTTTATAATAAGTCTTAAATGATATTCTCATAACATCAGGAATCCTGAGTCCTCCCGTGGCCGCAATAGGCCTAAATAATAAATATAACGGACCTATAGCCGCATTATTTAATCTACAGGTACGAAAAGCTTATCAATCACCGTTCCGGTGATGACTTTAGGCTATATACTGTATTTCATACATCATTTTATTTCTATAGTTCATGCATATACTGTATTTCATACATCATTTTATTTCTATAGATCATGCATAGATAGGAGGACTAGTGTTAAAAAACTTTAAAACTGAATTTAGACCATTGACTTCAAACTGAGAACATGTAATTGTAAATATATGTAGCTCAAATGATAAAACTTCATTGATTAATTTTTACTACTGTTTAAAAAAATTCACAACTCTAATATTTTTTAATACACAATTACGAAAAACCCATTTTACTTATTTTGACATGTAATTAACTAGCTTTTTCCAGGAAATAATTCTCTCCTATAGATAGGTTAATTCTTTAAAATTCTTAATACTTTGAAATTCCGAAAAATGTCAATTTAGGGAAAGAAAATCAAAAATATTAATGATTCCGTTGAAGATCAAAAATGGTAAAATTTTACACTTTTTTCGGAGTAACTAAGTACATGTATAATCAATCATGATCTAGTGCGATCCCTTTACATGTCTCGGCTCATTTTATGATATCTCATTTATGCACGATTCGCCAGTTTTAAACGATTGATCATCAATTGCAACAATAGAAATAAGCACTGTATATGCTTATACTATATGTCCTAAAATGACTGGGGAAACGTACACAATAGTCAGATAATTTTTTTTTTTGAAAGATCTGTACGGAATAGTTATTTATCTGTAAAAAGGACAAGTTTACATCCCCAAGTGTAGCCAAGTGTAGAATGCGAAACTTTTAATGAATTTCAAGATTTCAACTCGGGACCTTGTAAAAATAAAGAAACAGTTCAGTGGGCACTCACACGAAAGATAATTGAATGCTTATTATTGACCCCACCCAACCCCCTTCCCCACAAAAACTATTGTTAATATATAAGCGTAAATGCATTTGTATACATGTAGTTCTCAAGATAGCAAATAAAAACACATTCAGAAGTTTATTGTATTAGATAAATGCCAACTCCTTGAAAACATCGTTAATTTTCTGTGGAAATTTGACATATAATAAATATTATAAATCTGATGGCTGATCATAATTTTTTCAGTTATTCAAGTATATAAAAGAAAACAAAGGATAAGGAGCCATTCTAGTAAATCAAGCTTGTTGACTTGTGGTACACCTGCACTGATGGAGGATGAAATGGGAGGACAGGGATAATTATCGGCCAATAGTTCGTTCTCATATAGCACTGCTCCAAATGTCCAGTCTGCAATACAAAATTAGGTACAGTGTACTTGTGTAATAGCAGTTAAACGTAGTTGTAAAGAGTTATAAGTAATATTATAAGCAATTGACCTTGCAAACTAAGTAAGGTCAAATCTCACCTAGTGACTTCCCATTGATCTTCAGTGAAGAGTAAATTCTGTCGGTGTTGACCGGAAATCCGTAAGAGAAAGTCAGTAACTCTGTAATGTACAGCCCCATCATGCACCGACGAGATGCGTACTCTCTACGTATTTTATAAACTGAGACTGCATATTCTATAGTCTGGAAAAAATCATTTTTTAAAAAAACTTAAATCTTTTGGCCCAGTACTTAGAACCACTATGAATAGAGAATTTCAATTACTTCATCGCCCATAAAAAAAAATTGAGATGAGGACATAGCTTCACAAGGCCAGGGGTCCTGAGTCCACTTGTGGCCGTCGGACCCCTGACAAACTTCATTCGATTTTTTACTGGCTGACTGCAGCGACGTCTTTCGGAGAAATTACGAATTCTGATTGTTTTCTTATCTCTCGACTAATCACACAACCCTTTCTGTCACAAATAACCTGTAACAAGTACATTGGGGTATCAACTGCTCATTTTTTGTTTACTTTTTATGTCCACTAATAAAAGGCCCAGTTTCATTAATTAGTGCTTCTCAGAGAAGCTGGCCCGAAAAAAATGAAGTTTTGTCAGGGGTCCCACAACAAGAATGGACTCGGAATTATCTCAGTCCTTGACATTATGAGGATGGGAATGTCCATGATGTTCACGACTGTCTCCGCTTACAGATTTTGCTCTCTCGATACTAAACTTTTTAAAAATATCTTTCCTTCAACGAGAATGTAAAAACAGAAACCCAAAAAGATAAACGATAGAGAATATATAAGTATCAGTCCATGACCTGCAAAATGTAAGGTCAGCCGTGAATTAAAGTATTTACTTACGTGTATTATTTTATAAAGCATTCATACCTTAGTACAATATATATGTGCCGTTTTGTTTAGTTTATCGATATGAAGTCTTCCTGAAGAGTCTGTAGCGTTAAGATCAGTAGTGACGTAGGCATAAACAGCTATGGCGTAAAATTTGTCGGAACCCACAGAAGGTTGATAGATAGAACCTATTGCACACGGCTTTGGGTAACAAGTGTCGTGAGCCTCCTTGAGAAAACTAGATATAATACTGAAACACTCAGAGGGAGAACCAGATCCCCGGAATGTCACTGTTTTATCTCCAGTGTCGTATGTGTAACTATCATCTGGAAAAATGAACATTTTGCTTTTTGTTTCAAAAAAAAATAAAATCCAGTTTAGGTGTGTACTGAGTATCTTATAAATAAAATTATCTATAATTTTCAAAATGACAAAAGTTAAGTCTGTGAAATATCATAATGCATTCTTACTTATCAGTGTACACGGATTTAGAATATCTGTCTCCCGTGGATTGTGTTCGATAAGGTATTCGTCAATTCTTTGATGCATATAATTCATTCCAAAATTTAAATAACTGTGTGAGTAGAGATTGTATATTCGTCCTGCTATTCGGAGTGTAAACATGTGAGCTAAGAGAGGTCCGTCTGGTAGAAAGGTGATTTGTGTGGATCCGCCTCCCATTTCTAGCACACCGACACCCTTCGACAGAGATCTATAAAATACGTTGTAGCAATTAATTCTATAACAAATCGAATATCTGAGATAAGTTCTCTTTGAATGGTTGTGCATTTTTTGTTCAAATAAATTCTTAGTCTGCTTCTTACTGATTAGAGGCGAGAAATCCATTATGATAATTAGCAGTAATCCAGGCGAACACACCTTCCTCCTCACCAGAGATAATTCGGACGCTTCTTTCGCTGTATTTGAATTTGTGACTTCTTTTATCAGACAACACACTTCGTACAGTGTTCATTAAATTTATGGCTTTTTCTTCTTCTAAAAACCGAAGACCTGTACAAAAAAGTCAAGTAATGGAATTTATCAGAAATGATTTAGTCAAAAATTTAGTCAAATATGTGCTTGATATAAGCAAAATGTATAGATGTAATTACCTGCAGTTGCAAAGAGGTAAACATGACTTCTGTTATGAGAATAAGACGGCACTTTTGATTCAGCAATTGAGGTCATATTTAGAATATACTGCGAAACTGAATTTAAGTCATCCTTAAATGAACTCAATGATGGTTTTATTTTTTGGGAGAATTCTTCAGTAATGTTGAATGTTGATGAAGTGGATCTACGCTCGGGCCATGAATACACTATAACTGTTGTACCAGAACTTCCAGCATCAAGCATAACACAATACTGAATCGTCTTTGCGCATGCCCTGTCTGTCAAACAGAGGGTCACCATACTAATGATGATATATATAACCATTTCCTGTAATGGAACGTCATTCTGATAAACATGTGTACCGGTATTTCGGTTACTATGATTCAGAAAACTCAAATTACCCTTTACCATTTTTGTATGCATATGTATAAAAATGTATTAAATGTGTTTGCATCGAACTTAGTTCACTTTGTATCAAATGTTGGAAAAATATATTAAATCTTCGATAAATCAATACTGCTCAAATGCAAATCTGCATTGAATGTTGTAGGAGAAGCCTCGTTTGCTTCAATATTAATATTAAAACCTGACAAGGTGTCTAAATTTATTTTTCAGGAAATTCTGTACTTCGTTGCCACATTAAATATGGGCGCCACGCTTTGCCCACATAACTTTTTGAATGAAAATAAACAAACAACGTGACTAATTTTAATTTTGGGCGAGATGTGGCCCCATACTGTAATTTTCAAATGTTTTCTTCATTTTCTCTCATTTAGTTATAATTGCATTTTTGGTCATCTGTGATTAAATATGCTAATTTTTAAAGAAAATTTCAAGCATTTATTTAACAGTTTTTATGAAAAACAGTGATGGAGGAACTGGTATCGTCATACGCCAGGGAGCAGTCTGAGGCTTACACGACATAGCTGACTGCACCTTTACAGGTGCTTCTAACCGGTACCTGGTCTGGTCCTTGTGATCTGGTCAACAGACTGTGAATCTTACACATGAATTTTTCAGCTGATTGGGTTGTATAATTAGATGTACCTCTTTAAGGTCATTTTTTCGCATTATTTTATCTGTTTCTTCAAAACAGCGAGTTCGAATGAGATAATAGAACGATTTTACAAAGGTGGAGTTCATTATTATACAGTTATTAACCCATGTCAGTGATAGAATATATAGTTAAGAAATTCTGGATCCACCACATGTACATAAATAGGTTTGTGTTCTGTATTACAATTCATTCTAGCATGACAATAACCACAAAGCTCGAATGTTTATTATAAGCTTGATTCGCACAATTTTGTTTGTGTTAATCAAGATTTTTTGTACACTGAATATCGTCAGGGGTCATACAATTATTTATAGAGAAATTTAATGTGCACTCTCTTTTAGTCTTTAACAACTCAATTTCTAAATAATATGAAAATGCCAATGATATTCAAATATAGTCAATTCAAGCGATAGATTAATCAAGATTTCTGAATGTTGTATACTAGTCATATGTGATTTCTGCTCGGGAAAAAAGACCTTGATTACATTATACATGCATATGTATTAATCTTACCTTTATATGAAATTTTCTGTCCTGTTGAACCACTGTAAAGTTTAAAGGTAATGAGAGAGTTTAACCTCGAATATATCCATAATAGTAGCCGTCTTAGGCCATTGCACGCATTAGTTTCAGGAGTTTGGATAGAAAAATTAACGAAATATAGTAAAAGTTCAACTTCAACACTTAATTTGTTATAATAAGTCTAATGGTATTTCAGAATGGTTAGTAGTGCTGTTTTCAAGTAGTAAACACTTCTACGATAAGTGTTCTCATCATTCAATAATGTGCCAAGCAAAATGTGTTCAGTTTATATTATTGAAAACGCAAGCAATATTTTTTATTGCATGTTGGTATAATTTTAGTACGGCAAATGCTGAAAAAATCAGAAAAAACGACTCAGCAAAGTTCTAATTAACTATGTGCATGTTGAACAAATTATATCCTTGAACAACATTATGTCGTTGAGAATATGCGAAGACGTACAGACATTCTATTAATAACTAGTTTATGCAGGGGAAAAATAATTTCTAAGGATAGCGTAAGAATAGAAATTTAGTGCTGATTTTCAATTACAATCACGTTAATTTTGTAGTGTTAAAAAGTACATATCTTGTTTTCAGATATTAATGGAAGAGAGTAGAGATTGATTGTTTGATACCTTATTCTGTAATAAATGACATCTACCTGATACGTCAGAAATCTTTGCAATTGACTATTCTGGATGTATATCTGTATAATTATGTCATTGTCTCACTAGAATACGCATGCGCGCCTTTCCGATATTTATGTTCCCCAAACGAAGTTTGGGAACATATTGCTTTTACTCTGTTTCTTATTATTATTATTATTATTAGGGTCTTCCGTCTCCAACGGAAGACCCTTCTATTATTCTATTGTTTCTTTTTCACTTTTATTATTATTATTATTATTATTTTCTGTCCAAATTTTGTGCAGACGATTTCTCAGAGATGGTTGGATGGATTCACTTGAAATTTTCAGAGATGATGTATCATGATCTAAACCTTATTCATTTTTTTTATTTTTTGGAAATTCACTTCCGATCGGAAGTTATCGCCCTTTAATCAAATTTTTAGTGTCCATTTTGTCTACACAAAAACTCAAAAACGACAAAAGCTAGAGTGCTGAAATTTTCAGTGATAATAGAGGACATGTTCTAGTTGTGCACCTCAGTTTTCAAATTTTCTGGAAGTGCCTAGTATGGAAGCTCGGTAGGGGTCGAAATTTAGGACATGAATCAGGAGTGAATTTTCGAGACATTTTTTATCATATCTTCAAAACTATGAATATTTTCTTAAAACATATTGAACAGAAATTGTGTAGAATTACTAGATCTTTTATATGATATCAAGAAAAAAGGGCTGACTCATCACATTAGGGGCCAAGAGGGGCCAAAAGTCTTAAATCCATAACTCTTTAAGGATCAATACTTTGTTATACATTACTAAAGCAAAAATGTTTATCTGAACAATCTACAACTATATATTATGATAAAAAATCTCATATGTTACAAAATTAGGGGCCATAAGGGGCCAGAATGCGAAATCTTTGACGGTTTATATCTCGAAATTGGGAAATATTTTGATAAGCAATATTGAACAAAAGATGTTCAAAATAATGTGCTAAACAATATGCAACCTTTCAAAATTTGCTAAACGTCCCCATTAAGGAGTTGAAGGGCCGGCCCCTAAATATTTCTTTTGCATATATCTCAGAAACGAAAAAGAATTTCTAAATAGTTGTTGAACATGTGTTCAAAATCATACGAGCTTTAATGTGATATCAAGAAAAAGGGACTGGCCCCTCAAAATCGGGGTTGATAGGGGCCGAAAGTCTTTCATGAATAACTCTTTAACGATCAATATTTTGTAAAATATTACTGCAGCAAAAATGTTTATCTTAGCAAACTACAACTATATATTATGTTATTCACATCATATGTTACATAATTAGGGGTCACGAGGGGCCGAAATACTAAATCTTTGACGCTTTATATCTCGAAATTGGGAAATATTTTGATAAGCAATATTAAACTTTATTATTGGGAAATATTTTGATAAGCAATATTGAACAAAAGATGTTCAAAATAATGTGCTAAACAATATGCAACCTTTCAAAATTTGCTAAACGTCCCCATTAAGGAGTTGAAGGGCCGGCCCCTAAATATTTCTTTTGCATATATCTCAGAAACGAAAAAGAATTTCTAAATAGTTGTTGAACATGTGTTCAAAATCATACGAGCTTTAATGTGATATCAAGAAAAAGGGACTGGCCCCTCAAAATCGGGGTTGATAGGGGCCGAAAGTCTTTCATGAATAACTCTTTAACGATCAATATTTTGTAAAATATTACTGCAGCAAAAATGTTTATCTTAGCAAACTACAACTATATATTATGTTATTCACATCATATGTTACATAATTAGGGGTCACGAGGGGCCGAAATACTAAATCTTTGACGCTTTATATCTCGAAATTGGGAAATATTTTGATAAGCAATATTAAACAAAAGATGTTCAAAAAAATGTGCTAAACAATATGCAACCTTTCAAAATTTGCTAAACGTCCCCATTTCTGACTAGTTGTTGAACAAAAAGTGTTCAAGATCATGAGAGCTTTAAAGTGATATGAAGAAAAAGGGGCTGGACCCTCAAAATAGGGGCTGAGTGGGGCCAAAAGTCTTTGAACAATTACTCTTTAACGATCAATATTTTGTAATGCATCACTGAAGCAAAAATGTTTATCTCTACAATTTACAACTATATATTATGATATTCACATCATATGTTCCATAATAAGGGGCCATAAGGAGCCAGAATGCTAAATCTTTGACGCTTTATATCTCAAAAGTGGGACATATTTTGATAAGCAATATTGAATAGAAGATGTTCAAAATAATGTTCTAAACAATATGCAACCTTTTGATTTTTGCTAAAAGTCCCCATTAAGGAGTTGAAGGGCCAGCCCCTAAATATATTCTTCGCATATATTTTGGAAACGAAAAAGAATTTTTGAATAGTTGTTGAACAAAGTGTTTTCAAAATCATGAGAGCTTTAAGATGTTATAAAGGAAAAGGGTCTGACCCCTTAAATAAGGGGCCGAGAGGGGCCGAAAGTATACAATCAATAACATTTTAATGATCAATATTTTGTAATATATTACTGAAGCGAAATAGTTCTTCTTCACACACTTTATCTAAATAACATAATGTTGATATAATATGTTACGCATTATGGGGTCTTTAAGGGGCCAGATTGCATAATCTTTGGCGCAATATATCTCGAAAAGGAAGAATATTTTGATAAACAGTATTGAACAAAAGACGTTCAAAATAATATTCTGAACAATATGCACTCTTTCAATATCTGCTAGACGTCCCCATTTAGGACTTGAAGGGCCGGCCCTTAATATTTCTTTTGCATATATCCCGAAAACAAAAAAAAGATTTCTGAATAGTTGTTGAACAAAGAGTGTTCAAAATCATGAGAGCTTTAAGATGATATCAAGAAAAAGGGGCTGACATCTCACATTAGGGGCCAAGAAGGGCCGAAAATCCTTAATCTATAACCCTTTAATAATCAACCGATTTTGTGCACGCGAGTTCTCGAAAACGTCTTGGCCGATTTTCATGAAACTTTCAGATCTGATAGGTATTTATCTGAACCTTATTGGAAATTTTTTTCGTTGATGACGTCACTTTCTATCTTGAGATATTTAGGATTTTCTGATTTTTAGAGGGTCGGCTTGTCCTGGAAACTCCTCCGAAACGACTTAAGATATTGAGGCAAGATTTTCAGTGAGGGTAGGGGAAGGTTGGTAGATTTGCAGGCAGGTGTCCAAATCTCTCTAGCGCAAAAGGCGCCGAAGCTCGGTAGGGCTCAAAAAATGTCTCAGAAACATCTCACAAAATTTTACACCTTTTCTTTCATATCTTCATACCTGCTAAGAATTTGTTAAAACATATAGAAGAAAAGTTGTGCAGAATGATACGACCTTTCATTTGATATCAAGAAGAGGGGCTGACCCCTCACATTAGGGGCTCAGAGGAGCCAAAAGTCTTTCATCTTTAACTCTTTAACGATCAATAATTTGTAATGCATTACTGAAGCAAAGATGCTTACCTTAACGATTTACAACAATATATGACAAGATTCTGATCATATGTTACGTAATAAGGGGTCACAAGGGGCCAGAATGCTAAATCTTTGACGCTTTATATCTCGAAAAGGGGGAATATTTTGATAAGCAATACTGAACAAAAGATGGTCAGAATAATGTTCTAAACAATATGAACCCTTTCAGTTTTTGTCAAACGGCCCCATTAAGGACTTGGAGGGGTGGCCCCTAAATATTTCCATTCAGCATATCTCCATAACGAAAAGAAATCTCTGAATAGTTGTTGAACAAAGAGTCTTCAAAATCACAAGATCTTTTATTTGATATCAAGAAAAAGGGGCTGACCCCTCAAATTAGGGTCTCAGAGGGGCCAAAAGTCTTCAACCTATAACTCTTTAACGATCAATAATTTGTAATACATTTTTGAAGCAAAGATGCTTATCTTAACGATTTACATCAATATCTGATAAGATTCTGATCATATGTTACGTAATAAGGGGTCACAAGGGGCCAGAATGCTAAATCTTTGACGCTTTATATCTCGAAAAGGGGGAATATTTTGATAAGCAATACTGAACAAAAGATGGTCAGAATAATGTTCTAAACAATATGAACCCTTTCAGTTTTTGTCAAACGGCCCCATTAAGGACTTGGAGGGGTGGCCCCTAAATATTTCCATTCAGCATATCTCCATAACGAAAAGAAATCTCTGAATAGTTGTTGAACAAAAAGTCTTCAAAATCACAAGATCTTTTATTTGATATCAAGAAAAAGGGGCTGACCCCTCAAATTAGGGGCTCAGAGGGGCCAAAAGTCTTTCATCTATAATTCTTTAACGATCAATAATTTGTAATACATTACTGAAGCAAAGATCCTTATCTTAACGATTTACAACAATATCTGATAAGATTCTGATCATATGTTACGTAATAAGGGGTCACAAGGGGCCAGAATGCTAAATCTTTGACGCTTTATATCTCGAAAAGGGGGAATATTTTGATAAGCAATACTGAACAAAAGTTGGTCAAAATAATGTTCTAAACAATATGAACCTTTTCAGTTTTTGTCAAACGGCCCCATTAAGGACTTGGATGGGTGGCCCCTAAATATTTCAATTCAGCATATCTCACAACGAAAAGAAATCTCTGAATATTTCTTGAACAAAACGTTTTCAAAATCACAAGACCTTTCAATTGATATCAAGAAAAAGGGGCTGACCCCTCAAACTAGGGGCTGAGAGGGGCCAAAAGCATGTCATCTATAGCTTTTTTAATAATATATATAAATCAAAAGAATGAAATCTAATTAGGGAAGTCTATATATTATTATCTTTTAACAAAGATCATAGTCAAAATCGTATCTCATCTTATCGAAAAATCGGACGGAGGACCTACTCGTTGCTCGCAACGAGATCTCATCTAGTTATTATTATTATTCTTTTTTTCTACTTTCTTCTCCGGTACTTTTTTGTCCGCGAGTGTTCTCATAGAACCACTCATCCGATTGACATGAAACCTTTTTAGGGTTAATAGGCATGTTGTGTAGGTGTTCGGAACGAAGGTCATTTTGCGCGCACATGCATGCACGTGCGCGCGTGTGCAATGAGTGAAATGACTGATATACTTGATGAAGCCGTAACTTTGATATTTCTTGATGAATTGCTTTGAAACTCAAAATATAAAGAAACATTAGTAGTCTAGACAAGATAACATGGTCAAATTAGCGTGAACTCACGCGCATGCACGTGCGCTCTTCTCTGATTGGCTGATACAAAAATCTCAATAATTTCCTTGTTTTTTGACAAAATACTTTGAAATTTAGAATATAAGTATATATTATAAGGTGCTACAAAATGTTATATAGGAAATTTCTTGAAAACACGCGCATGTAGGTGTGCTGCAATCTGATTGGTTGAAACTTTAAATGTCTGTAACTCCCTTGGTTTTCAACAAAACAGGATGAAATTTATGACATGGATAGGCACATAGAGCTCCTACATTATAATACTATCAAAATTGAATGCAAGGACCTGCATGTGCGTATGCTGAATTCTGATTGGCTAATACTTAAAGGGTCACATCTCTCTTATTTTTCAATGAAATTCTTTAATATTTAACACAACTGTATGTATTGTGAGACACTATAAGAAAATTAAAGTGAAAAATGTAGAAAACATGTGCAAGCACATGCGCTGGAATTTGATTGGCTAATACCCATATGGCTATATCGGAGTAGTTTTCCAATGAAATACCCTTAAAAATAAAGTGTCCATCTATATTACAAAAGTATTCTCTAATTTATTTAAGCTTGTAGAAAATGGGGCATCATAAGGGATTTGGGGAGCCGTTTGGGGAACATCTGTAACGGTTCCCGTTACAATTAGCACTAGTTTATGTTGGAATTTATTAGAACTCAAAATATGTAACGAAAAGTGAACATTTCAGAGAGACAGAGCGGTTTAATCAATTTTGAAGTTACATGTATTATAAACTGGCTGCAATGAGATTGTCTTTCAAGATATGACCAATAACAAGCAAGTTACATGTATTTCAAATCAGTTAGACAAATAATTCAGTATAAAGTATCAAATTAATTTCCTTTTTGGCTTCAAAGATATGAACAGGACAAACTTTAAACTTCTTGTTTACAATGGAAAAAATATGTACAAATGATCTGCAAAATTTAAAGGTCCCTATCTTGAAAAATGTACGAGGAGTTATCCGGACAAATGATGTAACCTATATGCAATATTTTGCAAAATAAAATGACGAAGTTCAATAGCTGGTTTTTTTTTCTTAAAAATAATCATAAACAAAGTTCATGTAATATGCACATATTTAATATGTGTACAACTGATCCGCAAAATAAAAAGTTCCCATCTTGAAAACTGTACAGGAGGAGTTATCCGGAATAACGATGTTTCCTATATTCATAATCTGCAAAAAAGTACATGTTTCAGATACATGTATATATACATATACATATATGTACTTATTATATTTTGTGCTTGTTTTCAAGACGGAAACTTTTTGTACATTTATCAGATTTTTTTTTCATTTTTTAAGGAAAATACCATTTGTTGAACTAAGGCATTTATATACAAAATTTTGTAATTGGGTACATTGATTTTGTTGGAATGACACCTCCTGCAGTTTTCAGAAAAGAAAGTTTATATTTCATGTGAGAAATACCAGTACTGTTCATACAAAAGAAAAAACCGGTTAGCTGTCACATCTACAGCTTTCCCTTTGTTTTCTATCATTGGTGTTTCAAAGTCAGCTGTACAATAGTTTACCCACTGAGGAATTTTTTAAAGAAAGACCATCACCTTTTAGGATAAATTGTTAAATTAAGATTATAGCATATCACTTACATTTAAGTATTCAAGGTCATCTAAGGTGTTTTTTGGAACCCTTAGCTAGTCATAAATAAATGAAATACTTGTGCGAACGCATAAAGGAACTTAAAGGAAATACTTCCACCTTTTAAAATTACACGACTGAATACCATTGTTTTGGTGATTACATTTCATTTATTTATTGCCTAGGCATTACAACAGATATACACACATATATACATGTAAATAAATAAATTAATTCACGTAAGTAACAATCGACTGTAGGGCATACTCACATGTAGTTACTGTACATAGAAAATCACAAAGAACACGTATAAAACATTGGTGTTAGAATCTGTCAAATAAAAATATGAAAAGAAAACAGAGAAAGGATGAGAAGCCACTCCAAAAAACTTAGTTTTTGGATTTGTTTTGATACTCCTGCACTGGACAGGAAGGGTATTGGGGCACAGGGATAGTCCTTAGCCATCAGTTCATTCTCGTACAGTACCGCACCAAATGTCCAGTCTGAAAATCCAAAAAATATGAAGAGTTCAACATTTATTTCGACTGTTTTGGAAGTCATAATAAAAAATCAGGTTATGTTTGAATACAAGTGTTTAGGCTTCTTTTTATATTGCAATTTTTCATCATCTACATGTACCAGTAATGTTGTTCAGGCCAAAATAAAAAAAATACCTTTGTTTCCCCTAACGCGACCGACCCAATTAAATCGCGCCGACTGAAAAGTTTTTTTAATAAGATAATTCCAGTATTGTTTTTTTTTAAAATGTTTTTTAATGAAAATACAATTTCATCAAAATCCGTTTTTAACAGAACGGCGGATTTTGTTAATTTTGATTTTCAGGCGTTTGTTGGAAACAAAATGGCCCCCACATCACGTGGTCAAAGAGGGTTAGTTCGAGTTAATAAATAAAGGCGACGTATCAATCTTATGCCTTTAGTTATTAGAATCTTACACTCTTCAAATATTTCGTTAATAAAATATATCACGACTAATTACGATTGTTTCTGTGGTATGGACAAACCCTTCTTTAAAATTAAGGTACTTAGTATCCACGATACATGGTAAGGCCTGCCTTCCTCGTGAACACATCAATAAATTTCACTGCATTTTATTTAATTTGAGTTTTGATCTAATAAAAAATTCATCTATTCTCCTATGTTTACTATATGGGACCATAGGAGTTGTTAATATGTCTGCATATTTAATACTGATGAATAGAATTCACACGTTCCTTTCTTTCATGCCTTTAATTCATGGCTTAAACTTCGTGACTTTGACATTGTGTATGACATATTTATCATTTTTAGACATGGTTTTGTTTCATTAAATATTATTTACTTACTCTTTCCAAATAGCTTTGAAATCACGATACAGCTTCTTGAGATGTCCAGTGCATTTTTTCTTTAATTAGGGCCCCGAAAATTGGTTGTTTCTTTGCTTAAAATTCCTTCGAGATTTGTTGAACATTAGCCCGGTGAAGGGCTCCAAATTTAATCTTGTACTCGGCACCTTTAGCCATTAATTGTGAGGGACCTTTTTTGTGCCAACATCTACTGCGACACTAGACCTTAGTTTTTACGGTCTCATTCGAAGGACCGGTCTCAACGTCCTGCATTTATATTTGAACCTACGACTTGGAATTAAAATTAGCTCCTTACTTCCGGACTCCAAAAGGAAATGCTCTAGACCATTGCACAATTCGAAGCCCTTGATAATGTACATGTACTTTAATTGCATGTGTTAGCACTGGGACCTGATAGTAGGTTTGAAAAATATACTCCATTCCTTGCATATCCAAGAGTCTTGTCTTTTATATATTCGATTTCAATAAATTTACATTGGCGTCAGATATTTTACAAGTTCAATTGAACAATAGTTGTAAATTAATTTACCTTATATTTTGCTTTTAAACGTCGTTTACATGTATATGAAATTCTGTTTACAAATTACTTTCTTTTGTACTTTTCTTATTTATAAAGGTTTTATTCCATTAAATTTCAAAATGTATTTTCAAAGCTGCTGTCAGAAAAAAAAATTTACCTACCTACCTACCTACCTACCTACCTACATGTACCCAACTTGAGATTTTAGGGTCGGGTTAGGGGAAACAAAGATATTTTTAATGATAGCCTCATTTATTTTTAATTTTTTTTTTTTTCGATTTGCAGACCGAAAGTCAATGTCAGATGTCAACGCCTCACCGAGTGGTTTTCCATTAATCTTTAAAACAGAATAGATCCTATCAGTGTTCACCGGAAACCCGTAAGAGAAGGTGAACAACTCTGTTATGTAAAGCCCCATCATACAGGTGACTGATGCGTACTCTGTCGTTACTTTGTAAGCAGATACTACATAGTCCAAAGTCTGAAAAAGGTAAATATAAAACGCATTTAAAAATTTTAAAAAGAGCAGATGTGAAGTATTCCATTGCAAGGATCTTTCATTTATTATAGCTGTTCATGCTTTGTTTCCAGTCTTGTAGAAAGATGTAACGGCCAACTATGACACCGATGTAAACGTATTTAATGACATATTAACTTTTGGCAATTCAAATTATTAAATTATAATCAAAATATGAAAAATTATATGTACATTGTAGTACAGAATTTTTTTTATATATAAATGTAGATCGACTTTTTATTTGTGCATTTTAAAACAAATTTTGTCATTCTTGAGTAAAATATGTGTACTATGTTGCAATGCAATGGTAGTATGCACTGATCAAGTTCGATCACTAAACATTTTCTTACACAAAATCTCCAAACCTTTAATGACAACTGCATTGCCCAATTAATTCAAATCAACTCTAGATCCCTGATACGTTAGCTTGTTCTGTCTACATCTTCAGTGCGAATGAAACAAAAATCTGAACTTGAGTAATAACTGACTTAGTAACCAGCTTACCTACCTTAGTACAATACACGTATGCCGTTTTGTTAAGTTTTTCGATATCAAGTCTCCCTGAAGAGTCTGAAGCATTTAAAGTAGCTGCTACATAAGCATAAGCTTCAATGGCGTAGAATTTGTTGGAACCCAAAGAGGGTTGATAGATAGAACCTATTGCACACGGCTTTGGGTAACAAGTGTTGTGAGCCTCCTTCAGAAAGCTAGATATAATACTGAAACACTCAGAGGGAGAACCAGATCCCCGGAATGTCACTGTTTTGTCTCCAGTGTCGTATGCGTAATTGTCATCTGAAATATTCAAATTATGATATATGTACATGTTTCCATCTAGACCGTACATCTGCTGGATTGAATAATTGTCTATAAGTTTTACTTGGACTTGTACTGTTTCTTATTCAGTCTAAAATTCATAGAATTAAATATGAAGATCACGAACAGTAATCAAGATCAAAAGTCCATTGAAATGATACAAATATGGAGCAGAGTGAACATGTGGACCTCTAAAAAAAATCAGAGGTGGGATCAGGTGATGTGGATGAGAATATGCATCTTAAAATTTTCTGAAATTGTACCAGTTAACAGACCGTGTCTTGGTGCAGTCTAAATGTGTACCAATGTAATAAAAGTTGAAGATAACGAAACAGTGATCGATCTCATAAATCCAGTATACAAAATGAATTGTAAACAAGGCAAAGGCACGAGCCCTCATGAGATTCAATAGAGAATAATACATCCTCATTTCCATATCACATTCTGTATCAGCCCGAGACACCAATATCAGACAGAGGACCGAGGGCTGATATTGATCAAGGACTGATACTAGTAAAGGTATGTTTTTAATATGTTTATTACATACTTAGTAATAGGATACAGCACACATCTGTTTAAGCAAATACAAATAAATAATCACTGACTAGCTTATTAAAGCAAAGAATAGTAATTTAAAATTAAGAGAATGAGAACCAAAAAAGTGAATTATCTTATAAGTACTGTTTTTTAAGTATTAATCTTCAACGAGTGTGTTACAAATACGTATCAGCCCAGTAGATCCATATCAGCCCTGCATGATCCATACCAGCCCTGGAAGCTTATATGGCTATTGCGACGTCAGTCACATCACATATGCAAAAACCTGTATTTATTACTAAATATGTCATAAATACCAGTATGCAAAATAATGTAGAGTACCTTGCTGTAGTCAATTATCAAAATTGACCAAAACTGTATGAGTAGCGATTTGAAAAACTATAAACTATAATAGATGGACTGGTGAACAACAGACTCTTTGCTATGGCATACAAATGATATATAATTTGTGTACATCCAAATTACATTTCAAGAAATGTATTAAAGGCAATGCTTATAATGTTTGAATTCAAATACTCGAATTTTAGTTTTCTACATTCTTACTTATCAATGCACACGGATTGTTGATCCTCGTGTCCTGTGAACTTTGATGGATAAGATACTTGTTTATTCTTCTATACATATAATTCATTCCAAAATTTAAATAACTGTGCGAGTAGAGATTGTATATTCGCCCTGCTATTCGGAGTGTAAACATGTGAGCTAAGAGAGGTCCTTCTGGTAGAAAAGTGATTTGAGTGGATCCGCCTCCCATTTCTAGGACACCGAAACCTTTCGTCAGAGATCTAAAAAGTATCATAATTTACGATATTAATAGAAATAGCACTCATGCTACAAGAACTAGTCTAATACCCCTTGTACATGATTATAACTGGATACCGAAGTTTAAATCAAATATTTGAGAATAGGTTTCTCACTTGTTAGCGGAGAAGAATCCATTGTGAGAATTAGCCGTAATCCAAGCGAACACGCCTTCCTCTTCACCAGAGAGAATTCGAACGCTTCTTTCGCTATAAATGAATTCGTTGATTCTTCTGTCAGACAACACACGTCTTACTGTATTCATCAGGTTCTTTGCTTTTTCCTCTTTTAGAAATCGAAGACCTGGGAAAGAGTTAGAATTGGATTTTTTTTAATAATTAAAAATACTAGTACTTAAATTGGTCATTTTTGTAGGAGATAGCTATATTCTTGTCTATGTTGATTACCTGCAGTTGCAAGTAGATACAGATGACTTCTGTTATGAAAATGAGATGGAACTTTTGATTCGGCGATTGAGGTCAAATTATGCATATATTCCGGAACTGAATCTAATCTATCCTGAAATGAACTCAATGGTGGTTTTAATTTCTGAGAGAATACTTCAGTTATGTTAAATGTTGAGAAAGTTGATCTTCGCTCAGGCCATGAATACACTCTGACTCGTGTACCGGAACTTCCTGCATCGATCATAACACCATAATGGAATCTCTTTGCGCATGTCCTATCTGCCAAGAAGAGGCCAACCATAAAAATGACAGATGTAGGCATTTTCTGAAATAGAACAAAATAAGTTTACGTGGTGTAACTAACTAAACTTTATCAAATAGGTCAATCATGTACATTTTAGTAAAGGAAAAATTACTTGCATATGAATGTTTTCCTTTTTTATCTTAAGATAAGATGATTTGGAAATTATTTTATTCAAAATTTCAGATTTCATTGGAAGGGGCGGGGTATGAGAGGTCAGAAGTTGTCCAGTAAGTTTCACCCATTTGTTAAAGTTCAGTTATACTGTAAACCAACTATTATTCGCGTCATCTTTTATTCGCGATTCGTCAGTTTGAAATAAGTCCGCGATGATTAATTTTCACGACTGAGGAAACATTGTCTACAGTATATAAATTTTCATAAACTACATGTTTATCAAAATCGATACAGTAATATAAAAAACATGATTTGAAATGAGACCAACCTTTACTCGTTTAGAAATATTTTGCCATTATCATTCATAGAAAAATGTTAGGTTTCCAAAAAGTTTCTTATACTAATGATAAAATACAAAAAGTATTGCATACAAAGAATTCTCGTGTTGTAAATAAATGAAATCAAAAGGTATCTTAAGTAAAAAAAAAAAAAAGATCTGCAATACCGGGTAATACCTAGGTTGTGTAATTAGATAAATTATTAAAATAAATTTGTATGACTATAGTAATTATTGTGCATGTATTACAGTTATTAATTTTGACACTTTGATTTACTATAGTGCTACCTTTTACACATTGATTTACTATAGTGATAAAGAATGGGTGGCCTTAACTGGCCAGAAAAAATGCCGTAAATTAAAGTTTCATAAAATGATTAATTCTTTCCATCATATAAATCCCCGATATCTTAACCGTGTATTCATGGTACAGATGTGAATTTAAAACGCTCTTTTCGAGGTAAGAGGTAAACTAAATAAATATCGAAGGCATGGTGCCTGAAGATTTCTTGAATATCAATAGATAATCAGGATCACGCGTTTATCATCGTCTGAATACATAGTCAGCGCATGTTTGTCGGCTGTTCTTAAGAAAACTATAGTTGTATATTGAACAAAATAATGTCATTATGAACATTTTCGGAATCTCAGACACCCGACAGCTGACTTCAGACAGCGGACTTTTCACGTAAGGGAACGTGTCAAAAAGTGAATAATATAAATAATTTTTGTAGTTTTGATTTATTGTATTCGATAATCACATTTCGTTCTTATTTGTATGATTTACACTACTCTGTATTGTACAAGTTTGCACATAAATGAAAGGGGGGTGTCTTCCCCAACTTTTCCTAAAATAATGATTTGCCCCCTTTCCCAAGAGATTGTTTAATTGTTTAATTCCCGTTGCACCATTTTCCCAACAACAAATAAAAAGCAGAAATCTCCAAGAACTAAGAAAATGTAAAGGAATTGCATCTTGATATAGGTACGTTAATGAGCGCATGATCTTTAAATAAAAAAAATCTCTCAAAGTAAGTTATGGCGTCACTATATAAAATATATTATATGATAAATTTTCTTTAAGGAATTGTTAGTGGACATAAAACATTTAATTTAAACAAAAAAGTACTTTCTCAGGAAATAAATAAATTTGGACAATAAAACATTATCGGTGTCTTGAACGTAAATAACATATCACATACAGCTTATTCCGTACTCCAGATATATCAGGCGCAGATCCAGATATTGTAAATGGGTAACAAGCACTGAGCTTTGACATATAACTACTGATTTAAAACTTTAAGTCATAAACAAGTTACCCCTAAAAAAATTTTTTTAAAAATACTGAACAGTTACATTCTTGTTGGAATAGCCGCGCAAAGTGTTATGTAAATTAGTCAGGATACCTGTTTGGGATCTGAGGCCACCTGCTTGAGGTTTCCACTGGGTACAGGTAAAATTTGAATTTGACGCCTTGCTAGGAGTCTAGGAAGTTTCTTAATTCTTGGATCTTGAAAGACAGGCTTTTTAATGTAAATGTATGAATATTATTGCATCGATGTATTTTAATAAAGAGTTTGTAATAACATCATGGCCATGATAAAAATACAATTTGAATTATCGAGGTAATAACATGTAACTTTTAATTCCATATAAATGTATATATATACACAAATTCATATTCAACCAAGAAATGGCTTAATTAATGTACTAAACATAATTCAGAATTTTTGCACGTACATGTGTTATCTATATCAAGTATTTTATCTTTTAAAAATGGAGAGGGAAGCTTTCTTAATTGTTTACTTTCATTAAATTTTGAGTTCTTTTAAAAAATCACTCAATAAAGTCAGATTAGCAACGTACTTTTGGATTTTTCAAATCAAATTTTGCAAATTTTAATTCCTCATTGTGACTTTTTTTTTCAAAATTATGTTCTTTTTCATATCCGATTTATTGATAAAAATAATCACTAGTTTCTATATTATCTTAACCGAGCTGATGTGGTTAATGTGTTGATATAAACAATCGGTTTCCTATTTCTTGTGCAATCAAGAGATATCGAAAATTTTGAATGACTTTATTGTGCTGAAGAAGATGAATCATATGTCAAGTTTATTATTGCCTGTTGCATCATAAAATTCCAATAACATGTATACAGTCACAAGTCTCTTTTTTCACCCCTTCTTATATTTTTTTTCTTTACAATCCTCATTTATTATTTTTTATTTCTTCCAAAATCAAAGGGAGGGGGCTGCATTTCCCGTTACCAATCTGAATCCGCCATTGCATTTGATGTAAAGAAAACATATTTAATTATGATCAATTAATATGGTAGTTTAATTGTTTGCAAAATGTGCTAAGAACGAACTATTTTTAATCTCTACCAATCTCAACAAATTTTGACCAATTTAATTGTTTTCAATTTATTCGTTTTAACAGATGTCAGAGATAATGAGAGAAAATTCTCAGGTAAATGTTAAAACGTATTTCTATACGCTCCCCGTAAGTTGTCTTTTGTTCGCAAGTCCGCTGTCCGTAGTGCGATTTCAGGGGCTCGTTTCTCAAAAAGTCGTAGATTTCAGCCTAAGTTAGTCCGACTAAGGAAGTTACGCCAAAATTTAGACGGGCCTAAATCGCGTTTCAGAAAGCGGCGTAAGACTAGGCCTAAGACTAAGACCTCTCCGCTAAGTACTAAGTATGCGCAGATCGTATTTTATTTGGTTTAGAGACTACAATTACATGTGGCGGATCAAATTAATATTGAATTTAAACCTAAATACAGAAGTAAAGCACGGATAGCACTAGTGCGCGTCCATGTTTTCTCTATTCGCCATCTTTCAAACATACATGTATATATTATGCAAATCAATCTGTATACATATTTTCAAGGTTACAGCATAAAAATTAAATTACTATTTTTGTACCCTCAGATAAATTTTAAAAAATCTCTATGGGTACAAATTACATTAGAAAAACATAAACATGCATGTACTCCATTGTGATATACAATCGTACATTAAAACCCAAACTTTGTACATAGCATACGTACTTGCGAAAAATTGGAGTACATTTAGCATAAAGAATTTTACTGAAGTAAATTTCTTTTGAAAATAAGCCATATTGTCTTTTCACTTATGTTTTACATTAAGATAAATACACTTAAGGTAGTGGCAAAGGCCTGGAACAGGTTCGTAGCAACGGTTTCGAAAGTTGAGGACCCCCCCCCCCCCAAAAAAAAAAAACTTCATTAACTGTCCAAGTCAAAAACCTAATTAACTGTCCAAGTCATGAAAATATGGAATTTATCAGTGATCGACCTTACAGCGACAAAATCGGATGGGGGGAGGGGTTGGCACCAGCATCTGAAAGAAAATTTAATATAGCAAAATACTACACTCAGAAAAAGTGGAGGGCCGGGGCCCCCTGGTCCCACCGCGTTCTACGGACCTGTGGATAATTTAACAATTATGAAATCATATATTATTAAAATATGGATAAGAGATTTTTGGAAATTTATTAGTTGTATTGAATTTATAATTTCATAACAATCAATTCTAACTGAATTAAATTTCTTGGCATTCAAACTGATACATGTATTACACTTTGGACATACAGTATAACATTGATATCGATATGATAATTTACACAGTCCATGTAAAAATACGCATATACAACATTTCCATTAGCACACACATTCTCAGTAAAGGTTTGCAAAAGCTTAATTAGTCAATCGAGTATTTTTAGTTTATCAAAAATATAAAATATATATGATAAATAGTTAATTAATTTCTTCTAATCCATATTACAGGCAAGCAGTCTAGTATTTTTATAAATTTCTGAAATATTTTCATTTAATAATTTCCAGTCGGAATCAGATTTATTTAGATCGGGAACGGTACAAATTTCAACATCACCATCTTTTTCTTTTAAACCTAGTAGTTCCGTTTCAATTTCTATTAAGAATATGATCATATTATATTTACATTTTTCAAATATTTTTCCTCAACATCTTTTGCAAATTAAAAAAAAGTTCATGATCTCATGGGATGAGTAAGAATATTTCCATTGTGATGTGATTAAAGTCAACTATTTTAATGCAAACTTTGTTTTCTTTCAAAAATGATCGTTGAATGACAAAAATATGTGGCAAGTTATCAGAAAAATAATGTAAATATAAGATATGAATTTAATTTTTGCGAATCCATGAGGCACATGAACTTCACCGCTTCACGCCTGCATATTTATCATGAAGCGCTAACGCGCTTCTCGCCGGCGTACGCGTGAAGCGTCGTAGTTCATGTCCTCATGAATTCTCAAACACTCTCAGTTCTTAAACACATGTATTTCTTTTATAGATGCAGAATGTTTCTTGAAGATTGCATCTAGATATAATGATATTAACAAGTCATGACTTCCATATTCATAAATATTTTTAGATAAGCAAAATTTCTTCTTCTTGATACGTTTTATGAGTATAATGCATTAAATGACAGAAAAATTTGAAACTGTTTCTCATTTACAATAAAAAAAAAAAAACATGTTTAATACGTTATTGACCATTTTC